AAATGGTCTGTCTTCAGAGATGCCTGCTTCTCATGGCATTTCGCGGCTGGCGCAGTTGGGATCTTCCCCATATATGCACCAACCTTCTTCCTCCCCTACATCAATAATGCTCTTGGGTTCTCAAACTCTACATCCATAGCCACGCTCGCTTGTCTTTTGGTTTGTATGTCAGTAGGCCGAATTCTGACAGGCTATGCGTGCGATAGGGTCGGTTCTATGAATGCCTTGTTCTTTACCTCTCTGGTAAATGCGATTTCTCTGTTTGCCGTTTGGCCTTTTTCTTCCAACCTGGGACTGGTTCTGTTGTTTTGCATTCTCAACGGACTATCAAATGGAGGTTTTGCAGTGGCGATTCCTACCGCCGTCGGTCGTCATTTACCAATCGATGATGCGCCAGGAGCCTTGAGTTTGCTTTTCACGGGATGGGCGCCTGGTATAATGGGAGGAAATGCAGTATCAGCGGCTCTCATTCAGGTTACGCATGCAGATGTTGCAGAATCCATTGTGCCTTTCCGGCCTGCCATGTACTATTTTGGTGGGACAGCCTTACTTAGTACTGCTTGCGGTGTTGTAGCTCGTTTAATCTACAGCCGGGATATGCGAGTGATTGCATGATAAGAGGAGGGTTGATGATTAGGGATTGATCTCTCAAGGTTCCATATTGGCTGAAGATTAAATGTTCTCACTACAGACATTCGCCAATACATGCTTTATAGTGCACATACTTTAAGAATTGTGCTGAATTATATTGATGTAGTCTTTGGGTGATATTCCTGGCTTAAAGCTCAGTTACAATTAGGCCGTTTGAACCATTCTCAATCTCGAGACAGGTTACATCAATGACAAGGTAGAGTTCCAACGTAGCTATTCTACTACATTCTAATCAAAAGCATCACTAATCCTGAGTACATTGGAGGAACTTGACCCCGGCTCGGCAATCAGGCAATTGGTCAAAGAGTCATTTCAGACTTGTGAAGATTATACGGAGTGACAATTTGAGAACTGAGATCGGAAACTTCATCGGACAAGCTACTCTCAACAGCATCCTCCTCTCCGGGCTTTACAGGGGGTTTTTTTAACTGCCGAAACTCAGTGCTGTCACCCAACACGTACCGCGACATCTAAAATGTTGGTAGCCGAACGTACTATTTAGTATAAATCCCAAGCCGTACCGGCATCACATTGCCAGATTAACCACCACTAGTCCTGCACTCTCAAACTATCTCCTCACAACGTCACTTGAATTCAATATTCTTCATTATCCACAATGGCCGCAGCTGTATCCAACGCTCACCATTCCCTGCCTCAAGCAAGACCCTCCTCCGCAGGCCAAAGCCACTCTGATATTCTCAAAGTTGTCCGGTCCGATCAGCCCTTCAAATCAGCGGCCATATCCCTCGTTTCGCTCCCACCCGGAGCCCTGTTTGCCAAAATCACCGAGGCAACCCATGCTCCCCAAGCTACCTGGACCTCGTTCCAGACTGGCCGCGATGAGCACATGGAGTTCAACTCTGACATTGTCTTCATCAATCACTCCTGCGATCCTAACCTCGTGATTGATACTGCACGCATGGAGGTTCGCGTGGCGGATGATCGTCATATCGCAAAGGGTGACGAGCTGACTTGGTTCTATCCAAGTGCGGAATGGGAAATGGCTCAGTCGTTTCCTTGTGAATGCGGAACAGAGAGGTGCCAGGTTGCCATTCGGGGCTCACGATACGTTGAGCCTGAGAGGCTGAAGGGGTACTTCTTGAACGAACATATACACGAGCTCATGAAGGAGCAGGAGCTCAAGCAGTAACATGCATTGAAATCCCAGACCTTGTTACTGTAGCATAGAACTTACAGCAAAACCATACTCCTAGCTCTATAGTCCAATGACAATAACAAGAGTTACTTAAAGGCTATCGATTTACAATCTATTAAACTTCCCAAAATTGAATTATAGGTTCGTAGAGTTGCTCTTCGATGATAACTTAGGTTGTGGTCTTTTTTGCCTGCATTGGCCAACTTGAATTCACCTTCTTGTTCATAATTATTCGCTCAGACATTGCCTATCGGGATGTTGAAGGTTGCCATTGGCTTATTCTACTTATTAAGACACAAGGAAACAATAGCGGGCACTATGAGATACTACCACAATCTGATTTCAAAGAGTTCTTTCCTGCAATATGCTTGTATTCATGGTCCCTACGAGTTCTTACGTGGCCTGCATCTTGGGCCTTCCGAATATTATAGTTTATAAAACCCTCCGAACCCCCTGTTACAGACTTGACAATCCCGGTAACCGGCTTGCATCCAGGATCGACAACACGGCTCGGCACATCAAAAAGGAAGCTTCAGGTTGAATATGGACTTCAGAAGTGCGATGGTCTCGGACTATAAGCAATAATGCAAAGAGCTCAATCCAGATGTTGGGAGCCATTAATATATTATTTTGCCTATATATTTCCCGTCTTCCCGAGTTCAAAATCATTTGAGTAAATAGACATCAATTAAACAGAGCAAGAGTGCTGGTCTCAGAGTCATACTTTTGACAAACATGGTTCAGCATTTCCTTCCACCGTCGACGGCAACAATGCTCTTCCCCATACGGGTCTCATAGTGCATAACTGTGGATGATCAACGGAACACTGTCTATGATAGACAGCGAGAAGACACGAGGCTTCCAGATGATCATGACCTTTCGTCGAGTCTTAATTGGTGCGGCAATACCCTTGTGCTGTTGGAGTTACATTATAACTTTCTTGATCATGATGCTTGAGGCTCGGGCTTCGGTGTCCTTGCGAATCGGAAGTAACAAAGTCTAATTTGAGTTCACCGGCATTACGATTCACCGCAAAGCAGGAGAAGACCAGGGACTACCTACAAAGAGTGGAGGCTCGGGCCGTTGCCGCCCGTTAGTCATGGAAAGCATTAGTGCCAGAGTCAACTCATCTTCATTTAGGTTGGCTATGTATGAGGAGAGGAGAATAGAGAGAAGAGGCATCATCAATTGATTGGCCGATCTAGGCACGGACACCAAGTACCTGTTCCATTCCACCAGTCAGGACCGTGTTCTTCTCCTGCTCAGCATGGTCCGCAGAATAAGCTCTATACTTGATACTGGCCAGAGACTGGGCAGTAACCCTGGACCCATCGGCGTCGACAAAGGTCACGTCGTCCCCGGGACGCAGAAGGTAGGCGATGGAATATCTATGCCCCTCATCACTAGCACGACCATCCCTGACGACCCTGTGAACACAGGAATACAAGGTCTTGCCCGAGAGGAAGCGAAGGGCGTCGCCAACATTGATGACGGCGTCGTTCTCACGCGGCTCGACCCACTCCCAATTGCCGTTGCTGGGCTCAACAACCTGAAGTCCCCACTCATCGCTAAAGAGAATAGTTAGGGACCCCAGATCGGTATGTTTTTGATGGGTGAGCTTTCCCGGATAGCTCAGCATGGCAAGGATGGTATCAGATGATTTTTCGTGGTCGTGATACTCGAGGAACTGGCCAGGGACGCCTAGAGCCCGAGAGTAGCAGTCCAGCAGAACGTCGACTACACGCTCGCAAAGAGCTACGTAGTCTGGGATGAGAGTTCCAGCCTTCTTGAACAGAGCAGGAAGCGTGTAAGCTAGATTGGTTCCCAAGTCGTGCGTTCCAATCTGTGTTCAAGTCAGTCATGAATCAGCTGAACCGATAATATGCCTTACAGCAAGGTGCTCAAAAGACTCATCAGGGCGGCTGGGGTCAACGGCAGTGAAGGTGCCCTTTTTGACATATCTTCAAGTCTAATCAGCACTAGATCATTCATGCTTGAGACTACTCACCCGCGCGTAGGAACGCCCTTGCTGTCAAGTTGCTTGATGTCATCGGGCTGACTAAAATATTCTTTCATCGCCTTGAGAACCTCTTTCTTCTTCTTGTGTAGACCAGCTGCACCACTATGGTCAAAGTCTAGGTAGAAGAACCCGGCTGTACGGCTTGCAGCCATGAGCTTTTCAATCTCTTTCGCTTCTCTTCTTTCGAGAGCGGAGTAGTTGATTGTCTCAATGGAGGCAATGGGGATACTGTCAACGGCAGAAGGCATGGCGAATGTTGTCTTGGTTGTTGGAGATATAGGATAGGTTGATAAGATCTTAGCAAGGATGTTACAACACAGTCTTGAACTTTTCTGTACATTCTGGAAAAATAGCTTATATAGATTACATACTGTTACTTTAATATTAAGAATATGTGGCTACATTCTGCACTCAGGGATCAACTCAATTTTCTCCCATGCCAATGTCATATCTTTGCCGATGCTATGACCGGAATGTTACATATCCTTGAAACTCGGTCAGGTGAGTGGGAATTGCCGACGCCATCAGACTCCGGCATAAGACAAACTATGCCACGTATATCAATGGACTCGTGATGCAGAGAAAAAGTAAACTTGATACATAATTGGAGTGATTTGTAATGGACTTATGCAGGTGGACTCGAATTCACAATGACCTCGTGTACATAATGCATAAACAGACGGGCAGTAACCGACTACGGCAGATAGAACTGAAAGGAATCATACGATATTAAAGCATACATAGATGCAATGAAACTTCCGAACCCAGTCAGGGATAACTTGTATTTCGGTTCTTACATTCACTGCAACATCCGTGCCTTGTCCGACACTACATAACATTATGTCCCAGCAATAAGAGGTACGGAGCAAGGGTTCAAGGCCCCGGAAACATTTTCCTGATACCGATAGGTTTCTGGTTGCAAGCATTACTCCGATGACTAGTATTAACGCAAAGTGATAGGTCTCAACCTTGTCCAGTCATTATGATGCCCCTCCGACCTTGCTTTAGCGGAGTATACATGTATAGCATATTAATGTGCAGCGGCGGCCCTTGGCACGAATAATCATACTACATTCGAGAGGTTTCTTATGATTGATACGGGCTTGGATATATCACGCTGGCTTGTAATCTTCCTCACTCACATTGGCATCTACGTTGTCAATCTCCGGACCAATGTCTACTGATTCTATGTTACTTTCGCCTTGGGCTCCCTTGGCAGTACTCTTGTGCGGACTGCTGTTCTATATTATTCCCTACTTTTACACCTACAGACACCTGCGAGGAATTCCTGGTCCGCTGCTGGCCCGCTTCTCAGACCTTTGGCTCTTGTATATCTGCCGCCAGTCTAAGCGTTCAAACACTGTATACAACCTCCACGAGCGGCTTGGGCCCGTCGTCAGAATCCAGCCGAACCACGTTAGTATCGTTGACGAAAGGGCCATCAACCTCGTATATGGCCATGGGAATGGGTTGGAAAAGTCGTAAGTTGCACATGCATGTCTTGTTCATGTTCCACTATGCTCACTTCAACAAGATCCTGGTACGATTCTTCCATTTCTCTCACTCGAAGCATCTTCACGGCGAGGAAACGCGCCGAACATGCTCGGAAGAGAAGGTATATCGCCCATAGCTTCGCCCCCAAGTCGTCTCGTGCGGCCGAAGGGCCCATCGCCGACAAAGTGGAGCTTCTGGTCCGTAAGTGGGACGAGATAATCGACAAAGGGCCGCAGTTTGATGAGTTCACACAGCTTGAATGCAGACGATGGTTCACGTAAGTGCTTTCGAGACTGCTTCGCTGACATACACTAACCTTGCAACTAGATACTTGTCGTTTGACATCACCGGTGATCTTCTCTTCAGCGAGCCATTTGGAATGCTTGAGAATGGCTCTGATCTGGTTAAGATTGACAACAAGCCCGGGTCCTACGTGTCCATGATGAACAGTCTTGCGCAAAGGAGTGCCGCCGTCGCTACTCTTGGCGTCTTGCCCTGGCTGAAGCCGCATGCACATCACCTGCCTGATCCCTTCTTCCACAGAGGAATGGATGGGCTGCAGAACCTGCTGGGCGTAACTTCCGCTCATGTCAAGGAACGCATGGCCGCAGGACAAGACAATCATGATGATTGGCTCTCACTTCTACTTCGAGCGTGTGATGATCGAGGGGAATTGCTCAAATTCGAAGAGATTGCGTCTGAGTCCTTGACCTTGTTTATGGCAGCCATTGAGACCGTCAGCAACACGCTCTCTGCCATGATGTACTACCTCGCCACCTCACCCTCTTCACTGCAAAAGCTGCAAGCTGAGGTAGACTCTATCGATATTCCTGGAACAGTTCCTCCGTTTACGAACGTCCGGGCTCTTCCATATCTAGACGCTGTGCTCAACGAGACAATGCGTCTTCACAGTGTCCTCGGGATAGGCCTTCCTCGAGAGGTGCTTCCCGGGTCCAAGGGAGTTCATTTGGACTCTTTTTACTTTCCTCCTGGCACAGTTTTAAGCGTTCCAATCTATGCCATTCACCGGTCTAGAGACATCTGGGGCCAGGATGCCAATGATTTTCGGCCTGAGAGATGGGAGAAGCTGTCGAACCGCCAGAAAACATCATTTATCCCATTTGGCCATGGTCCGGCAGCATGCGTTGGACGTAACCTAGCAGAAGTTGAGATGAAGATTATTGCGGCAACTTTAATTAGAAGATACCATTTTTGTATGGTGGATTCTGAGATTGAATCTACTGAGGGAACAACACGTAAGCTTATCAAAGTCAACATTGGAATTAAAAGGCGGTAATGAAGAAGGTCATTAGTATGTCTTGCAATCGGATACATAAAGTATTTGATGATAAAGCTTGGAATGACTTATTCTGTTTTGATCAATATCTCATGTCAAGACTTGTAGGGTAGATAGCAATCCCCGGGCGCAGAGCACAGGGAGGGACTTGGCTGGTATCATGAAATGTCACAAAACGCTACTGTTAGTGTTAGCGCTGATGTCGTCCCACCTCCCGCTTTAAATGCCGCCAAACCTCAGAAGGCCGAGGTCTTTACAAGTTCCACTTATCTTATCGTGCCGAGGTTGGTATCCACGTGACGTGTCATCGACGCGTTTGCTTCTGAAAACCATTTTAAATCATCGAGGCTCATTGCTTATCTCCATCAACTTGACATAATCACTCCGTCTCTTTTCCCTCATCTTGTATTATTTAAATCATGGTTTCGGCACAGAATAAAGGTCGTCGCGAGACGCTCACGGTCGTGGATAACAGAACAAACCAGACCTACGAGATCCCCATCACTCACAATTCCATCCCAGCGACTGAATTCAAGAAGATCAAAGCCGAGCCTGGCAATGATCGTCCAGAGGATGAGACCACGCAGGGCCTTAGGGTCTATGATCCCGCGTACATGAACACTGCTGTCGTGCAGAGCAAAATCACATACATCAACGGCCTGGACGGCGTCCTTCGATACCGCGGATATCCAATTGAGCAGTTGGTTGAGAAGAGCAATTTTCTCGAGTCGGCGTATCTTCTCATCTACGGAGACCTTCCAACACAGGCGCAGTATGATGAATGGCAGGGAGAGGTGATGCATCACACGTATATCCACAGTGATATCGAGAATATGTTCAAGTCGTTCCGCTACGACTCTCATCCGATGTCTATGTTGAGCGCGGCGTTCGCTACACTGGGAGCGTTTGCTCCGGAAGCTAATCCCTCGCTTGCAGGGCAGAAGCTCTATACCAACGCTGCTTCTGGCAACATGGATTCCCTCAAGATGCTAGACAAGCAGATTCTTCGAATTCTCGGAAAGGCACCTACTTTGGCGGCTGCGTCGTACCGAATGCGACAGGGCCGACCCTTCAACCGCCCTGCACAAGGCTTGTCGTACACTGGAAACTTCCTGTATCTGTTGGATAACCTATCTGAGCCAGAATACCAACCTCATCCTGTTCTTGCGAAGGCCTTGGACAAGCTCTTCATTCTCCACGCCGACCACGAAGTCAACTGCTCTACGGCCACAGTCTTGCAAGTTGGAAGTTCTCTGGTCGATCCTTACAGCGTTGTTGCTGCTGGATGCGCGGCACTCTACGGTCCATCTCACGGAGGAGCATCTGAGTCAGCGATCAGAATGCTTATTGAGATTGGGTCCCCCGAGAACGTCCCTGCATTCATGCAAGCGGTTGAGAGAAGGGAGCGAGTCCTCGTAGGCTTCGGCCATCGCGTCTACAAAAACGTTGATCCCCGCTCAACAGCCATCCGCAAGCTCGCCGAAGAAGTCTTCGAAGTCACCGGCAGAAACAAGCTCCTCGACACAGCCCTGACGCTCGCCGACTACGCCCGCAAGAGTGAGTTCATGCGCAGCAGGAACTTGTACCCCAACGTGGACTTTTACTCTGGACTGATCTACCAGGCCATGGGATTCCCGCTTGATTTCTACCCTGTTTTGTTTGCTGTTCCACGATGTGTAGGATGGTTGGCGCACTGGAGACAGATGATGCTGAACAAGTCTGGTGTCAAGATCTGGAGGCCGAGACAGCTTTATGTTGGGGAGGGGGAGAGGGAGTATGTCGATACCAAGGACCGAAAGGAAAAGCCTGATGCTACAGTTTTTGATGCTCCTGTCAAGGTTGAGCATGGAGGCGAGAAGCAGAGAGCTCTGCTTGCTGCTAGTGCAGGGCTGAAGAGTAAGCTGTAAATCGCAAGACATAGTTGGGATTGCTGTGTATTTTATCTGGTAATTTGGCTCGATAAGCTCTGGCATTTTTTAAGACTATTATATTAATGGGCAGGTAGTTTGATCTCAAGAATGTATAACCCTCACTGTAAAAAACAAAAGGACGCTGTTTCATTGTCTTTTCCCATTTAGTGACATTTACAGAAAGCATATCAGATTGTCAGAACATGTATTGCCCCACGTTTCACCGGCCAATAGGCGTCGTCGTCAAGCGCGGTCAACAGCAAGGGCCCAAGCAAAACGATCACTGCTGATTGGTCTGAGGTGTTATCGTTGATTCACCAGACGACCATTGAATTCTTGGAACGCTCATCCGTACCTTGAACGACTTTGCAGACTACGTCGCTGAGTGCCGCCGGCGAACATAGGCCATTCCGACAAGAGAATGCAAGTCACATAAATTCAGTCATTAGACTTCCGACTTGTCTCCCAAAATCACCGTCGGCATGTACGACAACATGCAGCCTATATGTATTGCAAAGTAATTACCACCAAGATTAATCTAACTCTATTCGGCCTCTAGAGGCACAAGAGCAGTATCGTAGATCTATCTTCCATATATTCAACCCGGCGTAACCTCCTCATTGCATCCGGACAAAGAGAAACAGAATACTCTATTACATACTGGCCAGGCAGCCAACCTGGTACCACTGGTACGGAGACTGCGCGCCATTAGTCTTGACTGTGCCCTCCCAGAACTCGCAAGTGCCCTTTTCATATCCAATGGTGGCTTCGTTATAAAAGTCGACAACCTCGCAGTCCGGGTAATCAGCGCAAGCCTGCAGACAATCCTTGGCAGTATCCTTTGTTCCCGGGCTGTTGAGGTACTGCAAGGTGTTGCCGTCGACGAAGTAACCATAGATACCGCAGGCTGTTGGACCCGCGGCGGAGGGGGCGGTACTCGTTGTCTCTGCGACTGTGGTTGTAGTAAAACCAGCCTCTGTCTCTGTAGTCACAGTGGTTGGGGCAGCAGTTGTAGTGGTACCAGCCTCTGTCGTGGTGGCGGTGGCGGTGGCGGTGGCGGTAGTATCAATGACAGTGGCGTCGCTGACGGTGGAGGTTTCGATGCTGGAAGTCTCTTCGATTGCGGTCGTGGCTGTACTGAGGGCCAGGGTGGTCGTGCTGGGCTTGCAAGGACTGGCGACAACAGCCGAGGCGACGGCCAAAACCACCAGCAGAGACTTGCAGTTGATCATCATCTTTCTTCACTGGGTTCGTGGTGTACAAGTTCAAAAAGGAACGATAATGAGTGACTGAGTGAGAACTGACAATTGGGCCTGGGGTCAAAGGAGGGAATGGCACAGAGCGCCAAGAATATTATTGGGATTGGGTGGGAATTTATTCATATTCACAGCGTGTCCAACGGCAAGTTTCGGCAATAGAAGTCTGCCTCTTGCAAATGAAACCCATATTTCAGGTAACAGAAAAGGGGTTTATGGTTCAATAGCACAGATATCGTGGCGCTAAGGTCAATAGTTTCGGACACTAAGGCTGTCCTTGGAGAAGTGTAAGCCACAATACCCAGTATTCATTTCCACTAGCCCAGTTGGACTATCACAAACCAATTAGATAAGGTATTCATTCATTCACTGCACTCAACCATGAAACAAAATCAGACTTGGAAGGTATCTTTACGAGGTTAATACCTTTGCAACTATGAGCCTCATGTATGAATTGGTGACTATGTGTAGCTACAAGTACCAAGTTTAAGGCTTGAGTGGTTCCCAGAAGCTGGAACAATAGAGATTGCAGTAGAGCCAGGCCAACAAGCCAGATCCAGAGCATTCAGAGGAGCAGGACGAGCCTGAGGAGCCAGATGAACTGTGAGAACTGTAGCCCTCGCAAGTCAAAGACGGATCCTTCAGCACAGTGACTTCATCACCGACCAGTCCATCGTGGCCTTGAATGAACTTCCAAGAAAGAGTTGTTGCGTTATAAACGGTCAACTTGGAAAAGCCGAAACTGGTCAAGTTACGGTGAGCTGTTATGTCGGGTAAAGGCAGGGACATGTTAATGGTAGAGTGGCTTTCGATGTTGCCAGCAGCGCCGTTGATGAGATGAACCATCGAATATCCAGGGTTTACCTCGTAGGTATTCTCGTTTATAACCGAGGGAGTGTCGACGGTGCAATTTCGTATGGGCTTGAGACGCTCATACCAATGAACGTGTCTATGAGCAGTTAGCTGGCATGCTTGATAAGTTAGAGGTTACAACTTACCCAGCAATGTAGAGATCAACCTTGTGCTTCAGGAACAACATCTCGAACGCCTCGCGAAGGTGCAGATGATAGTTACCGCCGTGGGAGCTGTACATAGGACGGTGGCCCATGACAATAACCCAGGGTGTTTTACACCGATCAACATTTCTCAGATCCTCTTTCAACCAGTGATATTGCTGATAAGCCTTCTTTTCCTGGATGGAACCATCAATGTATCCAAAAGGACCAGCATCAGTGATGTGCGTCTCGTTGCGCAAAGGATGAGCTTTCCCTGACAGAAGATATGCCTCTTCCTCCAAAGCATCTGTCTCAAAGTCATCACCTGGCTTGAGCGGAATGCACTTATATGTATCCCCATCTTCCTCCTCGGGCTTGCACTTGGGCGAATCCTTATCCTTTCCTTTGCAATCTTCCTCCTCCTTCGCCTTCTTGATATCTTCCCGGAATGTCTTGTCCGGGCTGTGAGGGTAATCCGTTTCCGTATCGATAGATACGAAATGAACGAGGCCGTAGTCGAATGAATGCCAGAAATTCCCGACGCCTCCGGACTTGTCGCCTGCCATGAAGAAGCGGTTCTGGAAAGCTGTGAAATTGCGCTGTGAGGGCGGACATGAATAATATGTGAGGGTGGCGTTGGGATTATCGGCTGACATGGTGGTGTTTGTTTTGTTCTCGTTGAGATATGATGAAAGGACATATGGAGTGTTATCGTGGTCGGCACACGTGGCCTCATGATTGCCCGGGAGAACAATGTAGGGGATCTTCATAGTGATGGTGTTCATCCACTGCTGCCAAAGGTCCCAGTTGGATTCGTAGAGGACACCCACATCACCACCGCGAGGGCTGCCTTGATTTGGAATCTCATTTTCTGGGAGAGGCGTCTTGAAATAATCGGGATTGGTATCGTTATTGGGAAGGGAACTGAAGCTGCCGTTGTAGCAGACAGGCCAAACTGATGCATTGCACTGTATGATACCAGAGTACCAATCATCCGCGTAGCTGAGATCCCCACCGTGCCAAACAAAAGCCAGGCCTTCCTCTTCATACATGGTTTGATTCATGTACTTGTAAGTTCCATTAGCATTCGTATACCCCATATCATTATTGATAGCGATACTGAATCGAGACGGGTTGCCTGTAGCTTGGGCTGTTGTGAAGCTTAAAACAGCAGACGGGGTTGTACCATTCGCAGCAGGGATTTGGTAGAAGTAGGTTGTACCGGGTTGAAGTTGTTCTATCTGAACGTTGTGAAAGAATTGACTGCATTGCGTAATGGCAACGTGAGAACAGGGAGGAGTGCGGTCGTATGTTACGGTCAAGCCGGTAGCGGCATTGTTCAAAGCAGAATGACTAGTTCCCCAGTGAACAGAGGGTGCGCGACCAAGGCCAAATGGCGTTTGGTAGTGAATATTGATACCAACAGTGTCCCTTCCAGGCTGAGCAGGTATATATGACAGTGAAATGACATTGACGTTGTTGGTAGGATGCTCTGAGGCAGGTTGCACGGCCGGGGGCTCGACTAGACGAAGGAATCCTTCGCCGTTGCCACTAATCGTATGGTCGACCCAATCGCCAATGGGAACTTTGGGTCCATTGTACGAGTATTTCTCGTCGACAGTAGGTGCTGCTTGGGAAACCGCAGCGAAAATGCCTGCAAGGAGGTATGGCGACCTCATTTTTGGGGGAGACTTGAGTATGGCACCTCGAAGAAGCCGAGAGCAATTGATCAAGGGAGCGTTGGATGGAGCAGCCAAGGCTCGTCATATTTTAATACTGGCTGAAGCAACTCAACCACGCTTGCCTCGTGGAATTGAGTAGTGGAAGCGACCCAAGCCACTCGGTTCATCTGACCAACGGGAAGATGTCTGTTTGCATTCGCATCGACTGGTTGGCTGCTGAAGAAAACCCCAAAAGGAGCTATCGGTGCCAACCAATTCCATAATGATCTTCAACTCGGCACGGAACGACGGGATAACAGCGCCAAGCCCCGCGCTTTCACCAATTTGGGTATAGCAAATGGTGATAGATTCCCTTTTTTGCTTATCGCAGTGGCGAGTATTGGAGTAGCTGAGAGCGGACGCGAATATCGCCATCTGATTAGCTGGTTTACGCTAGCGAGCCTCGCCCTTGCATCCGCCAAAGACAACTATCGATATGGTAGTTGGAATGTCAGCCAGCCACAATAGAGTCTCGATTGGCCTCTGTTCAAGCTTATCTTATCGGCATCAAGATGAGCAGACTTGCGACGTTGAATCTGTAGCTGAGATTACATTGCTAGAAGAATATCCAAGACTGAGAGTACAAGGCTGGAATAAGATGGTGTCTACCTGGTATCTGTTGGACATTGTAACAGGTGTCAGAAATGACAATTTGCATACAATCGAATTAATAAAAAACTTGAATTGTTGGTGGGCACTGTTCTAGTAGACAATTAGTCCTCCGGATAGCGACGCAGAATACAGCACAGCAAATTGAGACCATGCTCTCTCACTGTCTAACGGTTTCGCCTATTCTACATCGAGATACCGCTCTACATCGGGATACCTCGCCTTTATTCCATATCTCCAGCGATATCAGTGCATTTAACGCCGTCGAGGAGAGTCGTCAAGCTATGTATAATTGCAGGACTGTCTCAAACTCTACATACCTTGTTGTAGCTAGACAGAGCTGTCTTGATGCAAACAATTGGTAGCGGCCCCCCTCGCGCTCACACGAGTGTCTGTCACCAGCGGGAAAGTTCTAGCCCGCTGCCTTCTTGTTGGTCGTCAACTCGGTCTAAGGCCTTCCATTATCTGAATTCCAGTCTCAGCTTACTCGGGATGGTCAAGGTTCGCCCAAATGATACAGAGCAGATATGCGCAGGACGATAATCCGGTACGCTAATAGAGGACAATAAGATGCCGACCTCAATTTGCAGTACAAATTTTGAGTTCTATAGTAATGCCTTGTTCACACACAGGTTTAAGAAACGCCAAGGAGCTAAACAAAACCGACTGCCAAGGCCAACGAAGCCGTCGATGAGCGATCTGAAATAAAGCAATGACAATTGCGTATAAGCATGAAAATGGCTTACTGACCAAGTTGGTCCTGGATTTTCCTAGGCTACCCTGTATTAAAGATTCTTTCTTTTGAATAGACGTCGGAGAATCGATAACCCGGCAGTCGCATGATTCTTTTGTAGCCCATCGGAAACGATCCGCCTATGAAATGGGCCTCGGTTCAGATTACCCAGAGCCCGTCCACCTGCCCTTGAACTGCAACACCTTGCGGGAGAATGCGCCATTGCGGGAAAACAAGTATAATGTAACTATAACTTCAAAGGGATCAGCCATCCTTTTTACACACATTGTGATAGATCAAGCAGCAGTTACCGTGCTTACAAAAATCATCTTATTAAATGCCCTAATGTCTAACTTGTTGAGAAACGCGATAAATCGGTAGCAGCGCGGTCACACTGCTGCCACATAGAAACCTTTTTAATCACCATCTCGCCCCCATCATTCTCCTCCCACGTCGGATACCACCTATCCTTCGCATTCCAGAAATCTCTCCTTGGGGAGATCGCATCGTTCACCCAGGGCTTACCATGCACATCGTCCGGGAACCAGCCCGAGGTGCCCCCGACAGCCAGCGCGATTATCAAGTAGAACGGCCGGTCGAAGGGGGTTGCATTGCTGGTGCCCGGCCCAGACCAAGGATCTGAGATCTGGGACCCGTTGGCAAGGGCTTGGTGGAAGCCTCCGTGCTGGTAGAATGGGTGATTGAACTTGACGTACGTGACCTGTGCGATGCGGTGGTCGAGCCACGTGAAGAGATACTTGTCTGACCACTCTAGTCCAAAGGTATGAAAGTCTCGATTGAATGTTGTGAGTAGAGCATTTCTCGCCCCTGAAGTGCTCTGCCATCGATCAGTGCTGGTATCAAGACCCCAGTGTAGCTGAGTCGACACCTGCTGGTTCCCCCGTCCATTGTCATATGTGTAATTATTCCCCCGAACCATCCCGATATCAATCTCACCAGAAGCAGGCCATGCGCCATAGTATTCCTTGGCTGGGAACATCATGAGCTGCGAGAGCAGCCAATCTCCTGCAGCGAGCTTAGCGACGATCTCGACTCGACCGTATCGAATAACACCAAAGTTCTTGGTGGTGATCCGGCCGGACTTGACGGGCGCGACAATCTCTCCCGCGGTGAGGTTTGCGACTTGAACGCAGTCTTGGGTTGTTGTAGAGGAGCATGTTCCGTGAGCAGTTAGGTTTATCTGGGTTGTTTCGGAGAGGAATTTATCTGTTTGCAACGTGGGTTTGATGATTAGCTGACCATCGCGGACGAATACGTTTTCATCCGTGTCTGTGGTCAGCGCAAACTCGCCGTTTCTAGAATTGGCCATTCTTTAACACTCATCACCAATGCGAGGCGGAGTTTCAACATACCCGTATCCTCCGACCTCTACCTGTTTGTTCCATATCGTGGAGTTGAAGCCATTGGAAAAGTCATCCGTGAAGACCTTGCAGTATTCATGTTTATCGACTGATCTATAGCCGGACCAGGATAGAAGCGCTATGGCAGCCAGTCCGACAAGGATGCCCAGTGCGGGTATGACCGTAATCCATATGCCTCGAGGGTCCTTTACCGCAAGGTATGGTCTCTCGACGGTGCCCTTTTTGACTCGGCGTGAATGGAAGTAGGGACGCTGAGGGAATCTCTTCTTGAGTGAAGACTGAGTTGAACTTTGAGCTGCAAGGCTCGGTCTGACCAAGTCTTCCGTGGAGGTTGCATGGCTTGTAGAGGCGAGATAAGATCCAGAGGATCTAATTGGAGTACTGTTACAACCAAGCGACATTGTAGTAGAGACTGGTACTATCCGGTGTAATACCCGAGATGGAAGTAGCAAAATAGTGCACTAGATGTACAAGATGTGCTTGGCATTATGGAGAGTGTGGTTATCGCCAAGAATATAAGAATCAAGGACATGTAGCTTTCACTGGGAGAACCCATCAAAATTAGCAAACTTCTATACTATAGCATCGCAATTCAAAACATCCAAGACTCACACGCCAGAATGAACCGCGTCTGGATAAAAACCGAAGTAAATTCCCCTCCGTGAAACTTCCGACATTCCTTCATCGTCAAACGACTTCAGTCGCCGTGGATAGACCGAAAGGTACTTTTGCAAATACCAAACCAACAAACCCCCATAATTAGCTTCTGTACAAAAGTCCATGAGTGCGAGCATCAGTAAATGACATTAATATGCTAGTCTGCGGGTCTCCCCTGATTATCTGGTCACGACACTTTGGCTCTGCTAAGCGACGTGGTATTGAAACACGGTTTATGGGGTATGCATATGTCGAAAACTTGGCTTGGTAAACGCTTGCCCTAAAGAGGGAAAACGCCAATTAAAAACCCTGCTTCTCGCTTATGTCTTGGCGGTATCCACAACGGCAACTTGTTCCTGATAACGCCTCTTCCGTACCTACGTCGCCGGTACCCGCGGGAGTGCCCCTACTGTCTGACTCATGGTTGCAGCCGACATAACATGCACATTAGTAGGGTTAAAATTCCACAGAGGTTACAACGGAGAAAGCTTGGAACTTGACTAAATTATGAGAATATAGTCAATCGGCTCATAAGAAGGATAAGGCACGATCTTGAGAAACGATTCACGGGCCTCTCCAGGTCAAAACAATGAACATAAGATGCCCATTGGCCATTCAACGTGTGCACCAGGATCCCCGTAGTCAGTGCGTCTTTACAGAGGAAATACAGTTCAATTACAGACCGACAGTATGTCGCCAAGAGTCAAGTGAACAGCTCAGAACGGACAATGGGGCTTTTCGGCCGACGGAGCCGAATCACTTCCCTGGCAGGGGTGACATCACATTCCAGTACCTAGCATCACATGATGAGGAATCATCCCATTTCCAAGATCGGTGTTGAGTCTCGGTATCGAATTCATTTTCTAGTATGCAAGGTACGAGATGGCATGTATATCAAGTAATGCAATAGCTAAAGAGCGCGCTACCATGCCATCGACCAATCACATTACACGATGACCCGCCTTCTTATCGCCCAGGTGAATTTGAGCGGCCCGACTTTTCGCCCTTGCTTGCAGTTGTTTTGAGTACGCGAGTCAGCCTTGCGAGAGGATGATGGTCAGTAGACAGACGCTCTTCCCTGTCAGCATCGCGTTTCTAGGTGCCGCAAGCAGCAACAAAATGAACTTAGACGTGGGATCATGCTGTACATCCACAAACAGTTGGCGGCAGTTGGAACATGACAACCCAAGTCACGCAACCTTCTGCAACAGTCTCTCCTTACCCTCTGCACATCCTGCTAACAGGGTCTCGCTCTATTCGTTTCCCAAACCTCGTCCCTCGCTGTTATTCATCCGAGGATGTTGCTCGTACAATCCACGTTAGTGGCCTCGGCCCTCTTCGCAACCTCATGCATCGCCATATCAAAAAACTTCTACCCTTCCTCAAAACGAGGCCTCATCTACATCCCAAACTCCGACTTCCCCAACGATGACAAAGTCTGGGTGCAGAAGCACTCCGACCTAACATGGTACTACAACTACAAAATGCACCCCAGCCCCGTCTACGAGAACAACACCACACTCCAGTTCGTGCCCATGCTCTGGGGAGCCCCCGATGGCTTCGACGACACCACCTTTCTAGAAAACGTCACGGCGCAAATCTTCGGGGGCCGAAACATCACGTACGTCATGGGCTTCAACGAGCCTGACAACTCAATGGCCAACGGCGGCAGCGACATGAAGCCAACAGACGCAGCAAGGTACTGGATTAAGCAGCTCGAGCCGTTGAGAAAACTGGGCGTGTTTCTTGGTGCGCCTGCGGTGACGGGCGCTCCGTCGGGGTTTACGTGGCTTGCCGAGTTCGTGGAAGCTTGTAAGGGCAACTGCACGTTTGATTTTATTCCGATACATTGGTACGGGAGCTTTGACGGCATGGCAAGCCATATCGCTGGTGTGTTGGATGTTTTTCCGAATAAGAAGATCTGGGTTACAGAGTTTGCTCTGGATTTCTCGTCTTTGGCTGCGACGCAGGATTACTTCCAGACGTCAGTGAAATATCTCGATGGAAACAAGTAAGTCACATTTAACCTCTCTGGTTACAGTGATTAACGCGGTTGTTTAGAAACGTCACTCACTATTCGTACTTCGGTTCTTTCCGCTCATTCACATCTAATGTTGGGTATAACGTGTCAATGCTTAATTCACATGGGCGGTTGACTGATATAGGAAGCTGGTATCTAGGGGGCGATGCGACGGGCGTTACACCGGGCGACAATGTTGTCAAGCCGAATGTAACAGCTGCCAAGCCGTCTACCCCTACGTATGTTGTCCCAGCGCTGGTCACGGAGGACAGTGACTCGCGGGGTCTGATGATTCGGCCTTGTATATCCTATCTCAGGCTACTCTGCCTGCTTCTGGCTTTGTATATTTCTTTGTAGAATTAGAGATTAAAACTTCTGAATTGTCACCTCTTCTACTTTGGATACAGTTTTTCTTTTGCTAGATTTTGCGTAGTGACTTTAAGCTCTCAGCCACAGATCTGAAACGGTAAATAAACGTCTAGCGCACAATTCAGATAATATTGCACAATGACTAACTCATTATCTTTGTTGCACACTCTGGGCTCTAGGTCCGTGTGCAAGAATGTAATTGAAGCTGCGACTACAAAGGACACTATTACAGCTAGCTTCGCCAGATCATGATGTCAAACCATTGTTCGTCAAGAGGATGTCTCAGGTGATCCACAGTACGCTTTCCGGTTTCAGTTTGTTTGTATCTGCCGTGGAATGCGCTGATTAGCAACGGCACAAATACGCCCGCGTCCACGGCTCGCGTATTACGACTCGACCAATCACAAGCCTTCGAGTCTCATGATGCCTTGCTTCTTTTGGCATGTGAGAACTGACAAAGGTTCTCCCGTCGTCGGCGAAAAGGTCAACAAGGGGTATGGTTATCACTGCAGGACCCAAACATCTGTCATGCAGCACGGTGTCCGGCGATCTCCCGTTGCTGCTGCTACATAACAAAGACTGATGCACCCTTTTGACGCTTCAGGGACCGTCAAGAAAAGAAATGATAGACATGATAGATTCTGGAACAAGTCGAAGATCAGCCAGCATGTCAGGGGCCGCGGTTAATGGGTCACTTGGCCATGTCACTGGCTTGTCACTGGACACCTCATCGCCTGTCCCTGTTGTAAGCACTCAGAACTTTAGTGCTCCAAGCAAGAATACTAACAGCTGGATGCTCAGGTAGCCATCATTGGAGACAAAGGCTCTGGGAAGACATCTTTGTTCGAGGCTCTTTCTGGCTTATCTCTACATGGCTCTAGGCTCTCATCAACAAAATTCCCCGTCCATGTCTACTTCATGCACACAAGCCGGAAAGGGACAACATTGAAGGCACGGATAAAACCTGGAAAGGTTGATGGGCAGGGGAAAGACCTTTCAGACCACTTGCAGAGTTTCGAAGTGAATTATGAGGGAGACCTTGCAGCTGTTAATCTTCCTCACGTCGTCCGTCAGGTTCGTACGGCCTTTTGCGCCCTTGTCCTGACACATTTGGCTGATCCTGGCGGGCAACAATACAGGCAACGAATCACATGCAGGTCGCAACAGCGTTCTCTGACGAAAAGGAACAAGAGGAGCAACAAGTATCCGACAATGTCCTTGTCATTGAGATTTCAGGCCCAGACTTTTTCAGCATGGAAATTGTCGATACCCCTGGGCTCTCGTCTAGTGAGTGACATTGCCGTGCCTGTTGGTTAGGATGGAAGCTTACGTCTACAGGCCCGACGGTTGATGACGCACAAGAACTCACAAGAGCTCTCATCTTAGATCTTGCCAAGCAGCCCAACACCATCATCCTGTCAGTCTCATATCTCACTGTCTCCAATGTAAAACTAACAAAGTTCAGAGTTGTGGTTGACGCAACGAATGATATGAGCAGTCAGGAGAGCCCGAGGCTTGCGCGAGCAGCTGACGTGACAGGAAATCGAACCGTCGCAGTCGTAACCAGGTGCGATCTTGTACCCCCAGAAGAGAGAAGATTTGTAAGCCCACGTCCCTTCAAAGACATGGTTATCCAGGAGACTGATCAATCCAGGTACTGAGAGCTATGCGTAACAAGGAACGCCATCTCGGTCATCCCTGGTTCGCCACCAGAAGTCTCTCAAGTGACGAGCGCAATTATGATTGTACCCTCGAGACGCGGATTTCCATTGAGGACTCATTCTTTTCAGAAAAAGAATGGGCGGTTCTAAAGCGCAGGCGGCGTGTGGGAGCTTTAGCTCTAAGGGACCACCTCAAGACCAGGGTGAACGTCATGCTTTGGGGCAGTATAGACCTGCTGACGACAATACTCAACACCCCATCGCATTCGGTTGCACCGATACACACCGCCAACAGAGACAGAGTACAGCCAACCGATGTCTACGCAACGTCACAAGAGACTGTAGTGGCAGATGCTGATCTGGAATTCGCTTCCGATGCGCCGCGGCCAACACCGCTGCTCAACGCCGTCATCGTCGCGTTGACTGTTGCCATATGTCTCTGTCTGATAGCGCTTGGCTGTAGCACAATGGCAATGGAGATTGCGAGTGAGGGAGGCTGGACTCGTTTGTTTCTTCTGGTAACCGCTGTCCCCCAGGTTATCTTGAGCTTGGTAAGAACAACACCCACAATTATGCTAGGCCGCCATGCTGACTTGATCCTAGTTCTTCTGCCAGGCTATCGTCGTGACCATCTTCCAGATGATTGGGCCCGTCACCCAACTAAAAGTGAATTCCAAGTTTTACTCCGCAAAGCGAACGAGACGCCTTGATGGAACGAAAGTACTATTGCCCCATGTCACCATTCAATGTCCAGTGTACAAAGAAGGCCTCGAGGGTGTAATCAGGCCAACGGTACAGTCCCTCTCTGCTGCCATCCGGAATTATGAATCTTTCGGCGGCACAGCTAGTATCTTCATCAACGACGATGGGATGCAGCTGGTGTCCCCAGAAGAAGCCGAGGAACGACGCATGTTTTACAAAGAGAACAATATTGGCTGGGTTGCCCGGCCAGCGCATAACGCCAACGGCGAAGGGATAAGTAGATTCATACGCCGCGGAAAGTTCAAGAAGGCATCGAATATGAATTACGCACTCGGGATTAGTCTCAAGATAGAGGATAAGCTGGTGCAAATCGTCCGCGACGAGCACTGGACACAGGCCGACGAGAGTGCAGCGTATCAGAGATGCCTGGACGAAGTCCTGTCTGAAGAGCTAGGCCGAGCTTGGGTAGGTGGTGACATCAGAGTCGGCGACTATCTCCTCCTTGTCGACTCCGACACCCGCGTCCCAACAGACTGTCTAATCGACGCCGTCAGCGAGCTCGAAGCCTCACCCAGAGTAGCCATCCTACAGTTCACATCTGGAGTCATGAACGTCACGACAAGTTACTTCGAAAGCGGCATCACCTTCTTCACCAACCTCATCTACACAGCCATCGCCTACGCAGTTGCCAACGGCGACGTGTCTCCGTTCGTCGGACATAATGCGTTCATTCGCTGGTCTGCACTGCAAGAGGTCGGCTCTCAGGACGATGACATTATATGCAACGAGAAGGACCCAAATGCAACAACACCGTATGAAAAGTTCTGGTCTGAGTCTCACGTCTCAGAGGACTTTGATGTTTCTCTGCGGCTGCAAACTCTGGGGTATCATATTCGCCTGGCGACCTATTGCGGCGACGGCTTCAAAGAGGGTGTCTCACTTACTGTTTACGACGAGTTGGCCCGGTGGCAAAAGTATGCGTATGGCTGTAGCGAGCTCCTCTTCTATCCCATAAAAGACTGGTGGAGACATGGTATCTTCACACCGCTTTTCAAGCGCTTCATCATGTCTAATATGCCACTGGGGTCCAAAATCACCATCATGTCTTATATCGGCACATATTACGCCATCGGCTATTCATGGCTTGGTTCGCTGCTAAACTACTTCCTCATTGGATGGCTCAACGGAGAGCTTGATCACTACTACATGAGCAGCTGGCGTGTCTGGGTTGCTCTTGTCGTTGTCTTCTCTATAGCCGGCAACATCACCCTCGCTCTGATCCGGTACCGCTCTCAGCAGGCTAGCCTGCTGAAGGAGCTCTGGACATGCTTCAAATGGGTAGCTCTCATGTTTGTTTTTCTGGGCGGCATATCGATGCATGTCTGCAAGGCGATTCTCTGTCACATGCTGTCTATTGACATTGGCTGGGGCGCTACGTCTAAAGAGGTGGAAGACACGAATTTCTTCCAAGAGATAAGTATTATTATCGCGGGCTTCATGTATGTATTCATCTTTTGCCTGGCAGTGACAGCATTGATGATCTGTGGCGTCTATGCCTTCCCTTATTTATGGAGGATCAATGAGCTCGTTGCTATCTTTCCCCTTGCAACTGTTATCTTCTGTCACTTTTTCCTTCCCATTGCTCTGAATCCCAACTTGATGAAGTTTACTTGGTAAATAGATAAATCATAGAGTTTATATAATAGAGCTTATATATCATCCACCAGGGGCACATCCCGTGACTGTTGCTACGGAAGTAACTCGATTCTTTTTACGTTACATTACGTATTATTTATCAATGACTCGACTAGACTACAAACCTGACCCTACTCTGATCTTTTGTTAACGAAAGTTATCACGATTCCGTTCAAGCAACCTGCCCCGAGTTCCGCTTGTTCTTCATAGACTCATGTGTCGCTTACAATGAGATTCAAAGGCTGATGAGGCTGCGAACATTTATGTTAGATGTACAATGAGCTATATTCATCTTGTTCTTTGTGGAGTTATACCAAGCGATTACGCTGGGCCCATCATGATTCTTTTAACTTGCCGAATATAGCAACTCGCTTTGAAACAGACGAATCGGTGATTTTACATGCTGCCTTGCGAATGAACCCATCTATGTGCCCCACTTACGATCCATCGGAGGTTCCAAGTGGGTTGAAGATCTGCGATGTCATCCTGGCGATCTACACCCTGGCCGAATGTTCCAAGACATTCTTAGTTCCAAAAGCAGATGCACAAAGATATTATACACTAGAGAGACAAACAAAGTAGGCATATAGGCCACTTCTCACAGGTCGTCAAACCAGGTCCTGTCATCATCGCTTGCACAGACACAGCGCCACATGCAACACCGCACGGGCATTTGTATGCCTATAGTTTGCCCTTGCTCGTCAAGCCCTCTCTCAAGCACTTGCGGTTTGAGATTTTACTATCTCTCCAGACTTTCATATTCTGAATGAGCAAGACATAACTACCGAGTCAAGAAGCTGGTATGTCCAAGTCACAGAATTCATTGCAATGTCAGAAGGAGGCTGAAAATCACGCTAGATCATCATGCCCTTGTAGTCTCTAAGCGACTCACTAGTAAGTGTCATGAGAGACTTGATACATACAAAAGAGACAGCATCCTCTTCTATCCTGTGAAGATCGAACTCCCCTTCATAATGAAGGTGTCTGTTGTGGTCTTTTTGTTCGTTTGGGATCTGGATAGTCTGATTGGAATCATGAGTAACAAACTATCTAACGTGGCAATTTGAGTGTGGCTTACTATAATTGAGATGTCTTATTGCTGGTCTATTTTCGGGCCGCAAATGGTTTCGCATTATCCGAGCTTGTACTTATGTTCCTCCATCTCTTCCGTCATGATTAGTCCAGCCGCGCCAACAACCAGGACATCCAAGAAATTAATCAGTGCGATCACTCCAATCTACTCTCTATCATCATGGGCCTCGACTAAGATATACTGATATTCCTGAGAGCATCGCAATGGTAGTGATGGTGATTGTGATGAAGAAGAGCGGGTCTTGATCAACGGCGACAGTAGCGGCTGTGGCTGAATCATTCTGTCACAGAATGCACAACAACATTAACACGCTGATCAAGAGCTCATGCTTCATGATTAACCGGCGACTGAGGCCATGTGCAGCTAATTCACAGGTAGGTTTGTCTCGGCAGTTGCATTGATAGTGATGTTCTGAAGCACTGATGACTGAACAAGCGTTGAATATATCTGATTCAGAAGGGAATAAGTAACGAGGCAGTGAACATTTGTCTCGAACATTGCTCTCTGACACAGACATACTCATTGTGAACAATTGTCAATCTAAGGACCTGATCTAATACATAAACCTCGCTCAACTCGCATCAAGCATCTCCATCTCCATCTCACCTTTCAGATACGCCAAACACCCTTCACTACTACATCACACACTTCCAAACTTACCATCACCCGACAAAGTATCTTCAAAATGCCTTCTCGACCTCCAACTGACAACGCCATGCCCGGCACTCGATGCCCGAAGTGTTCTACGCCCGAGAATGATGTTTGGGTTATTCCTGGCCGCAACTGCGGACATTGCGGCACCTATTGCGAATAGAGAGCATACCACGTAGCTCAGAGGCTGTTCTAATGAGGCTCTATCATGTTTGCAACGTTAGATTACATTTGCGCGGTTTTGAGTTTTGCTGAAAAATCCGGTAGGCTCTGGATAGGGTCTGTTGATAGCAATGGAAAAAGCCCGGGGGCTTTAGGTGGATGCGGCTCAATTCGAGAAAGCAATCTCAATTCCATGGCATGAGGTAGAAGGCGTAGACCAAAAAATACAAAACTTTAACAAATTATACATCGCTATCTTGTATGTGACACTATGCTCTGTGATTAATGATATACACTATCCCTGTACACTTGAGGTCGCTCCGTCGCGCAGAGCAAAAAGCTCCCGCCTCCAACCAAACCACTTTGCCATTCTCTTCCCCATGATCCGTAAAAGAACCGGATCAATCTTGTCAACAGGATGCGGCTTATGAAAGACAATCCTGCCTTTGTCCCCCTGTTTGAATACCACCGCCGAGCCGCTGTTATTCCTCGCTGTGAAACCCGCCTCAATCATGGCGTGCACGAATCGATCCCATAACACATCCTTGGCAACGTCGTCTTTGCTGGGAAACATAAGGTAAATGACCCCCAATGATGGCCTCGTCAGTGGGATGACGGCGTCTTTGGTGACCTCCCCTGCAGCTTCGGCTGGTGGTTCCGTGACATCAATGGCAGAGGACCCCTGCTCTGCTCGTGTCTTGACCTTTTCTCGACCCTGCGCTATCTTCGTCGACACGAGTCGCGGCTCAGAACCCACGCTGAATGTGCCAGCAACGATTCGCTGAGTCTTATCTGCCATCTGGATGGCGGCGAGAATCTCAGCCTCGGCTCGTTGCTCATCCTGGATATACTCTGCACTCAGGTTTGCTGAAACAACGCTAAGAAGGCTATCGACCTCTTCTTCAGTAAAAGCAGGCTCGCTGCGTGTAAGATCCTCTCTCAGGAATCCCCCAATCGATTCCCAGAATTTCTCTACTGCTGTGCGGAGAGCCCGAGACTGCCAATGCCAATTATCATTTCTGAGACCTGTTGGTTGTTTTATGTTGTAGAAATCCCTGATGAACGCCCCCCCTATGCGCTGAAACGCGACTGCGTCTGGTTTGATCATTCGGCGCAGCTTCCAAGACTCCCGATGTTCTGTGGCATAGACTTGGTGCAATGTTCGCGCTGCGTTCTGGGGCCTGTGTGAACGGACAGCCATGAGCATTTCGTGACATGTTGATAAGTCAGAGAGTATCTGGTAGGTTATTTCATCCAGCCTCTTCCCCTCGGACGGATTGCTGGATAAATGATCCTGGATCATGGCGAAAAGCATGGCATGGTCGAAAGTCCTCTGGTCGTCGGGCTGTCCCTGTAGCTGAACAAGACACCAGTCGAGGGGGTCGTCTGTAAGTGACTCCTGGGTATTGGGAAGCGTTGTTCGTTTCAACAAGCCGATTCTGTCGGACGAACGTTGGCTAGTATCGATTGTCCAGTGTTTCTGCATGCCTGGAATGTGCGGCAATAGCCCCTCCAGGAGACTGGCCCTGTATATGACCTGGTTGACAAGGAGAAGCTCAAGAGCACCCAGAGCTTTATCGTAGCTGGGCGGCAAGGGCGTGCCGGGATAAATACTGTCGCTGAATCTCTTGCGCACCGCATCCACATGCCTGCACTCAATTTCAATCCATCGCCACCAACAGCAACTCTCGATCTCGAGAATAACGCGCTGGGTAAGCATCATAGCTCTCTGGTGTTCTGACGCCTTCTTGAAGATGTCGGTTGCAAACATCATTTTGACGTGTCTTCTCATGTATGCGCCGTCGCACTGCAGGTACCATAGATGATCTCCCGTCTCATCCAGGCGAGACTTTGCGAGTGTGAGTAGGTAATCGCAGTTGAACATTGGTGGACGTGAGAAAGCTTGGTTGGTGTAAGGAGACCAGAACTCCACTGCGCCTGTCTCGCGAAAGGCTTCGTGGCTGACGAGGTCGTGCCACTTCTCGGACCGTCGGGGTTGTTGAGGGTCTACTCCTTCAAGAACCTTATCCACGATATTGCAGAGGACCTCGAGAAGGTAGGCCTGCGCTTCGAGAACCAACATGGCTCTGGGATACCCAAGAGTATCAGCACGGTGTGCAGCCTTTGCTTCCCAGTCCACCAGCAATCCATATCGATCTCCATACATGACGACGCATTTGGCAGAGAAATCCACGTCAAAGAACCCAGCTGCCCAGCCGAGAGTGAGCTGCCTGCTGTCAAAAGCCGCCCAGGACTGGGGAGAGTAGGCGGTCCGATAGTGAAGCAGAGCGAAAAGTACAGCAGAGTTGGCCTTGAGGACTTGTGCGTTGAGCCAGGGTAGCAGGAGTTGACGTCTCCGAGTGGGACTTCTGGCGTGTATGTAAAATCTCTCGCGCATGTACGTGTATCGCGGAAGAAACCATTGTTGCTCCTCCAAGTCCGGTGCTGCTTCTTTCAGTAATGCCGCTCGCTTCGCTTGGCTTTGCTTCTTCCACCGACTCAGCAAGACATCACCAAAGACGTCAATCTGTTCGCTAAGCTGAGTTCGCCGGCGATGGATATCTCCCACGACGGAGCGGGCACTGCGTTCTGCTTCGGCATCAGAAAGCCTGCGGTGGTAGGAGTGTTCAGGGCTGTATTGCTCCTCGACGGCGTAGAAACCATTCTGGCAGTCGGCGCATTCGCACGGCGGTGGGCGGACGGACCTTTCGACGGCCGTAACGGTTGAGCTGTATTGAGGAGGATCTGGTTCCTCATCCCGGTACAGGGCGAATGGGTTCATTGTTTCGAGATTGATCGCTCGTGATGCTGCACAAGTTGGTTGAGCTCTTGGTTGCAATTGTTTATTTTGGCAGAGGCAGATTCACAAGTCAGACGCGTGAAAGCGGGGACCAATGAGAATACAACTACGATTACGCAGTGTAACACAGTGCAAACGCGGTTCTCTCTACAGCTTTCCTGAGGTACATGTCGAGATGTCTCTTTTGACAGAGGGCTCAAAGCTTTGTTCGTCATGTTCGCAAAATGGTGTAAGTGAGTGAGCTTTAGTGCACTTCAGACTGGAATGTTCATTGGTCAAGCGTCTTGAACTCCAGGGTACTAGACCTCATGAGGACGTGATCTGCGCCAGGATCAGATTCCTACCTAAAAAGTGTTGATGTAAGACAATAAATTATTAACGGAAATCTACGGGCAATGTGACAAGGTAATCGCAGTGGATAAAGAGAGATTTAATTATCTTATTGCAAGGCACTCCAGGCTATATCCCTCTAGCAAACATCTGGACAGCCCAAAAATTCGCCCAGAACCAAGAATACAACGCTGTGTTACCCCAGGTTGTTGGCGAGCACGACGTCACCTCGTTAATACATAAAACTCTCAAAGCTTAGTGTCCACATTTTTTGCATAATCCAACCTCGACACAAACCCTGATATAAAATAATGCATAAAAGCAATAACCAAGTATCCAGCCATTGTACATTGTGCAACTCACGCCATGTTGGCAAAAGCCTTCTGAATACCTTCCAACTCCTCCAAAGTCAGGGGGATAATGGTACCATGACGAGGAGACTCGGGGTATTTATAACCTGTACGCAGTGTCCACTTCCCACCAGCGAGATCAGTCGACTCGAGTGGAACATAACCATTACCGCCAAATTCATCAGCCAGGAGGATATATCTAGCACCATTGACATCCTTGCAGTTGGTCTTGAAGATCGAAGGGCCCTCCACCTCTTGCGTTCCAGCGTTCTTTCCAATGCAACTGGCTATCATGTGCCAGTCATCCAAACCTGCAGTCAACGACGTACTGCTTTCCTGCACGATATCCGCACAGCCATTGATAGTAGCCTTTGTGAAACGATAATAGATTCCATCCTCCTTAATAACGGTAGAGTCAATCCGGCCTTTGGGTGGTTCATCTTGCCAGACCTTTGGCTCGCTGAACGTTATAAAGTCATCCGTGGTAGCGTAGACCATCCGCTGGTATGCAGTAGGATCATGATCGGGGTTTGCTTCATTGTCATAAATTCCAGACGCCCAGTAGACAACATAGGTCTTAAGATCATCATCAAAATAAGCCTCGGGTGCCCAGGTATTGCCGTAATTATCTGGCGATACCTCAACATGACGCTGGGCACTCCACGTGATGAGATCTTTTGACTCCCAGATCTCGAGATATCGGCTGCCAAAACGTTGCGCGTCTCCCCAGCTCGTGCCGCAGCCGATGCAAAGATCAGTCGCCAGGATGTAAAATTTGTCTCCCTCATGTGACCTTAGGATAAAAGGATCACGGACTCCGCCATCGCCTTTGGTGGATTTTAAGATGGGCTTCCCGTTGTTGAGTTCGGTGAAGGACAAGGCGTCGTTTCCGTTGCTAGCAGCCAGATAAATGTTTTCATCACGGTTGCTGAAATAGAGAAAAGCGTAGCCTTCATAATTGGAATTGCAACTAATCTCCCTCTTGGCAGCTTCAGCCCCAGCTCGTATGGCAAGGGTAGGCGACCCAGAGGTGAGGATCGGCAACACCGCCAGAGCGCTGACAATGATGGATGGATTAAGTATAGATAACATTGTGAAAGAAGAGGTGGTAAGATAAGTTGCTCTGATAGACTGGAATTGGAATTTGGAGTGCAATGTATGTGACTTCTTATAGCTGTACCTGAGGGAAAGGTCTCACTTTCGCCATAACCTCGCTGTTGAAAATCCTTTCTGAATAAGAATATAAGGTTCTCACGTTATGCTTAGAAGGACGCTAAGCGCTAAGCTTAAGCCGAGTGATTGGGTCGGATAACTTGATCTGCACAACCCCAGATTTCCCATCCCCGCACTAACCTATTTGTTTTTGTTCCAGGAGATCTTTGCCATAGCCGAGCAAATAGCCTGTCTTCCGTTTCGTTAAACGAGAATGTAGATCCTATGATCCATGAATCCGCACCAGTCTTGAAGACTTCCGTAAAATACTCTGCGCAGTTACAAAGCCGCGCCAATAAATCGCTGTGATACATAGAGCCAGCCAGCGCCTTCCCTATACTAGTTTTGCTCAACCTCCTCGGCCTTACTTCTGTCTAAACACTTTTGGGGCCGCCTTCAACGTCGCTCTTCATACAGCAAAGGCAGCTTTTATTAGGGATCCTAGATGATTGCCACAGATCAATGTATCATCGACTTCCTGGTCTCCCCAAGGAGCTAAGTGTTCATAGTGGCCATGGTGTTGATGGCTCTGGTATATCTACAGAGCTAAGACTTTACAGTAAATAATAAGGTTAATCATGATATCTATAAGTAACTTCACTAACAAATGCTCCAATCATGAATCACGTTGTATTAGACTAGTGATCAATGTATGCGTTATCAAGCCATGCTATACATTCAGATGTAAATAGCTAGCTACTTGTCTTGAGCCGGCCAGCAAAAGACGCATATTTCCAAGCACATCCCGTGCGCAGACTATCAATACAAGTGAAAGAAAGGGTTGAAAAGAATACTACTGCTTAATCAATAGCCTGGATTTTTTACAATAGTGAAAGCTAGCTATGCCTCTAGTAAGAACAGCAGCATTTCCTGCTAGAAAGACTACTTGGTGCAGCGACCACGACGGTGATTACCATGGCCACATCGATGGTGAGCGGCACCATGTGCGCTGTGCGATTGGTGGGAATTCTTCTTCGCAGGGCTCTTCTTGGAACTCTTGGGAGTTACAGCCGGCACGGGGTATTTTACCGCCTTAGCCGACTCAACTACAGAGGTAGTCTGAGCGGAGGTTGGAGCCCTGACGATTGAGAGTGTTGTTGAAGAAGGCTTTTGGCGAACCAGGCTGTGCCCATCATTCGCGGGAGTGGGAGTAGATTGCGAAGAAATAGCAGCTGAAATCGCGTTCGAGCTCCTCGCGGTTGTGAGCTTGACTGTGACAACAGCGTGCACCGGGACCGTAACCTTGACACGATTGTCGGACAGAGTCACCTTTGTATTTACCATCTGTGCCTCAGCATGCGAAGTGAAAGCCTGAGCTGTTGAGAAGGTCCTTCCTGTGACGCCCAGGTCGACTGTCTGGGCAGCAGTGCCGGTGTTGGTAAGCACCAAGACGACACTGCCATCCACGTTCTCAAACGCACCAACGATAGTATCTTGAACAACACCTGAAGTCGAAAGCCTGTGTGCGCCAGGGCGAATGTGGCGCGACCAGTGAGCAATAGCCCAGAGAATCGAAGATATGGTAAACTTGGTGCCGTCCGTGTCGATGACGTGAGAAAGAGACCCTCGGTTGTTGGTTTCAACGCCCTCCCAGTAGATATAGGCCGAAAGATCAGCATTGACGATGCCTTGTGCGATCTTGACCGCCCACGTGAAGCCTTCGTTGGAACCCCCGTTGACGTACCACGCAGTGGCAAAGGCCTGGTCATTGGCAGCTCCCTCGGACATCCAAGTCGGCAAGGTCGTGTTCATAGACTGGTCGGGGCTGCTGGAGTACTCGTGCGAGGTGATGACAGATAAATAGCTCTCCACCCCAAGCTCAGCCAGCTTCGCGGTGTACTCCATCTGCGACTTCCAACCGATGTTGTCACAGCACGTCATTTTGATATCGCCAAGTCCCTTGGAATTCAAAGCACTGTGCAGAAGAGGAATGACATCTGCAGCCTGCTCGGCAGATGAGAGCATAAAGTCCGAGCCATCGCCCTCATTGAGGAAGCCAACGTGCGATACAGGGATGCCAGCCTCTTTGTAATAGGAGAGGTACTGGGCTATCATCTCAACGTAACGATGTCTCCAGTCTCCAGATGTGCACGACACACCAGGGGTACCGCAGAGACGACCCATACTCTTGGCCGACTTCATGTACAGAGGCGCAGACCAGGCGTTGGCGTAGATAATCTCTACACCGTAGGCCATGGCCTGTTTACTGAACCATACCTGGCCATCATCATCGCCGTCAAAATGGAAAACAGGCTGCTTCGCGGGGTTGTCGGTGTTGGTGCTCGTGATGGAGTTGGAGTCATCGCAACCGATCTTGTTCCGGATGATAGATAGGCCTGCGCCGGTTGTAGTGTTGAAGAGAAGGTCCAGGCCCTCTTTCTGTGGTCCGGGGCCAAGATTTTGGAACTGCTTAGCATGGCCGTAGGCCTCAGAGACACCAAAGCCATCAATTACCTGGAGTCTCTTGTTGATGTTGACAGTAACGGATGTATCGCCGAGCGCCAGGCCGGTATGAGCAGCAAGGACAGAAAGAATAAGTGACAAGAGCATATTGCGCGGTAATGAGTTTATGATAGATTTTGAAATGAAAGGTAAATTTTGCCTAGCAAAGGAATTTAAGATATTCCTAGGCAAGTTGAAGTGAATGTAGAAAAGAAACAACAATGAGCGAAAAATGAATGAACGAAGAGTAAGGGAGTGCTTCAGCTGGATGTATAACAGCTCAGCTCCATTAAAGTATAGATTTAAAGCCAGGCTCTCAACATCGAAAGCGATCAGCCCTCTCGTCGAGTGTATGAGTAATACTCCCAAGCTCTCTAGCAAGTCTTGATTATCCCAGTAACAAACAGGGGTGACGGGAAGACGGCACAGCTAGACACAGCGCATGTTGGCAGTTTTGAGGTTCTTGTTAAATTCGAGGGGCTCAGAACAACGCGTCGCAAAGGACTGCCGTTGCCGTCTACTCCGACCTGAAAGCCCAGACTTCGTTAAAAGAATGTACGTTGTATCATTTCAGAGCGAGGTTTGCAGGAACGCCAGCAATCGACAGGAACGGTGGGGCGCCTTGAAAGATGGTACGCTAATTGCAGACCATGAAATCTGAAACGTCTTTCATCTGCCTATCTCTTCTATGAAAATCTTCAGATAAATATGTATATGTGTTAATGTTGTGTATGCGACCGGGTAAAGATGGATGTTTTCTTTGTCCAGGCCGCTTTAGATGTCTTGCCATTTTCCCGCCCCTCATCTCAATCAATCAGCGCTTACAGAGACAGGAAAGCTCATTTCGTCGCTAACATTACGTGGGCAGTTTCAGGTTCGCCAACTTACCTTAACGAACCACGCTAAAATGTTTGACAGGAGAGGACGACAAGGCGGCTTGTGTGTTCGGATAATCGGCATTATCTGAAACGGCGGGAGGTCCACCAATCATTTCCAGCGAGCTTGTCGTCGACAGATCAGGTATCTGCGTGCCCTTGATGTACCTTCAGACGGCTTTGGAACCGAGTACAATGGGCATAATCGCAACTGGAGTCTCTACCTGAAAGGTTATTAAGCTATGGATAAATAGCTAAAGCCACAGATCCATTTGTCTGCGACAATCTTGGAAGCTTTTGCCAGACTATGTCGTATTAATCACTTTTTTCAGACATGACCGAAGAAAGAAAGGGTTCTATAAAGACACTCATTGAAACAGACTTTGCGAAACCCTAACAGATTAGAACGCCGTAGAAGGAACATATTAGCAAAAAGTGACTATAAGTTATGGGTTTACATTGCGGTGTTCTTGGATTTGACTGGTACTGGTGACTGGTTTTGTCAAGAGTTCAGAACAGCAATCGAGAACCATGCAATGTGGAATGTGTGTTTAATGGAGGCAAGAAAACACCGGAACTTGATTCTAAGTAATAAGAAGCTTAGGTAAGTCAGTATCATCTTAGGACTAAGTCTTAGGTAAGTTAATATAATTTTAGGAGATTCTTTAATAAGTTTATTTTAGTATCCTGAACTTAGTCTTACTCTTCCAAGTTATATTTTGGCTCCCCTTGGTAAATCTGATCAAGCAACAGACGTTCTTGAGCACGAAAGCTCCTCTCTTTCTGGCCAAGGTCGAACGACTCGGTCGCCGTCACTGTCAGTGGCTGTGTCGGCACACCTCCCTCCTTCAGGACATACAAATATCGACCCTTGATAAGAGCTACCTTCGCTGGCTAAGCGACTGGCGCCAGAGTCGTCAGGTCCGAATGTTTCGCCGGAATAAGCATAGTTAACAGGTGCGGTGCTTCCTTTAGGCCTCTTGGGTCAGGGAGTGCCTTCATCACTTGTAGTTGTATCATCGTTGCCGATAACAGTATTGGCCTACTTGTATGTCGTGATAGTTGCCAAAGCAGCGCAGGGAGTGACTGCTTATATTACACCGTTCTGGCTCAGGAACTTTGACGAAGCTGTTGATTTCGAGGAGGGAGGCTCCCTTGAGCTCAGGGTTCAGCCTGAAGTGTTTGTTCTCGAAGGCGGGAAGAAGGCCCCCCCCTTTTGCGAGATGATGACGTGACAGATTAAAGTTGATGGGTGCTCCAACTGCTGCCGTAGGCACCAGAGTTTTATCGCAGTCGCGTCTGCCAAACAAAAGACATCATCGCCAGCAACACCATCCATTTCGCTCTCTTGCGATGCGCCCGCGATGGACGAGCGGACACTGATAACAAAGTCTTTGCATAGACTGAGCGTCGAGAACCCGCGATTCCATGTTCACCCGCTGTTCTGGACTTCCAAAGCATCTCCGAGTCCTTCACTGTTATTTCAAGCACCACGACTCCGCCGCTCTCCCTTCCTCCCTACCACCATCGCCACCGCTTTCTCTCAGTAGCGACGCCGACTTGGACTTCAGCCGACTCGTTCCGTTCCTGACAAACGGCCCGTGGACCTCGAGCAGGTTTGCCAGCTTTAGCGTCATGATGCGTGCTCGTGGCATCATCAACGCCAACGCTCGACCTCATTTCCTCTACAACAAGATCAGGTTCCATACGTCGGAGTGCGAGGTTTTCAAGACGAGGGACATGTATAACCTCGAGCGACGACCGATTATTGGGCACTTTCAATACGAGGAACTTGTTAAGTAGCGAAAATGAGCCAACAGGCCTAAACGCCATCCTGTTCCTGGCTTCTCTAATTCTCCCGCCGAGAGACTCTCCCAGCGCCGGTTGCGCGACTTGACACCCGATCTGTGGTTTGAGGACCCGTACTTGGTCTGCATCCTGCTATCCCTCGCCCAACTGCAATGGCAGCGTCGGAAGACGACGCCAGAAGCCTTCTCTGTACGTCAGACCCCATTCCCTTGTTACTCTTTCCACTGACGATTAATCCCCCAGGTCCGATTACTCGTAACCAACGCCTCCGACACGACGCACGCACACGTCTTCCAAGCCTACATCCCCTCGAAGCTTCTCCACGCACTCGACAACCCGACCGAAGACATAGACAACCTCGTCTGGCCAGCGATACAGCACGTCCAGGTGGCATTCGAACCGCACGCGAGCTTCTCGGAGCGAATTGCAGGACAATTACTCACTGGTCTCAAGACACGGGCTGATGAGGAGATGCCGCGCGGAGAGAAGCGCAAGCGTGATGAGCTGGATACCGAGGAGCAGACGAAGAGCGTCAAGGCCTGGGATGGTGCTGTGCAGGTTGCAGCAGTCCCGTTGGCCAACGGGTAATGGATCGTCGCATCCAGCGCAACTAAGCTCAGTATCTCCACCCAGCTGTCTCGACAACTACCTACCAACCAATACACCCGCCGGTGCAACCTACGAACCATGACCCAGCCTGACCAACACAGAGCTGGGCATTTCGAACGCACCAGAGCGACGAAACATAATCTGTATAGAGTAATGGTAAGTTCAGCGGCGTCGAGATCACATATGTACCCAATTGACCGAGCGATAGAAATGTACAATACATCCTTCCATATCACCATTCAGTCTGCATTGTTACATGTTCTCATTTGCAACCAGGATTTCGCCATCTCATGCACGGCGCGTGAGTATGGGTTGTCGACAGAGACTGGGAATAGAGTGTCAATGTTCATAGAAGCACGTTTGATAGGAATCAGTAATTTGCATGCATATCATGCTATCACCAAATTGACATGAGATGATCAGAAGTTCACTGAGTTAACATTCCATGATGTAAAGTACTGATGATTTATGCTCCATCCAGTGAAAGGCGCGCCAAACAACGCCATCAGCAGATTGACCTTATGACTTGCAATTTTCATCTCAGATAAGATACTGTCATGGGCCAGCACCATCAGGTCACTGCCAGCGAGAACAGGCACCAGTTACAGCACTAAGCAATGTGACATGTCTTGTCCTTTAATATCCCATCCTGGCGAAACATGTTATGCGTCCTCTGCTAGCCTCGAGAATCACAGAGGACGTCATTGACCAGAGCGAGGATTTAGCAGCGCCCCAATCGCGACGTCTCAGCACATCAGACGCACGACGCCAACAGGACATGGGTTCATCTTGAAGCTCTCCCGTGCACAAAACTCGAGAGGTAGTGTTGTGAGATTCTACTGTATTTAGTTGCGTGGTTTTTCTGCGTAAGAGTCACTTTAGCGCTGGGAAGCTCAGTCAGTCGTTTCTGTAACTTGTTTGACTTTATCCCTGTATTCATGCCCTACCAGTCTAGGGAGGCAAGAAAACTTAAGGCCTTGAACCTAAGTTATAAAAGACTTAAGTAAGTTAGCATAAGCTTAGGATATATTTTGTCAAGTTATTTTAGTATGCGGTATCAAGGTCTAATGCTTTTTTGCTCCCCCAGATCAGTTTACTTAAAGTTTGTAGTTTGTTTTATTCTCTGCGAAGTGCAAGGTTGAGTGCTTCACGGCAGCGAATCATGCACGTGACGACGCGCGAAGTTCGTGAATGGCGCGGTTCATGTCCTCGAAAGGAAGATCAGCCTACCTTGGACCCAATATCACTCAGAACCCTAAGTCAATTCATTCCAATATGGCGATTCGCACAGCTAAATATAAAACGTCAAGACTGGGAGTTCTTTGGCTGACATGAACTGCGTGTTATCTTATCACCCCCCTCATCCAGTGCTAGGATGTAACACGACCAGAACAACATCACCGCAGGCCACCATATCGCAGAACTCGGCCCCGTCTAAGCTGTTCTCATTAATCTCTCTCGCTTTTATAACCACTAAGTCTGCTGTGCGCTGCACGGGCCACGAGAACAGTCAATAGTGATCATCATCTGTTCGCAGCTTAACCTACAAGAAAGGTAAAAGTTATCAGATCATGTAGACTATTCCTTCCTTTCTGTTTACGGTCATACGGAAGCATATAGTCCAATGAACGTTCCCAAGGGAAAAGACAGCACTGAAATACGTACTTTGCATAACGGAGACAAGCAATAAGATGCAGGGCAAACGTTCTATTGATTCGACGCACGGGATCACGCGACGGTTGTCAAGCGTACATCCCTATGACCCATTATTATTCCATAAATTAATGAATGTGCCATTCTCGGGGAAATTCTAACAGAGGATGTAGCTTGACGAGCCCAGGACAGTCTCTGTGCACTTCCCCGCATCTGTGAGACTTGGCCACAACTCATGAACGAAACTGTGTCTCGAACCAATCACTGCCTCCGAAACAAACAAGGGTGATATCCCTCATACTAATTGTCATCACTAATCTCAACTCAAGTCTCCGCACATGCATCAGTCATGCGCCTCGTCAACACCCAAACCATCCAACTCGAGTTTCTCAACGACGACAATGTCCCCGACTATGCAATTCTTTCCCATACCTGGGAACAAGAAGAAGTCCTTTTCCACGACATGGGACGTGATAGCGCCAAATTGAAAAAGGGCTACGCTAAGCTTGAGAGCTGCTGTCACGTAGCGCGCGAAAATGGCTTTGGGTATATCTGGGATGATACCTGTTGTATCGATAAGACGAGTAGTGCGGAACTGAGTGAAGCTATCAATTCGATGTATCGGTACTATCAAGAGGCCAGTATTTGTTACGTATACCTCGCAGATATTTCCGCCGCCTCTGAAATATCGAACAGTAGATGGTTTACCAGAGGATGGACATTACAAGAACTCATTGCACCAAGCTCAATGATCTTCTTTGATAAGCATTGGCGCCGGTTGGGTACTAAGACAAGCTTGGTACAGGTGCTATCGCAAAGAACAAGCATAGCAGAACATATACTTTGTGACAGCGAGGAGCTGGAGACGACTAGTATCGCACAGAGAATGTCGTGGGCAGCTGACAGAGTCACAACAAGAAAAGAAGACGGCGCATATTCTCTCATGGGTATCTTTGGGATCAACATGCCCCTCCTCTACGGCGAGGGCGACAAGGCATTCTATCGTCTTCAAGAGGAGATCATGCGCGTGTCAGACGATCACAGCCTCTTCGCTTGGAAGGCCATCAGTGCTCGCGGCGGTTTGCTTGCCCCAACGCCAGCAGCTTTCAAGAACTCGGGCGATATCATCCCATGGAATCCATTTACGCCGTATAACAGTCCATTCACGATAACCAACAAGGGGGTGCACATGGAGGCACCGTTTATCGCGCAGGATACGTCCGGTCGGGGCCTTTGCGTTCTTCATTGTACGACGATTGGGACGAGGGATAGGTTGATTGCAGTCCATTTGAGGGATGTGTACCTGACAATGGAGCATTTTGAGAGATGTAGGACTGATGAGTTGGAGTGGGTCAACTTGGACAGCTTCAATCTCACACAGTACCCCGTGCGGTCTTTGTGTATACGGCTCCACCTCCCATCCACCTCCAAAAGACCACGGCATAAAGAAGAGCAGGCTGATGCACTATCCGATGCCAGTACAACTGGTGAGCGCAATGGCCTCTTTTCACTTCCAGAAGCCGCTTCAGCAGGCGACGCTGGGACAGTCTGGTTCCTACTAGCCCAAGCCTCATCCGGAACCATGCACGATCAGGCCCGCTCAGCAATCTGTCTCGCTGCTCGCGCTGGCCACGAGCCCCTCGTCAGCCAACTTTTGGCAAGACGAGACACATCTACTCTCATAACCGACAGCGAAGGTCGAACTGCTCTGTCCCACGCTGCAGAGTGCGGCCAAGAAGCCATCGTCAGATTTATCCTGTCCAGCGCCAGAATACATCCTGATACAAGGGATATACATGGACTAACAGCGCTGTGGTATGCGGTGTACCATAGACACACTACCTGTGCAAAACTACTTCTCCAGAAAGGTCTAGTCTCCGGCAATGTCGGCGGTAGCGGTAATACACAAACCGCTCTTTGGCACGCTGTCTCATCCGGCGATCTCGACCTCGTGAAACTCCTCCTGCAGAACAAGGCATTACAATCTGCTGGAGGCGAACCAATCCTCTGTGCAGCAGCATCCCACGAATACCCCGCCATAACCGAACTCCTACTCCAGCACGGCGTCGACCCAGAAGAACGAGATACAAAGAGACGATCCCCGCTGCACATCGCATGCAGACAAGATAACCAGGAGATAGTAGCTCTGTTAATGAGACACGGCGTCAACGCTGACAGGCTGGACCCCACGGGTAAAACGGAACTGGCGTTTGCGACGATAAGGGGTAATGTGGCGTTGGTGAAGGTCTTACTTGAGAATGGGGCGAATCCGAGGGCGAAGTGTGCGAATGGGAAAACGGTGGCGGCTTATGCGACGGGGCAGGAGATGAAGAGTCTGATTGGGAATCAGAGGTGGTACAAGAAGTTGCTTGATAGGACGAGTACGAATCGATCGGCGTTGTCGTGATGTGTCGTGATGGCGGTACCTTTGTGCTTTGTGTGGAAGGAAGCAGAGGCATCTTTAGTACAAGTGAAATAACACTTTTATGACCAAGCGATCATCTATTATCTCCTCTTGTTAAAATGTCAAATCGTCTCTAGATGCAAAAGATAGAATATTCTGATTATGTATGAACCTAATATGGTTTTTGAGAATGGTATTCTGAGTTGATAGATCTAACACCTGATGCGAGCATCACGCTCCTTACCTCGACCTTGGGCCGGGCACAAATAGTAGTAGTTTTACGGGTTGATATGGTGGGCTTGAAGACCAGGCCTAATGAGCGTGTCAATTACCCAAGTTTCGCCTTTGCTGTTGACAGCATACGAGGTAAATAGTAGGGCATATGTGTGTTTGAAATTATAATTGACCTCTTTTGGCGTAATTGAGGACTAAATGCATGGTGCGGAGTGTAATATACTCCTAGGGCCGTGCTGTAGTATAGATTCAAGGCCTGCTGCTGGGGGTTTTGTATTACTGCATTTCACGGATTAGAGGGAGATTCCTTTAACTCTAGGTATCGGGATCGTGGCGGTGGGCAGCATGTTCTGTGCATTTTGCTCCAGATGTATAAGTAATGGATGTCAATGCTTGCTGGATACTGCGGCCTAATAATCCTGAAAAATGGTATTTAAGTGTTGATTAGGAATATTACTTGTGGCGAATAAGACGATATTGTATAACATCGGGCTGTCTGGGCTTAAGGTCTGGGAAGACTGGGTATGATAAGACGGCGATCTCGTCAAGATATATGTACCTGTGCCTTATGTAGTTCGCCTTGGTCCCTAAGTAAGCACAGTAGCCGATTGGAAGTGTCGATGGATGACTCAATTGTTCAGAGCCCAGAACCCGCATGAGATCCAAAGACGTAGACCGCCCTTTATTCGAACAACCCTTGATGTTCGGAAAACTTTATTTTCATTGGTGATGCCATGTGAACATACCCAGCCTTTCAAGTTACAGGCAGAGGGATTTTATGTTCGTGGCTGGGTCATTCGATTGACAGCTACTTCTTTTAACTGTACTACATTAAAGGAATCTACTTAAGATATTATGAAGACATACATTAGTTCTATCTATGCAGTTTGGCTTGAAGTCTTGATTGAATCGAGAAATATGTCTTTATGTGTAGTAATTAAACTTTGGTTGCTGGATATGGATTGATAACCTGGTAGTCAGTCCTTTGGTTCATGATACGAGAGAATGTGAATATTCGGTATTTCTTCAACCATGTTCGGATATTTCAGAATCCATTACTTCTGAATATGAGGGGCCTGAAGGTGGGCAATGGCTACTGTAGGATATCCGAAGGAGGGTCCGTAAGTCTCGGGTATTACCATATCCGGTTAGGCATTGCTACACTCGGGCCCGGGAGCCGAGTACATCAGCTACAACATTAAAAGCATATGCTACTGCGACCCATTCAGCGCGGTATCTGGTCCAGTCGCCAAAACACAATCCCTCCTGCAGCCGCCAAAAATGTCACAATCAACCGCAAGGGCACTACAACGTCTCAAGGGTAGTTGCAGCCCCTCCCTGTGGCGAAGCCTGCCACATGGGTACACCCGGCGCTCATTTTCTGCCACCTGCTCGAGACGCCTTATGGAGACGAGCGGCTTCTCAGCTACGCAATTGACTGTTCGAGAAGCTGTCAGTCAGCTCTGCTCTAATTTCCCCAATACCTACTGGCAGGAAAAAGACCAAACTGAACGGGATCCTCAAGACTTCCATGCTGCCCTTGCCAAGGACGGATGGCTAGGCATAGCCCTCCCCGAAGCCCTCGGCGGTTCAGGCCTAGGCATCTCCGAGGCGGTCATGATGATGCAAACCATTACCGAGAGCGGCGCAGGCATGGCAGGTGCCCAGGCGATTCATGCGAATGTCTATGCTACGCAGCCTCTAGCAAAATTCGGCACAGAGAAGCAGCTGGAAAGCATAATACCCAACATCATCCAAGGCAAATGGCGGGTTTGTTTCGGCGTCACAGAGCCCAATAGTGGTCTCGACACATTACGGCTTACCACCATGGCAACCAAACAACCCGATGGCTCATATCGAGTCAGCGGCCAAAAGATCTGGATCACTTGCGCCCAAGTCGCATCCAAGATGATTCTGTTGGCGCGAACTGCTCCATTAGATCCCAAAAAGCCGAGCCAGGGATTATCTCTCTTCTGCATCGATCTCAACAGAGACCAGCAAGGCCTAGACCTGCGCAAGATTAGGAAGATGGGAGGAAAGGCTGTTGATGCAAACGAGGTCTTCTTTGACAATTACAGCATCCCTGCTGACAGCCTTATCGGAGACGAAGGACAGGGCTTCAAGATTATCCTACATGGCATGAATGCCGAGCGTTGTCTTCTGGCTGGCGAGGCTCTTGGTCTTGGTTACGCGGCTTTAAACAAGGCGGCCGAGTATGCCAGGGACCGAACTGTCTTCCAGCGTCCCATCGGCCAAAACCAAGCTATAGCACACCCGCTCGCAGATGCATATATGAAGCTTGAAGCCGCCAAGCTTGCGACCTACCATGCCGCCAGACTCTACGACGACAGTAGCAAAGAGGGCTCCTCCTCCGATGCCAAGATAAGCACTGCGTCTGTGGGAGTGGCATGTAATAGTGCCAAGTATATGGCAGCTGAGGCGGCTTTCACGGCCTGCGAGCGGGCTGTTCTGACACATGGTGGCATGGGTTACGCGGCTGAGTACGACGTGGAAAGATGGTTCAGAGAGTGCCTTGTCCCACGCATTGCCCCTGTAAGCCGCGAAATGATTCTGAACTACATCAGCGAGAAGGTTCTGGCGCTTCCTCGTAGCTATTAGAAGTCACCTTCGCTAGCGAGCTTAGGCTCTGGACAATACATTATGTGTTTTGGTGCAGCTTGAGCAACTTATTATTACATCCGGCCGAAAGCCTTGGGTTAGGGCTGCAAATTGCTCTGTGAAACGTAAAAGAGTGTCTTTATATTTGTGTCTCTGGTCTTTCAAAACGAACTGAAGTCTCATAATCTTGGTCTCCGTAAATGAGGCTTGCAGTTTGCCGCATTTCTCTTCCGGCTCCGACAGCCGACTTCGGGATTGCGGAGCCGGAGCTGTGAGTTCACTGGACACTAATCCCCCCGATACGACCAACGCATAAGATATGGACTATTTCTCGCCATGTACAGATGTCTTCCTTCTTACAAGCCATGGAAAGTAAATTGATCGCATCTTATCAGTCATGAAACTACTCACCATCTCACGTCTTCGAAATCCATTTCGCCTGGTATGCCGCAGCTCTCAAAGGCGATTTGCAAGCACTTCGGGCTCGGATGTTGCCCAACAGCTCTTGAGCCAACTCAAAGGTCGTGTCACGACGCGTCGACAAGTCCTAGACGGCAACCAGCTCCAGAAGCTAAGCCTCACTCTTAACCGACGACACCTTCACCCTGGCCATGATATTTCTGAGACAGCACCAGCTAATGGCACGGTCCTGCCAGCAGGCTACCATCTGGTCTATTTTACACCTAACGGAACAGAACTCGAATTAGGGGTAGACGGAACGGATCGCAGTTTCAATGCTCCGGCGCCCTTCACACGACGGATGTGGGCAGGAGGACGCATACAATGGGCCAGAGACTGTCCCTTGCGCGTTGGCGAGGAAGTCGAGGAGCGCACCCGTTTGCTTACTGCGGAGCCAAAGAAAAGCCGGGATGGAACCGAAATGATAGTCGTTACTATTGAGAAAGAGCTTTGGGGTTCGCAGGGGCTCTCTCTTACCGATCAAAGGTGAAGCCTCCATGTTTACCAATGGCAACTCATGTTGAAAAAGATAATAGGTCTTGGGTATTCCGCACAGAGCTCCCGGAGCCTCTGGAGAACACTACTGTGCCTACCAGCTTGGTGGCAGCACAAACAAACGTCGAAACTACGCAGCACTCACCGAAAGGTATGCTAACCGTTACATCGCTGTGCGAGGCTCTCGCTAATGTTAGCTAGGGTATCCAGAGCGCCAGATGACGTGGTCTCCCATATCTCTCTTCCGCTTCTCGGCGCTGACGTTCAACGCGCATAGAATACATTATGATGCGGCCTGGAGTCAGGGAGTCGAGAGGCATCGCGGCCTCGTCGTGCATGGTCCGCTTAACCTGATCAACTTGCTTGACTACTGGCGTGACGTCCACGCCGTTTCCGACGGCGCAGGACCAAGCGAGATTACATACAGAGCACTGTCACCTCTATACTCGGGCGAGCGCTATGCGGTCAAGACTAGTTCTGACGAGCAGTCCAAGGGAATCGTTGAGGTTCTAGTAGAAAGGGAGGGCACATTGTGTATGAAAGGGATGATTTCAGAATGAGAGATAATGGCTGAGCCCCGTAAAGAATATGCGGACGGTAGATCGATCTGAGTAAATTACACCATGTGATTTTCCAAAGTCTCCCAATCTAGTTGTTCTACACCCGTAAGTGAGAGTGATGGATTGTGATAAATCCAGTACAAGTCGTCTTCGCCCTCGAGCACAATGTCGCCAAGGTCTTGTGCACCAGCCATCACAGTATCTTGTTCTCCAACGGCATTCTCACTGGTCAAACCCTGGTCTTGTGGCTCACCCGATGTGATGGGCGCTGCTCCCGATGCCTGAAAGGAAAATGGTTGCATAAGCATTTGTGGTTGCGCCGCTTCGACATCCGGCGTCTCTGTCTCAAGAGTTAGGCTGGCGCACATCTGATCGATCTCGGCCAGACGCTTCGTAGCGGCTCGATTGCCCAGGTTGGAGAGATGCGTCAGGATGCTCCGGACACTCTCAATGCCTTGATACGCCTGGGCTTTGTCGGAGTTGATTATGACCGCGAGAACGAAAATGAAGCCGGTGGAGAAAAGACAGTCGAGATCAAGGAAAGCGTGCTTGGCTGGTTTGTCAAGAGTGTCAGCCGAGAGCCGGTGTAGCAAAGATAAAGATACTCACCAATAATGTCTTGTTTACATAGACCATGAAGAATGACCAAGCTCTTGCGGGCTGCTTCGACGCATGTATCTGCAAGGCGGCGAAGAGCGGGACTCATGGATGTGTACAAGTCGTTTCCTCCGCTGAAGCTGTTACGAGCCATATACAAGAGGATCGGCCGCACTGCGTATATGATATTCTACCACCGGTCAACTCAACAACAGGCTCGATCAACACGGCGAGTTCTTTACCTGATTAACCGTCAAATGAAGGGATGCAGTTGTCCTTGCCGAGGACAATTGTGAGCTGGACAACGGTGCCTCGTTAAGTATGAGCTCGGCAGGATTTGATCCGCCTGAAATTTCAGCTGGCATCTCATTTTCGATCTTGCGGAGCGACTGTAGGATGTCCTGTACTTCCTTGATGAAAGCGGCCTCCTCTTCATTGCTTTGAGAGTAGATGGCTTGAAAAAGGTCAGTGCGGTGTATCTAGACATGTACGCGCACATGTTGACTAACTGGTGGTGATGCGGCCAGTGATCTGAGCCAGCTTTGCGTTAACAGCGATGGCAGCGGCAGATTGGTATCCGATCTGGTCCGTGGGCTGGGCGGCAGTGATTTCCCCGTCTAAAATGGACATGGGGAAGCCTACAGCAGCTGCAAGTCTTCTGCTACGGCGTCAGGCCAGGGCGATACTATTACTCAAGGATGACATACCTTTCCTGCATGTAGATCGACCACCAGAGCCGGTTTCGATGCACAGCTTCCGAACGCCTATGACTTCGATAGGATCCAGACTTGTGGAGAGAGAGACCCAACGATAGACGGAGGGCTGTGCTCGCCTGCAACGGTGTAAGCTTCTGTTGGTAAAGATGAGGGGTTTAGTCAATCACTGACGTAGAGATAAGCGTCGTCTTTTCGGTCTGCGATTTGCAGGTAGAGGGCCGACAGTCCCATCAGTTCGATACCCAAGACTCCTTGCTTTCGCAGGCTGCTCAGATCGGGCATGCGCTTGAGCGCCTCGTGAAAAAACTCATCGCCCGGGGGTTTGGACATGTCATCCCACTTGGCTTGGAGAAGCCTCCCGATTGCAAAGACCAGGAGACACTCAGCATACCATAGCTCGGTCACTCCAGTGTCAAAGGCACCATCGTTGAAGAGGGAGAATAGATTATCCGAGAATGTTCTGACGTCGAAGAGGTGCTGTGATATACCCACGTTCAGGACAACAATGTTCAGCATGCTATGTGCGTCGTCTTCCGTAGGCCAGTACTTGATCTTGTCCACACCTAGCCGGCTCTGGCAGATGGACCGTGGCGTAGCATCAGCGGGCCGAGCAGAGACCGGACCTGGGTCTGGCCGCGATCGTTCCGTCAAGAGGGTTCTTAGCTCAGAGCTAAATGTGTCGCTCGAAGAGAGAGAGGTTCCAGGCGCAAGAGCTGGGTAAAGAGAGGTCGAACGGTTAGCATGACCTGATGGAATCAAGATAAAAGAGCGATGATGCTTGGCTCACCTCTCGGTCCTGGGTTTGGCCTTGGGCTCAAGGTCGCTGCGGGTTCGAGACCCTCATGATGTGGAGATCGAGGAGCTAGCGACGGCTGTTGTTGTTGCTGTTGCTGCTGCGTATCTTGGCCGTCGCGTGAAGCATTACCTTCTACCTGGCTTCCGGACAATGAAGGCGGTCTCTGAACAACTGCAGGAGATGGCAAGCTGTGTGCAGGGGCAGGCTGGCCGGAGCCTGCTCGGCTTATATCTTTGATGAAGTCAGCACCCTAAAGTCTTGTAGGGAAATGTGATGTGAGGCGATGCCAAGTACCGTCACGATTCTCGTATTGCGCCACTCTCTCTTCCAGGTTGCGTATGTGGCTGGTGCAGTCAGCAGAGCGCCATCTTTCTAGGGGGACTATGCAATGCATGCAGCGTACGTGACCGAGTAAAGTCTCCGCCGAGACGGCCGCGTAAAAACACAGTCCAGGCCACGTTTGACGCAGTAGACGCAAGGTCGCGTGCCGGAGCACTTGACTTTCTTGTCACGGCACATGAGGCAAGCTGTGGAGGTGCGTGGGCCGACGCCGATGCCGTCACCGCGTCTGGGTTTGGTCGGCGGCGGTCTCTGTTCCGGGCCGGGGCCGTCTTGGATCAGCGTCTCATCCATGGGCGATCGATGACTTCCGAGATATCGGCAACAAAGCGCGGACGTATCAAGGTCAATAAAGCTTGCCCATTCAACATTTGACAGACGCGTTCGCTTGGACCGGATCCAGGAGCTACCCTAATTCCGGCATCATCGGATGCTGTTGCCGAGATAGGCTTGCCCCGATTTGGTACAGGTGGCCCACTCATCACGAATGTGCATCTTGGCCTTTTATCGTGCTGGACTGGAAATCTGTGTATCGGAGTGTCCTTCACTAGTTTTCATTATTCGTGGATCTCAAGAATGTCGATTTCAACTTTTCTTCGCCGGGCATTACTTTATGGTGCGTGCGAGATAGCGACTCTTCTATTGTATCGATGCTGCGAAGCAGACAAGGCTCACCTGGTCCTAGTCCCTGGATCGTCGCAGAAGATGCTGACCAAGTCGAGCAATCTTTCCGTTGACTCGGTCATATATGACCTCGAAGATTCTGTCACCGCCGAGTCCAAAGAGCTGGCTAGGGGACTGGTCGCAGATCACATTGCCGGGGATGCCATGCAAAGGTCTGTCCGAGGACCGAAAGAGGTATCTGTGCGCATCAATGCAGTGGATACTGGTCTTGCACTGCAAGATATTCAAGTGGTATGAATTCGGGGCTCGATCCGCCCTTTGCGTGCTGTACTGCGCTATGCTGACAGTCGAACAAAGATGCTCACGAGGGTGGATAACCTCGACACAATTGTCGTGCCCAAGGTTCAGTCTGCAGCAGATTTGCATTTTGTTGCCGACATCATCCGTCATGTTGCCCCTCAAAGGGTACTCTTTAGAACTCCAATGACTGATTCTTCCCAACAGACGGAAAACGTACCTCGGTCACAGCCCATACATGTTGTAGGTTTGATTGAATCTGCCCTGGGCCTCGCCAATGTATCAGACATATGCCGAGCAGGTCAAAAATTGGGGTTGGCAGGACTCGGTTTTGCTGCCGAAGATTTTATGGCGAGTGTCGGGCTTTCGAAACTGCCAGATCGGCGGGAAGTTCTCTTTGCGCGGTCCGCAGTCGTCAACGCGTGTCGAGCCTATAATCTTCCTTCCATCATCGATATGGTGTCTGTCGATGTGACCCATGGCACCGCTTTGGAAGAGGAAAGTAGAGAGGGCCGAAGCCTTGGCTTTACCGGCAAACAAGCGATCCATCCTTCTCAGGTCCAGGCCATACAGCGTGCCTTCGGCCCATCTACTGAGGAAGTACAATGGGCGGTGGAGGTCTTTGTGGGGGATATCGAGTCGCAGAAGCAGGGCAAGGGCGCTTGGAAACTGAATGGTCGCATGATTGATGCGCCCGTCGTCAAGAAGGCTACGGCACTGCTGGATAGAGCTAGGGCATGCGGCATAGATGTCGACACTTATATCGCAAGATTCAAGGTCGGTTCCTTGGAGGAGAGGATAAGTAGATCACTGTGATGCTGGTAGCTATCAACTACTGTATCACATCTTATGGAAATCTGTATCCCTTGCATGCGGAAACAAATGTTTCGACTTGGTGGTAGTCAGCGACTTGTAAATCCCGGCCTTGTTTATGTTTGATGTGAAGTTTATGTTATGCCAGGCTAAGCTGCCTTCTAAGAAGGGAGCAGTGACGAATTTTCAACTTGTTGGCTGACCAAGAGCGGCAGACCAAGAGCGGCATGCCCGGCACTTGTGAGACTATTATCACTTAACTTGGCGATAGTGTACAAATATATATCGGTCATTCGGAAGGCAATCATAGACAATGTCGACTGTCTCATTCATATTCGTAGCTAGGCTGAACCACAGCTTTTGGTCAGCTCAGGTACCGCTTCAAACAAGTCTCCGACTAGCCCTACGTCGGCGACTTGGAAGATGGGCGCGTCCGGGTCTTTATTGATGGCTGCGATTACCTTGCTGTCTTTCATTCCAGCAAGATGCTGGATCGCCCCTGATATACCGACCGCCACATACAGCTCTGGAGCGACCACGTTTCCAGTCTGGCCCACCTGTAAGCTGTTATCGGCAAATCCACTGTCAACCGCGGCACGGGATGCGCCAACCGCGGCTCTCAGAGAGTTTGCTAGAGGGAGAAGCACTTGATCGAACGCCTCCTTGGACTTGAGGCCCCTTCCACCCGAGACAACTCTCTCAGCGGTTCCCAGCTCAGGCCGATCGCTCTTGACTAAATCCTCCTGTACCCATTCCGCGCTGCTTGAGTTCCCTGAGCTTGAGTTTTCAGTGTAAGTCACGATAGGGGCGGGATCGTCTGTGGCCTCTGCAGCCGGAAAGGCTGACGCGCGTACTGTGAGGTATTTAACATCATCACTGGACTTGACCGTCATGACGGCGTTGCCGGCGTAGATTGGTCGCACAAAGACTGCTCATATTAGCCCACGAGTACAAATCGTAATGGATGGAGACACTTTTGACACTCACCATCTTCAGACTCGACCGATGTCACGTCCGAGATAGGCTGGTGGCCGTTCAGTGCGGCAGCGCGTATCAGCGCATCTCTACTAAACACTGAGTTCGCTGCCACGACATGAGTGTATTTTCCCTGTTCGGCATGGCTGGCAACTACCGCTGCGAGGCCTTCGGGGAGGCGCTGAGTTGCGTTTGTGGTCAGCGAATGATCAGAGCGAGAGGATCCATCAATACCTACAGCGTGGTGTTGTTTCTGGGTTCCGGCAATGACCTTGTTCAAACCTTTCATGGAGGCTGCCTCCTCTGCGGCTCCCGTCGAAAATCCCCCTAGCAGGAGCGCAGTGACGGGGCCCTTAAGACGGACAGCAGCGGTTATTGTGCGTGCCGAGTCAGAAGATAATTGCCCGTCGCGAACTTCCAGGATTGCCAATGTTGAAGCATTCCGGCCGAGGCACCGTATAGGGTAGTGCACTTTAGACAGGCGTGCCCTGAGGGTCCGTGCTGAACCGTTCATGATGATCTTCTAGACACTAAGTGACTGAGCTGCTTGATTTACATGTGAGGTGGCAGCCCAGACAATATTTGTCACTACGAGCTTGAATGGTATTACGTCCAAAATACTGGCCTAATGCTTATTGATGGATTACAATTCTGACCTTGTTTGCGTGGATCTTTTTGCCGAGTCGGAGTAGAAGAGCTCGGAATCGGCCTCGGATTCATGGCCCGAACCAGCTCGGTCTTAGTGGAGACAAACAGCTTCAGCCGATTGGTTCACGCTCCGGAATGTGTCGTTGCTCGGCTCGGATACCATTAGAAGCAAGGCAACTAGCCGAGCAAGTACTCATGCTTGGACTTTTGCCCTAGCATAAGGAATGATAACTCGTAGTAGAGTGGTTGACAAGAAATCCCAGGATAATCCATACAAACGGAAGATGAGTCGACCACTTCGAATCTTGGTTCCCCTTAAACGGGTCATTGACTATTCTGTAAGAGATGGGTTCCATGGCATGATATTAATTCGTGAACTTGAAGGTAGTTGACAATTTTAGGTAAAAGTCCGTGTCCGAAAGGATCTCCAAGGCGTGGAAAAGAATGGTGTCAAGCACTCGCTCAATCCGTTCGATGAGCTGTCTGTGGAAGAAGCGGTTAGGTTGCGAGAACGCAAACACCCAGTTGAGGAGATTGTTGCCATTTCTGCAGGACCGCCCAAATGCCAGGATGTTCTCCGAACCGCAATTGCCATGGGTGCAGATAGAGCTATCCATATTGACATGCCGGAGGAGCAGGCAGACTCCATGGAGCCCCTAGTAGTTGCAAGACTGCTTCAAGCAGTGGCAAGAGAGGAACAGTCAAACTTGGTTCTCCTGGGCAAGCAGGCCATAGATAATGACTTTGGTCAAACAGGACAATTACTTGCCGGCTTGCTGAATTGGCCGCAGGCTACGCAGGCTAGCAAGATTGAAATCGAGGGAGACAGTGCCAGGGTCACGAGAGAGATAGATGGAGGAACACAGACGGTCAAGGCTCAGCTACCCATGGTGGTGACGACTGATCTACGGCTGAACGAGCCACGCTATGCAACACTTCCGAGCATCATGAAAGCCAAGAAGAAGAAGATCGAGCAGAGGACTCTCAAAGACTACGGCGTGGAAGATGACAAACTGCTGCAAGTTCTCCGTGTTGAGGGTAAGTACCACTAATGTTACCTTCGTGCATAGAGACAATGGAGTTGACATGAACCAGAACCCCCCAAACGGAAGGCAGGTAGTATTGTAGGAGATGTGCCGGGGTTTGTGGGCAAATTGCGGGAATTGGGGGCTCTCTGAGGACAGGACTCTTCAGCTGCGAATTCTTGAGATAACTGTGGTTTATCTTTAGGCAGGTTTTGGACCGTAAGTGTATCAAATTCAGGGTATGGGTAACCAAATAAAGATGGCCAGAGAGCTAGACCTACAATGATCACCTTGGACCTTGTTTTGTCCCCTGAGTTTAAATAAGACGATATCGACTGAGGAGCATACTGGTATTGCCTTTGGTATAACCGTGACCTCTTGCTCCGTACAATCTGACAGGTGCAGACTTAGTTGTTGAGAACAGTCTGCTGTAGACTCAAACCGAGGTGCAACGCCAGCAAAGGCATACATCTAAGGAAGACAAAGGCTTCTCATAAAACATTTTATCGTGCTTGCTCACAGACAGCTAATAGTCACGTAGTGAAGCGGCAACAAGAAACCAGTCGCCGGCTTGAGATATATTGTATTTCTGTAGGGCTGAACTCAGCATGTGCAATCCAAGATGCCTCATTATCTAGTTTTGAACATTAAACACATCATCAAGAAGTGCTTTCTCCTCAGCATAGTGAAGATGCTTGAGACCTGTAGCCGGACTGGCGCTCGTTCCACGACCTGCAAAGAGCACGCGACGTCCAGCAAGGTGATCTGTCTTATCAAGGACTGCGTCTAGTCGATCGCGTATGTAATGCCAAGCTCCACCATTGTAGTGCTCCTCTTGCGCCCAAACAATCGTCTTCGCATTCTTGTACTGATCAAGGTTGGATTTCACCTCAGCCCAGGGGAAGGGATGAAGCTCCTCTATTCTCGTGATAGCCACGTCCTTGATCCCTGCTGCTTCTCTATGTTTCTGGATCGCTGCGTATACTTGCCCTGAGCAGAGAATAACCCGCTGGATGGATTCCGGATCCTCGATGGAGTGGCCGTGCTCGGGGTCGGTGATAACTGGTTGGAAAGTTGATGAGCCAGTGAAGTCGGCAATATCAGAACGAGTTAACGGGTGGCGAAGAAGCGATTTCGAAAAAAAGATGACCAGAGCTAACAACAGCAGTTAGCGAGTAAGTTATAGAGCTTGACCTACAAAAATGTCAAGAGATCTTGGGGCAAGCGAAGGGGCTAGCAGGGGTCATCCACGGGAAATACATACGCTTTCTGTACTCTCTTCTCATCTGCCGACGTAGAACGTGAAAGTAATTCGCGGGCGTAGTCATGTAGACCAGTCCCATATTGGCATCTTGATGAGCGCGTTCAGGTTCAGATGGGTATACCCTACCCTCCTCCGAGCAGAGCATCAAGAAGCGTTCGATGCGGGCAGACGAGTGCTCAGCGCCTTGTCCATCATAGCCGTGTGGCAAAGAGAGGACCAGGCCAGACCGGTCAAGCCATTTCGTCTCTCCGCTGGCAATAAAGTTGTCAATGATGACCTGCGTATTGTTCGCGAAATCTCCGAACTGAGCCTCCCACATGACGAGTGAGTGTGGATCGGCCAATGTCACGCCGTACTCGAAGCCCAGGGCACCAAACTCACTCAGCGGCGAGTTCTCTACCTCGAATGGTGCCTGCTCCGGAGAAAGGTTATTCAAGGGTGTCCAAGATTCGCCAGTCTCCTGGTCGTGCAGCACAGCGTGACGCTGTGAGAATGTTCCTCGTTGGACGTCTTGTCCTGTAAGACGCACGGGATGGTTCTCAAGACAAAGAGTTCCAAAGGCCAATGCTTCTGCGGTAGACCAGTCTACCTTTCCGTCGTGCAGGGCCTTCTTGCGGCCCGCAAGGATCCTTTCCAAGTTACTGTGTAGCTGAAAGCCACTGGGGACGCTTAAAGCCTTGGTAGCCACCTGCTCAACAGTTGCTTGGTCAATGGCTGTGGTGGCGGGTGGTATAACATTGTTCTTCAGACTCTCCGGAGACTCCAGACTCTGCCACGGGGCTGTGAATGCTTCCCGAGACGAGACGAAGTCCCTGCTGCTGTCGTACATCTCGTTCAGACGGTTCCAGACACTCTCGCGCCGAGAATTGATCTCTTCCATCGTAAACGAGCCTTCGGACACCAGTTTTTGAACGTACTTCTCCAACGAGGGTGTCTGTGCAGCAACCTTCTGGTACATCAGAGGTTGCGTGAAGCTGGGCTGGTCGAATTCGTTATGGCCAAACTTACGGTAGCAGATGATGTCCACAACGCAGTCGCTATGGAACGTGGCTCGCCAGTCTGCCGCTAGTTTGCAGAGGAAGACAACCGACTCCACGTCATCAGCATTGACATGGAAGATAGGCGCGTCGACGACCTTGGCGATATCTGATGCATAAGGGGTTGATCTGGAATGATGAACATCCGTCGTGAACCCAACCTGATTGTTCACAACAAGCCGAATTGTGCCACCCACGTCGTAGGCCGGCAAGCGGGACAACCCGAGAGTCTCGTAGACAATACCCTGTCCTGCAATAGCAGCGTCGCCGTGAAGAGTGACACACATGTTTCTCTTCTTCTCCGGGTCGTTGTTCAATCGCTGGGTTGCAAAGGCCTTGCCTGTGGCGACGGGATCAACTGCCTCGAGATGTGAGGGGTTCGCAAGGACAGAAATATCCACAATATGCCCATCTGGAGAGACGCGCTGGCCCTGGTGGCCAAGGTGGTACTTGACATCGCCAGCCATGTTTCGCAGCATATCCGAGCGAACCCGCCCAGCGAATTCAGCAAATATGGCTTCTGGTGCCTTTCCATACACGGTTCCAAGCATGGTCAGGCGCCCGCGATGACAGCTGCCGATCGTGATATCTTGCACACCATGGATGTCGGCGCTGTGGTCAATAATGGACATGACACCGGGGACGAGTCCTTCGGAGCCATCTAAGCCAAATCGCTTCTCGTTGGGGAACTTGGCGGCCAGGAATCGTTCAAATGACGTTCCCCAGATGAGGCCATCAAGAATTCTGCGTTTCTCCTCTAGTGAGAACTTGGACGGGTTGGGTATCTCAAGACGATCCCTTAGCCAGTCACACTTGGCGCGGTCTGGGATGTGCAGATACTCAACTCCATAGCTGCCGCAGTACCTCTGCTCGCAGGCCGCTATAATGTCACGTAGCTTCATTGACTTTCTGCCCTCCGTTGCGTAGCGAGGAAGTATGCCGGGGCCGAGGTTGAAATGGCGGTCCATGTCCTTCTCAGTAAATCCATAGTAGGATGGCTCAAGCTCGACGGCGCGTGCGAGACCAGATTGATTGGGACCCACGTGGAAGGCATTCACTCGTTCACCCAAAGGATCCGTCTTGGCATGATAGTGTCCCCGGGACTGATACGCGCGCACCAAATGCTGAACTTTGAGATGTAATAGCACCTCGGCTGTCTGGCCGGAGTCGAGCCCCGGTGCGGCCAACGGTTGACGAGACGATACAAGTCCTGGTGGTGGCTGGAAGGCCTCTGATGCGGGCCTTGACCGGTCCTCCATGTTGCGGAAGTATGTCCTCCAAGAAACATGAACTGACTCTGGATCCTGCTTCCACGACCTGAACATCTCGTCGATGTAGTTGGCCGCCCCTCCCTGTAGGAACGAGTCGGAGGTGGTCTAGGTTAGCTTGTTTTTAGCACTTTGCATAATTCTTGTGAACAATTTCCCGTTACTTACCGGCGATAAACTTTCATCTAGATTAGATGGCCTAGTCACGGAGGCAATATCTTGGAACTGGTGGTGGGCAAAACGGCTTTCGCCCCCGGCCAATGCCTCTGCGGCCGATGCGAATGTCTTTTGGGCCCATGATGGATTTTTTCGCTGCACGCAAAAACAGACCCCAGAACTGACTATAGAGCAGCGGAAACCAACAGAAGTTACACGATGATACCGGAGCTTCAAGGTTTCCCGCGCCACCAGAGTCTTTTGAGCACAGAGCATCGTCGTTGATGGTATGCTTGTTCCTCAAAGCTTGATGACGCTCTCAATTTATCAGGCGCAAAGTAGGATCAGATAACATGTAGCCCTCAAGATTGCAACCCGGTCTAAACAGTAGGTGACCGTGGTGAATGGTGATAATGAACCTAGGTACAAAGGCATAATAGCATGGCCACTTTAACTCCCGGCCATGCTAGACAAGCCTACGAGCCTGACCTAATAATTATCCACTCACACTTCCCCATCGTTGGGGTACCCCCGGGCCGAATGATGGGTGTTGCGCTACGAGCATATCCGTGATCCACGGGAACTCAAGCCGAGGCCCCAACCTCCGAATTTTAGCGTGCGGATGCGGAACAGTGCCAACTCCGAATGTCTTCCTACTAAACACGCCAGGTTGGTCTTAGGCCTAATTTTAGACAAGTATTCCACTCGAGAAGAAGTATCACAGTACTTGGACTTATCAAAATGATGAGATAGACAAGTTGCTGGCGAAATTCACGACCTTCAACGCAAATGGCATATATATTCATCCCAGACATATTAAGTACATTGCATATGTAGACCAACAAATCATATAATCGTAAGGCAATAGGAATGTTTAGTTGAGTTTCTTAATGAGATAGATATTTATTACTTTTCTATCTATAGTTTTGCCCTTGGTGATATAACCAGAGGCGTGGTCTGATGATGCAAAACACAAGAGATCTTAAACAACTGAGAACTGCCGCCTCTTCTGTCAATCATTCTTTTTCGACAGCCAACGTCTGCAATGATTGCACAACCTTGCGAGACGGAATGAAAGCTTAGGCCCCATCAATGTCCCGTCCTTCTCCACACTACTCAAGGAGCATCCGAGCAGGGTCTTCGATATAGTTCTTAACGATGTTCAGGAAGGAGACGGCTTCTCTACCGTCAATCAGTCTGTGATCGTATGTTACGGTGACATACATCATCTGTCACATACATCATTAGCTCGCCGATATACCAGGAATGATCCAAGACGAGCACCTACCGGTCGAATCTCAGGCTTGCCATCCACTGCAATCACACGGTCTTTGATCGTGTTCATGTTGAATACGGCAGCTTGTGGATAGTTAATCACCGGCGTCCCGAACAAAGAGTTGAAGATGCCAGGGTTACTGATGGAAAAGTTGCCACCAGTGAGATCATTCATGGTCAATTTGGCTTCTCGGGCCTGGAAATTGGAGCATGGACGTCAGCAGAACCAAATGCACTGGAGGACCGACACTCACCTTCTGTGCCACGATGGCAATCTCCTTTTCTAACTCTACTATGCTCAGTAAATCACAATCTTTTACCACAGGTGTTACTAGCCCCTTAGGAGAGGAAACGGCGATGCTGATGTCGACGTAGTCCCGATAGATAATGACCTCGCGATCTGCGTCAATACTGGCATTGATCTCCGGGACTTGCTTCGCAGCAAGAGCTGTGGCCTTTGTAAAGGCACCCATGTAACCTAATCTTATGCCATACTGCTTGGCTACGTCTTCCTTATACTTTGTACGCCACTGCATTAGAGCCGTCATATCAATCTCTTGAACCGTCGTCAACGAGGCACATGTATTCTGAGACTGTTTGAGGCGTGTTGCAATGGTTTTGCGCATACGTGACATTTTCTCCTGCCAAAGGTAAGCATTTCCGAAGGAGGACACATGGCTTCTAGATATTTAACACGTACCACGTGCTCACCTCGCAGGGAGGATTCGCGTCTTGAGTTAACAGCATGGCCATCGATGGGCTGTGGTGGATTTGCCGGTGAAGACCTCGCAGGAGGTGCAGGAGACTCAGAGCGTGCTGAGCTTTCGATTGCGTGGTCTTTGGTTTCAACAATCTTGCTTTCTCCTGGTTCTTGCTGTACGAGAGCCGGGGCATCCTCTGCGGCTTCATTGGTGGATTTTTCCTCGGGAACGCGAGCTGTGGCCGTACCGTTACTAGAACCGGTTTCTATGCGGGCGATGGGCTGACCAACTGTGACAACATCGCCTTCATGAACCAGCAGCTCAGCAACGACTCCCTCCTCGGCTGCATTGACCGCCACATCGATCTTATCCGTCTCAATGCTGGCAATCTCCTCATCTGCTTCGATTCGGTCCCCAACCTTCTTGTGGATGGTTGCAAGTGTGCCCTCACTGATAGACTCGGCCATTGGAGGTACCTGGACGATAAGATCCGCATATCGAGCTCCACTGCCACTGAAGTAGCGGCTGGACGGCGTGTACGGGGTTTTGATCTTTTGGTCGGCACGTGCCGCATGTATTGCCATTGGGAGAGTAAGTCGAGAGTGGCGAGCTACATACTGTAGCGGTCGAACTTGTAACGGCGCCCGTTGACATAGAGTTTTCCCAAGCATCTTTGTCTTGTATGTGGTAGCTGGCCAGAATACAGGTAACCCGGTGTGCCTTTCACGATTGATAGAGCTGAGATCAAGCTACGGAACAAGGATTCGCCGCTTTACAAATGCAATTACAGCCAGGCTTGTTTAGAACGTAATGGCCGAGCTCTCGGTCACGGCCCACATAAGGGACTATGGAATGTCCGATGTTTCTTCCGAAAGGCCTCGGGCTCGGGTTCGGCTTCGGGTCACACCTCCCGTGTTTCAAATCTCGGAGTCTTTTGTGCGGGCTTCAAACCGTGTACGCACGTTATAAAGTTCAATAGCGTTCAAGCCACTTGTTCACACTTGCAAAAGCCTACGACATCCTTCATTCGGCTTTCTTTGCTCATCATTCTTGTTTAACCGTTTAGTACCTACCGGCCGTCATAATGAAAGCTTGGGCTTATCGAGATTAAAAAGTCTTCAATTATCGGGAAGAATCCGGACTCTCTAGACAATCTATACAGTGCCGAGTTACAGGATGTATCGGAAGGCTTTGTCCTGGCGATCGGTTAAGTCTGAATCAATGGCCACGCCACTCTGAATGCCCTCAGCACGCCCTTGTGATTCCACCATGTAGTCAACGTGACCCTCTGCCGCCTTTCTATCCCGCAATTTATTTTCCTTGTCCAGAAGAAATGCGTAGACGACCAACGTAATCATCAGGTAAACCAACGAAGCAATGCTAAGAATGCATCCCTTGAGATACCGGGGCGCATCATCCTCGGTCCAAGCTTGAGGTGAAATGATACAGCCGACGCAGTAGGCCACGAAGAACATTGTCGTGGTCGACGACTTCTTGGTGTTTCCTTTTACGTTGCTAGCCATGAGAGCCGAGCAGCTGCTGAGCAAGCAAGTGACGGCATTCGCCATCCAGGTTGACACAACGATGCCCCAAGACTTGGAGGCAGGCAGCGTCGCAAGCAATATGGCACCCAAAAGGGGTATGCAGCACAAGAAAAGGGCTGTACATGTTCTACTGTACTTGCTCTTGACCAGACGCGGGACAAAAGCCCCGAACCAAGTGGTCAGAATGTTGAGGCCACCGCCAGGCAGCCCCACAAGCATCGTTGTGTATTTATCGTAACCGAAGCCGTTGATGACGATTGAGGAAAACTGCCGCCAGTGTTAGCAAGACCTGCAGGTCACTTCAACGATGAGGCGGGGGTCTACTTGCCTTGATAATGGCTGTCGTGAGAGTGATACCAAGCGCCATTGACACGTAGAGCCAAGTGATGGGCGATTTGTAAGCTTCGTTGAACTGGGATCGGTTGAAGTCCGTGCGATCGCGGGTGCTGCGATCTATGGCGAGCCTCCTAGTAGCGATTTCTCGTTGGCGAGGCGTCAGAAACCATGCTGTCGTGGTATCCCCGGGGAGCAGGAAGTAAAACAGTAGCCCAGAGGTGACAGTCAGCCCGCCAATGAGATAGAAGAGTACCCGCCAGGACTCGATAGCAAATTTGGCACGGCCAAGCCCAAACATGATGAGAGCGTTGGTGATTTGAGCGAAGCCATTCATAGATACCCAAGTGGCAACGCGGACAGGGTGCTCTCGGCGCTTGTACCAGACCGATGTCAGCATGACAAAGGCTGGAGAGACGGCGCCTTCGGTTAAACCGAGAAAGAATCGTGCAGCCATCATCCCTCCAAAGTTATGGGGAAGACCTACACAGACGCAGGCCACGCCCCAGACAACGATAGTGCAGCCGATGAAGGTCTTTAACGGCAGTCGGCCGAGGAGGTATGCGGCAGGCCAGTTGGATAGCAGTTGGCCAAGGTAGAATACCGAGACACACCAGCTGTACTCTTCACCGGTCAGGTTCAGGTCTGAGCGCAATCCGAAGATGGCAGCGTATGTAATCGATTGCTTGTCCAAGTCTGTGCTGATCAGCCTGCGGTTCCCCAATTTGGATGATGACCAGACTCACACATGCAGAAATATACCAAGGTCATCAGAGGGAGCACATGGAGATCGAGCTTGCGCACGACTTGCCTCTCCTCGGCTTCATCGATAGCCTCGAAGGTGACATGGGTGCCGTCTCTGTGCTCGATTTCAGTCGAAGCAGTGGCGAAGTCCTTGTTCTGTGTGTCGTCCTTTGTATCCATATTGCGTTACTGTTTGATTGGAATGAGCAAGAGTTTGACGACAGGAACAAAGGAAGAGAAGATCTTTGTGGCATTTTATATCACGCCCGAAGAGCCTAGTGGAAGTCTCGGCCAATCTAGCGCGTCATGTTATCGGTGGTCTCTCAAGGAGATTCTTCCCGGGGTCCCCAAGTTCTCAAGCCGGATCACATAATGCGGAGTTTCTCCTAGTCCGTGGAGTTTGCGGGGTAAGGTTCGGCCTTGTGACCAGTGAGCTGAAGAGTCTCCAGTTCTACCCCACGATAACATCCAGGTGAAAGAGTCCTTCTACCCCACGTCGGTTTCGATTTGTCCGGGGTCGAGGCCTCCGCACTTGTCTTTTGTCAATCCCCTAATTGGATATGTGATCAGGTGATTGACTCCTCATCAAATCCTGGCACGAATCCGGATCGATACCGGAAACTGTTCCCGAGCCTAGTCCTCCATGTAGCTCAATCACAAGTCTCGGTTGTTGGCTTCCAAAGAGGTGAACCCATCTATGGCACAGTGGGGTATGAGTATTGATTAAATACAAGTGGTAAAAGTCTCTGATGCTCTCGCAGTATCATACTATAAAGGGCAATTGTTTATCACATTCTGTCTCCCGGTATTACAGAGTACTATACAACAAAATTTGTTCTGGCTTGATCATTTGTTCTATTAAAGAATGGACTCTTCTTTGATTGCGAGCGACATGCAATCCGAGGTAGATACTGTCACGATAAGCCCACAGCAGAGGACGGAACCTCATATTCCTAATGGCATGCTCCATACACCACTCATGAGAAGTATCATGCCCTTCATCAACGGGGGCATTTCTGGTATTATTGCAACCACTGTCATCCAGCCCATCGATATGGTCAAGGTAAGCATTGAAACAAAATCAACTTTCGTGGAATGACATACATTCTGAACACAAAACAAGGTGCGCTTGCAACTTGTCGACAGTAGCCAAATGGGTGTGCCCAAACCCACGCCACTTTCAATAGCGAGGACAATTCTCGCCCAGGGTAGGATGCTCGACTTTTACGCCGGCCTATCCGCTGGTCTCTTTCGTCAGGGGATCTACACAACATCAAGGTTGGGGTTCTTCGACATGTTCATGAAGCGGCTACAGCAGAATCACCAAGAACAAGAAACAGCCGTCAGCTTTGCAGAGCGCTGCGCCGCCGGACTCTTAGCAGGTGGCCTTGGGGCTTTTCTGGCAAACCCGGCGGACGTCGCCCTGGTCCGAATGCAGGCCGATGGCCTACTCCCGGCCGCTAAGCGCAGCAACTATAAGTCGGTCGTCGACGCATTAGTATCTATCACCAAGGCGGAAGGCGTTAGGGCTCTTTGGGCTGGAGCGACACCAACTATTGCCCGAGCCATGTCACTGAACCTGGGCCAGCTTACGTTCTTTTTCGAGGCCAAGACCCGGCTAAAGACGCAGACCCAATGGTCGGCATCTACGCAAACCCTAGCAGCGAGCGCTATCGCTGGCTTTCTCTCTGCCGTTATCGGTATCCCTTTCGATTTCGTCAAGACGCGACTACAGAGACAGAAGTCAGGTCCTGATGGCAAGGTAGCCTATAACTCCATGGTCGACTGCTTTAAAAAGGTAGCCACAGAAGAAGGCTGGATGCGATTTTATCGTGGCTTTGGGACGTTCTATTTCCGAATTGCACCGCACGCGTAAGCTCCCCAGCGTTTATACGTATCGTTCTGACGCTAACATGTATAAAGTATGATAACATTAGTTACAGCGGACTACCTTGGTTGGATAACTAGTTAGAGTATTACAATAATAGCCTTCTTGATAAAAGACGGAACTATAGTACTTGTATTTCACATGACCTACGGCTGTTATCGACTTATTGCCTGCGTGATACTGCACACTGTAACAAATTAACATGTTCAACCGAGCCTCCATAGAACGTTCGCCCATTTGAGCCCAAGAACACGTTCTTTGTGAGCCTTGATTTTCCAAGAGCTCTCAAACCTCACCCCAGCGGAAGTCCTTTCTCATCGCCGTGCAGCCCAACATCGAAAGCATCAACCGGTTATTAGACAAAGCTTCTATGTTGACACTGAAGGTATCTCAAACTCCAAAGAGAGATCTATGTAGGATCAATCTTGGCATTTAGTATTGTTTCCGTTGCAATCTACGATTCCCTGTCTAATAATACGCATTGTATCCATTTGTCTAATTGTGTTGTCACTTAGGTACCTAGGGGACAGCGAGATTGACCAAGGAGCTACTCGGATGATCTGAGAGGGCCACTGTGGTCGCCATGCTTTCCACCATCGACTCTGTTGTCGATGGTAATGAACAACAATCGTATTTGCAGTAAGCGAGGATACTTTGGGTGTCTGCTTCGCTTTATGGGATGCAGTCTCCAGTATCAACGACAGAGGACTCGGCATGATCGTCATCTACACCGTGTACAATCTTGAGGTGACTATTCAGTGGAGCGAGGTCAAGGAAGAGCGAGGTAGAGAAGCATAAGTCAGTTAAAGAGGGGCTTTGGCCACAAAATTCTTTCCAGAAGGAAACGTTGATCTTAATGGCTCAAGCCCAGCCTCCCAAGTATACTTTCCGGGATTATGTCATGTGTGAACGATTTTCGTGGCGGCATCACCCTCGCACAATAGGGATCACTCAGCCTGCTCTTCGGCGACTAGTTAAATATGATAGCAGCTCAAACAACATCTACTGGCATCCAGACCCCTCTAGTAATGATATTGTTTGAGAAGTACGGCCAGACATGTCACATCTCCAGCAATTCATTCCGCCATGCACTACCTCTTGCAACCTGTCGATACATATTAACGATGTTTATGATTATATATCCCTCTCTTTGCCTTTTGACAGCCTATACCCTGTAGTCGACGGGATACCTGAGATTCCCAGCTTAATGGCCCGCGCTTTAGGTCTAGCAATAACTCCTCCGGATTCAACAATGTCTGAGGCCCGGCAGTGCTCTTCCGTGAATTACAGCTCTAACACAGCATCATGTCATTGAAGGAGGAACGAGAAAACTGATGGATTACCGGGCCTTGCCCTGGGTAGATCGACTCGTGGTAAAATGTGATCAGTTATTCGGAGCTACTGAAGATTATGTATCCGTCTATGAATTACTGCTGTTGCATATCTCGGATAGCTTAGTATGAACATGCGATGCAAGCCCGTTTTCCTCAATCTGAGTAAGCAATGCTGCGAGCTCTTGCTTGGATTCCACGTCGATGTTCCCGAGGGGAGAGGCTCTTGATATACTGCTTGCTAAAAGGTTTATGTAGTCTCGGTAGATATCTGCCTTCAGTAATTAATCTGCAAAGATAGAAGGTATTACAGTATAGTCCCTGATGGCATAATTAATAGGTTTTGGTACTGGTATTGCTTGCAGCCAGAGGATATATATTATGACCACTCTTACCTGTAATATAAAGAGAATCTTGGAAATCAGCGTCTAAGGCTATAGTAATTACATGTCGGTACTTAGATCAAACCAATGTTTCGGTAGATGCCTTGTCTTCTGATCTTCTGAAGAGCCCTGACGGTTGAGCTTGGGGAAGTTTATCCGTAGTCTCCAACGCTGTTTCAAAGGGACCCGAGGTATACAGCACAACTCGAGTCATGTGTCCGACGTCGACCACACCAAGAGGGCTCGCGTAGCCTTAGGAGATGCTCTTGCCTTGGTCAACGCATGCAGGCAGGCTCTTGGGAGTAGTGCGCCCAACCTCATTGTCTCCTAGAGTGTTCTTAGCGCTTCGAGGGGCCATTGGGTCGTTGGCACCGGTCGTTCTTCAGAATGTTGGCCTTGTTGACCTTGTTGACAGAGACAGTATTCAATCTGCTTATTTCTGCAGACCGAGGAAATGCTTGTATGTTGCTTGGGAATGAGGTAACGCTTATGGCTGATTGGTGATTGCCAAAAGCTGTTCGGTGTTGTGACGGTGGATCTTCAGGCTTATGAAGGAGATGAGAATGTGAGAGAAGGAAGAACCGAGCTGGTGGAAGCACAAAGGTTTTTCACTAACCCGTCTAATCTTCTAATTTATTAGCATTTTGTCTCTGGGTCAGTGATGACATTGACAACGAGATCCGAGAAGTATTAGCTATAAGTTATTTATTGTTTGATGGCTGGCGAGAGATATCACTCTAAGCTGTGGCTGAAGTGACTAGAGGCATGAGAGCGCTGGGATTTATGGCTGTGGCTAAGGATCATACAATTAGGCGACATCGCATCAGTGCTAATGCCAAACAATATCGCGTCTGCACATCAACCATTGGGTGCATCTGTCCTTCCTTCTACTCCCCTCCAACAATCAAGTTGGCGCGGCATTGATCTTCTCGCCTAGTCTATTGCGGTTTGGTCATTTTCAACCAACATGCTAAAGAGGTATTGACATTTTCTGGGCTAGTTTCCGGGCGTTTGACAATGGCAACAATCTACCCTGTAACTCTATTTGCGCTTCTGTCTGGACCCTCATGACCCATCTCACGTCTTACTTACTGCCGCCACCAAGATCGGATTTCTTCTCTTCTAATTTGCGTTTTCTATCCTATTATCCATCGCTGCTCGAAAACAGCGTTCCGACTTTCCTGGGAGGCATCTGCAAATATTACCACCTGTTCTCTCGAAGCGCGCTCAATAACTAAATTGCTCCAGCTTTCAAGTGCGACTGAACAACCAAGATCATCGGGCGGCCTGCATCGAACAACATGTTCGAACACGCACAACAACTACCTATGACGACCCCTCATCGATCTATCTGCTTACGAATAGGACAAATTCTCTCCTCCGGCTGTGGCCCTAGCTTCCGGCAAGGGCCGGTCGACGAATACGCACTGTCGAGTGAAGACTGCAAGTCTGCGACAAAGACTGAACCCGTGATGTCACGTGTCTGCTTCCTCTTCTGACTCATGAGCACCAACCCCTCAGCATCGTGATCGATATATCCAACTTCGAACTAAAGTCAGCAACAGTCATGTAATTGCTTCTCAAATTGTACCAATCTTCACAAGAGGAGGAAGAGCTTCTCACCGAGCTGATTGGCTTGGTACGAGAGAGTCGGCGTAGCCATGTTATAGGGATATACTACAGAGTGACTAGAATATATAACAATTACAGTGAAACCTTCCATACCGTCACCTACAGAAATACCAGTGAAGGCTATCAGGGGTTCATTGGGCGCAGAATCCGAATCTCCCCAGCAGCATCCATGAACCGCAGATGTAGCCACAGACATGACGCTTCAGCATTCAGGACCATCATGAACTTGCCTCATTACAACGATAGGAAATAATAAAACATGACTGCGCATTGGTATCCCTGAGTACGAATAGAAACATCGCCGATTATTATGTGCCCCAGCATCACCCAACTCGTTCCTGCATATGTTCACCGATTCGATACACGACTCCGGGAGACTCTATGCATAAACTGGGCGGTTCCGTGTTTCCTCTTTGTTCGCTCGCCGCGTAGCTCGGGTATCGTGTTCATCGCTCGGCTCGACGTTGGTCTGCTGTCAAGCAATCTAATGTCTTGACACGTATGTTCATCACAACCTGTTTCAAGATCATCGTCAGCATGGTAAAATTAGTATCCAAAAGTCTGTGGACAGTGCCCCGCCAACGTGTAATCCACCAGATAAAATCAGACTAATCCTAATTATAAACTTAGATAAAACTTAGATAAAATATATCTTAAATAAATAGAATTTTAGCTACCTTATATGCAAAGCGCAAAAGAAACTATAAATTTGATAATATAGTTAAAGCTCTTATTATATAGGCTATAGAGAGTAGGAAGTTATATTAAGCTATTATATAAGAGGTAAGATATTTACTATAAATAATCTTAAATATTATTTAATACTAAAAAACACTATAAACTCTAGATAAAAAACTAAGATCTAGATATCCTTAAAAACTTATAATTTAGCAGATTTAATATATATTAATTTTATTAAAATATAATTATTATATTATATATAAAAAGCTTATTAACTTTTTAGGTAGTTATATCTTATAAACTATAATATACTAAGTTATATACCTTTATTATAGTTATAAATAAAGGGCTATATAAAGAATACTATTATCTAAAGAAACTACTTATTAATAGCTTTCTTAGTATTAAGCTTAGAAGAAAGATATTAAAGAATTATTAAAGGTTTATTACTTTAAAGTTTATAAATTATTTACTTCTAGGAATCTTTTACTTAACTAATAATACCTTTAGATTATTTTTAGTAATAAATTATTAATTTAATTATAACCTAATTATAAATAAGATTAAATATTCTAAAAGCCTTATAAGAAGTTTATAAAGGAATTAGTTAATATAATAGTTTATAAAAAGTTATAATTATCTATTATAGTTTAAGGAGTAATTTAAAGAGGAGGGAAATCTAATATTATTATTATAATCTGTAATTAGATTACTAAAAGAAAAAGATATACTTCTTTAAGTTATTAATAGGCTTTAATAAAAGGTTTACTTCCTATATATAAGGGATTTTATTAATTTTAATAAGATAATACTTATATTTATACCTTAGAGTTTATAATAAACTAGCTATTAGATTATAAAATATCCTAGATTAATTAACCTACTTATAGTTTAGATCTTAATCTAATTAAGTATATTTAGAAGTAATTAAAGCTAAATATTAAAAAGATATTTCCTTAATTAGACCTTCTTAAAAATAATAAAGTTAATTAAGTAAAGTTAATTAAATGTATTAAGTTAGTATAGGCAGTAATTATAACTAAGTAGGTAAATCGGCGAATTAACTTACTCCCTTATTAAATTGATATATATATTTGCGCCTAGGGTTGGTATATAAAATATTAAAGAGAAAAATTAGGGCTTTAAAATAATATATAATTTAATATTATTAGATTTAATTTAATTAAAATATCTATAAGTGAAGTTATTCCTGTTATACGGATTAAGTTGCTATAGGGTGGGGTGTCTACAGACTTTTGGAGCATAATTTTAGAGAGATAAGAATAGATAATTACCTTCCAACTGCAGGGTAGGTTACTGATCCAACTGTGTGAAATCAGCGGCTTCCTCATGCTTGGCGAGATCTGGTTCCCCCGAGTCCCTCGCTGGGAGCCGCCTTTCAGATCTGTGCCCTCCACAGCGTTGGGCTTGTCTTTTGCCCGAGAGGAGACTTGACAGCTGACGCAACGTATCTCATTACCCTCAGTTTAGCAGCTTCACCTTGTGCTTCGTCACTCTCATCCCGCTGCGGGATTCCTCCCCACCGTACTACCCTGGACGCTCTTCGAAGGACGTAGCTGTGCCGGCTGCCGCGCGCGACAAGTTGGCGCTTGAGGCACTCGATGAATGGTGAGATTCTGCGTCGGATTCATTCGTCGGTAGGGGCGTGGCGCTGATCGTGCCTGTCGGCAGTCTTTTGGAGAGGATGTTGTGCGAGGGAATTCGTATCGGCATGGTGAAGAGATTTGTGGTGGATATGTACTGGGAGGTTTGCAGTGAGAAACGGGAAAGATGGAGTGTAGTAAGGGCGCTCGAAAGCGAATTAAAATAATATTGATGTGGTAGAGATGAAAGTGGTGTCCTTGGTGTTTTTGTGAACAGGAAAGAAAATGCGTTGCTACGTCAAAAGATGTGGGAATCGCGCTCTGGCTCTTGCGCAGCACGACATCGTCAGCTTGAGATCGAATGTCTCTCGGTCGAGCCCTGATCTTGACGCGACACGTCATTTGGAAACCCTTCACCTTTTTGAGTAGAAGAGGAGCCGATCTTGTGCATCGCAGCATGCAGACTGCGCATCATGGGGCTTGGGTCTCTTGCGTTGAGTAGTTGTCACGATGGGTTGCTGTCACAGCGACAATGATTTAGAAAGATTGGAATCACGAGTGCAATCACTTCACGCTGCTTGTTTCATTGGCGTTTAATAATGATCAATGTTGAGGTGAAAAAGCGCAGTTTGCCCAGAGACACCTTTCCTCTCATCGCTCTGTTTCTTCTTCAACCCTCAAATAGAAGTTCCGTCCCCAAAAAAGGGCAATACGCGCAGTATTGTAATTCCTTCCGTCAAACTGGAAAAAGTACGTTCACCATTGCCGGTCTGTGATGGATTATTAGCCATCATGTCATCAACGTCCAGAAGCATCCACCGATAACTTAACCTCGTACTTGTTACTTCTTAAACATTAAGAGGAAGTTTGCTCCTTGCTGGCGGCACCAGACTTAGCAGCCCGAAGCTCGTGGAGGTCGTCGTTCTCGGTGATCTTCTCCGTCAATTCGGTTTCTGCCGCACGCCAGAAATTGGTGCGTCGCGCCAGTTCTGCTTCCAGATGAGCAATACGGCGTTCCGCGTTGGCCAGTTTCTCCTCAAGTTCCGCATTATCCGTGATTAGCATCTCGTTGGCTTCACGGGGGAGGTCGTTCTCCTCATTGGCGAACGCGCTGTCTTCCTCGATCATCCGCACGCATCCCCGGAGGTAATTTACCTCCGGGCTGTTGCGCCGACATGATATTTCGTCGTGTGTGAAGATTTGTGAGAGGATATTTGTGGGTATGTGTGTGAGGAAGGGAGGATTGGATGAGGGTTGGAAAGCAGAAAAAGTGAGAAGTTGTGTGAGCAGTGTGGGGTCTGAGTATTTGGGCTTTCTGCCTGCCACTGTCAAGAATCGTTTTGTCAGGTTCCACACTGGCAGAACATGAACGCAGCTTGAACAGGCCTCTCGAGAAAGTCGGACCGAACACCGAACGGACTAATCCTGCTCAAGCAGTACGCCTTAGCCAGAGGATCTGTTCTGCTGAAAAGAGGATGTGGACAAAGTTCCTGCAGCTTGGTTCCCCCTCTTTGAAACAAGATCACCACCTGAGCCTCAAAACATACTAGCCAGCCTGCAATGGTCGTTCAACGTCGTCAAAGCGCTCTACGTCCAGACCACCCTTTCCCCAAGTTCAGCTTCCTGGTATTGAGTCTCGAGGTATTGATATACCGGATTCGTATCCACAAAACGCCAATGGAAACGGAACACGAAGATGTCGAGAACAAACAAGAACGCTGTTGTTTCCACCAAGTGATCCTGAAGAACCGTCCCACGAACACACTAACGTGAAGCAAAAGGACAAACCAAACATCGCTTCCCCTTCTACTTGTACACTGGCCACTTTCCCCTTGTGTCTGCTACGATCCTTTTGGAAATGCAAACATCACTGACTCGTGATATCTAAGCGACGCCGACACCCCCGAGATGAACCACCAACCTCTCGCCTTGCGGCCCGGTGGTATCTCGAGATCTACTGTCTCAGCGATTGATTCTTGATCAAGAAAACAGCGTCCAGCGAATGCTTGACCCGCTTATGTCTTGGCTAGTTTCCTAGTGTGGCGAAACTTTCCTCCACACGGCCCTAACCGAAATCGTTTTGGATGCCACCTTGATGACCGTTCCTGAAGCTAGTCCGGCTTATGAAGCGGAGAACCACTTTAGCGCAGAAAACTAATAATAACGACATTCAAGTGACTCTCCAGAGATCACTCAAGACTCTTCAGCCTTAGTGGCCAGAGAAGAAGTTGCAGCGGCTCTCTGTATGAATAGAAAAGTTTGGATCGTTTTTATAAGACAACTCCGGTGCAAAAATCATTAATCCCCAAGGCATTCGTCTTGGCGGTAGCTTACCTGCTTCGTGACCTGTAGCCGAATGAAGAGGCTTTCGTTCTACATTAATATCGTGTATTACCCCGTCACCATTTACAAAGTTTGTCAGAACATTGGTGCCAACGTTCCAATCGGCCATATCTCTGCCGTGCTTGCGCTGTCACGGCCTCTTCCGAACCACTCAATTGCATGCTCCACACCCTCGCCTAACTCAGTAACTGTGGCTAGAGTCTCGTACATATGTTCTAAGGTCGAATGTTTCGCGCTGATCTCCAAGATAAATTTAATCAAGCGGTCTCCTTCCGAACTGCTGCATTCAAAGTTGAGACAAAAACAATTACCGTTAACAAAAGATACTGGCTAAACACTAGCTAAGAGCTCTTCACCGTTTAGTTCTGTAACCACCGCTTCTCCTCTTTGTTCCGCTCTTATCTCCGCTTCATTCTTCAGATCTGTCTTCCACGCATCCCACTCCGCGCCACCATAATCACCATCAAACCAACACATACAACCACGTCTAGCCTCGCATTTAACACCATTCTTTCGCATCAACAGCGTAAAGTCGCCGACTGGTGAGCCTGAGACAGGGTAATCACCTTTGTCAGCGCTGATAAACATCCCCCGCAGTTCTACATGTTTCAGGGCTGGAAAGTCATGGTGAGTAAGTAGCTTCCCGACCATGTCTAAAAGCTTCTCGCTACCAATACCACTTGGGTCAGGTTGTATGAATACCTCTGAATCTTGTTTGTGGGCATATTCTTCAACACCAATTCTTTGCTCCAAGACTAATGTCTCGAGTGTCAATCTCGAAGCCAGGACGATCTCTCGCCAGCTCTTATGAGCAGGTCGCTCAGTGCGTACAGACCAGTAATACAGCATATCCTCTGCGATAGCATCGTCGCCACGAGAAGGCTGACAGAGATGAAGGTGCTTCAGCCGAGGCAGGCTAAATTCAAGTGCCTGATCGTTCTGAACTTCCGAGGGAAGAAAGCACGACAAAGGTCGTGGTATCGGCAGCCACTCCTGATTTCGCACGCGCATCATATTGGCAGGATAAAAATGGTAAGGAGTCCATGGCTCTCCGAGGCGACGATGGCCTGATGCAGGATCTTCAATCTCAACCCCGCCCTCAAGCATTCCGAGCTCAAGACGCTCAAGGTTGACGCCAGTCTTTAAGACCCACGCAGCAAGGGAACGGGCTATGTATCCGTAGAGTTTAACATGACGAAGCGTTGAGGGACCAGCGCTGGGAAGATCGAGATGTTCAAGCAGGGTTGATTCGTTCTCCTGGTAAAGGTAGTTCCAACCAAGAAACTCATGGCTACCATGTAATTCAAGGTGCGTGAGATTGGTCAAGTGCTGTAGTAAATACCAATGCTTCAGTTCGAAATTGCCCCTCAAAACAAGGCTCAATGACCTAACTCGCGATGCAACCGCTTTCAATCGTTCCATATCTTTTCCCGACGCGCCAGATGACAATGGCTTAAACATCATCAAAAAGCTCTCAGCCTTCAATGTTCCTTGTCTCGATCTCTCTGCAAATATCAGGCTTCTGGCTGACTGTCCTGGTTTCGGTTTGTCGCGGAGACAGAGGCGGCCAGGGTCGTGAACGCTCGCGTGATGAAGCTCGATCACGGTCCATAATCGAGGCTGAACAAAGTGATTCAAGTATTTGGAAACCCGAGCCAGCACCGTAAGGTCATGACCTGACATATGAGAGATAATCTCGAGTATTATCTCGTGAGGAAGTTTCTTCAGATGCATTTTGAAGCAGACGTTTTGCAAATGATGATAATTGAAGTGAGAATAATTTGCAGTGTAAAGTAAATAGAGACCGTGCAGTTCACGATGTTGGACTCAGTGGATGCCTGATTAGTGGGGACAGTTATGGGTTAATGCCTGAGTAAGTCCTGCATTATTTGATGCTGAATTTACTCCAGACATGATTGACAATTAAAAAAACAACTGGCAAATAAGCCCCAGCAAAAACCGCTCTTTAAGTATCTAACCTTATGCAACAACATGCAAGCAGGGACGTAGTCTCCAAGAACAAACTGCTTCCAAACAGGTTGAGAGTAAATACATATATGTCTCTGAATACCAGCGGGTGGATCTCATTGATGAGCGTCGGAATCCAGCTCCACAGCATCGCCTCGAACTGAGAAAACGCTGTAGGGTAACCCGCAGAAGGAGATAAAGGCAACAGCAGCGAACTATTCTAATCATAGAGCAAAGACACCGTTTCAACTACAGTAGTGCTATTCTGAATGAGAAACCCGAATCTTATATAAATGATCTATTCTATACTTAATCTAAATGATGAAAAATGTCTAACCTAATGCTAATTCATCTCTTACAGTGGCGTTGTCAACAACCCGGTTTGCAGAAGCCATGATTTCATCGTGAATCTCAGTGCCGTTATTGTCATCGTCTCTCCACGTTGCTCATCTTGGTCTTGACCACATACATTAACGGAAGTCTGAGGGTCTTTAAACAGATGTGTGATAGTGGAACGATACAAGCGATCATGTGCTGCTAAGGACGTGAGTATTTCTTTTTGACTATGGGATTGCGTTTCAAGCCTTGTTCAATTATTTCTTGTATGCCGTGGCCGCTCACCTTGTAGTTAGATTTGAGTGCACTCATGTTAACACGTAGGAATATTAACTACTGGTTCAGAAACCCAGGTGACTCAATCTCCTGGTTCTTGAGCATCCGCCTAAAATCGTATTGAATAATAGTGTCAGTTCCTTTCCCAGCAGTGCTTGCGGCAACGTCTCCAGGTCTTTTGATCTTTTGGGGCGTAGGAGCGACGCCCCAATACTAACGAAAAGACTAACGTAAGAATTAGCACTTTAGTTGAACCTCGAGACCTCGATAGATGATCTCACATACGTGGTCAAAGAAACGCTGTGCTGGTAGTCTCACCGACCCACAGCTCTTGATACTGGAATCGTGTTCGCCAATTTGACGGATACAGAACGAGTGTTCTTTAAACCAATGTCTTAAAGCAGCTAATTTGTTGTTTAAAGTGAATTCGATTGATTTTCGAGTAAGATAATGGCACAACTACTCAGCAGAGCCCAGGGGATGAAAGTTTTAGTTGAGCTTTATATACTCGTTTGTAGCGGTTAATGTCAGGTTTCATCAGACAGAGAGGACCTGGCCCTCGGTATTAAACCCCTTTTCGTTACGTCCATGATACTTGGGTAGAATCGCGGAGCATTATCGAAGCCTCCTCAATGACTGACCAATATACGGATTGATAACCTTGACGACAGCTGCCTTGATCACTACTATCACCACCATCAACAACTCAAGACCAAGCCCAGCCGCCGTGGGTTGCCCATATACACGCAGTGATGGCCGGTGCTTTCATCATACTTATGTTCACGTCAACAGTCGTTCCCCTTTCCCTATGGTTCCCACATGCGTATGGCACTGGCAGCCTCTGTTGACCATCTCAGGATAGCAGTCACTGTCGCTTCTGACAGTGGTAATTTCTATTCCCCATCTACAGATGACAGTGGCAGCTTGAGATCACTACCTATTATTGATTCTGAGCCTCCAGAATTCTCTTGGCTTTCTTTCCTTTCTCATCACCCAACACTATACTCCACGATCAACACCCACTCTACATTCTATCACCAACACTCCTAACCCGTCTACTTTCCTCCTCTATTAACAGCCATTTACTTCCCTAACTATCACCATTCTAATATCAACCCTTGCGGTAGTCATCGCAATCATGTGTACCATGGCTCGCATCACCATTTACTGCCGCCGCTGCGGCAAGTATCTCCACGATTATGAAGAGATCCGACAATGCGCCAGCAGCCGACGCCGCGGCCAAGGACCCCATCGAGACCTTGGATCTGAGAATGTCACTTATCAGTCGAACTGGACAAACTGCGATGCATGTCAAGAGGAGTACGAAGTGTACATGTATGCCCGTCGGAATGGTATTCCTTATCTTCAACCCAACCCTCCCTTCAATTAAGTCAATAGCTCAACGGAGAGATACCCAAGAAACGAGTTAATATCGAATCCGGAGAGACCAACTACCACTGTGGAAGTCTCGACGGAACTCAACCCTTGGATGAAGATGGAGGATTGGAGTGCCATGAACGACGACTCAATACGATAAAAGGAAAAGACAAAAAAAAAAAAAAAAGACGAAAAATAAACAACCCGACAAAAAAAAGAAACCAAGATTCGTGTGCCTTGGGCGAAGATTCGACCGGAATGCACACATAAGCGACGACTTGATACGATAAAAGAAAAACACAAAAAAAGGCGAAAAATGCAAAACCTGACAAAAAAAGAGCGAAACCAAAAAAAAGAGGCATCGGCAGTGGAGGAAATATCTTTTAGACTAGAAAATCACAAAATACAAAAAAAAACTTTAAAAACAAAAGTTATTTAGTGTTGATAAAAGTGTGGAAGGTGCTCTATGTGTATGAATGCTGTGTCCGGAATAACATAGCCCCTCGTAGATGATTTCAGTTGCTGTTCCTGGTATCATGTTCATCAAGACATCCACCCTCACCAATAAGCTCAGCAGTTGAAGACTCCAACGCTCTGCGGTTTCAAATCATGCCGACAACTCTCCTGTTGTGGTAGTACATGACTGTGATCTCGTAATATTATATCTCGTCCTTGTTGTTCTAGTATTCCCGACAAACACGGTATTCGTCTCTCACGAAGTGCTGAGCTCGTCTCTTCGGCGATTGCAGTCCAAAGCTGGGCCACAGTAAACTTGTGACAGTGGGTTTTTCAAATGTTGTTGGAATGATATCGTAAGGACTTCATCTCGTTGAAGCAGAGGAAAAGGCGAGGTTCGTGAAATTCGTGGAGGGTCTGGAACAGCGGCATGGTTTTTCCGGGCTATAATACTCGGTGATGTTAGTTTGACATTGCTATCGCTTATAGGAACTTTCCTTGAATTACTGAGGTAGTTATTGACGGCAATAATCACAGGAACGCCCGAAAAAGTTAGAATGTAAGAAGAGGATGTTGGGTGGTGGCATCGGCGTAGTTTGCTGTTACGCGAGAACATCGCAGAGGATCTCGGCCAAGTGCGTCGAATATGCAGGTCGAGGCCCTTGAGCGATAATGACTGATTCTGATTTTCTCTAATTGATCAGTTACTTAGTTGAGCCTAGGTCAATCTTGGGGGGTATTTGCATCCTGCTGTTCTGTCATTCTTAAAGCGCGATGACTGGAAATGATCCAGAGATGCCCGTACAAGTTCTTCCAAACACTGGATAGCTTAAACTCGGTCTGATTCTCGGGATCCTCGTTTGGATCCCCATCCTCTAAACAACCTGAATTAGGTTCTTGAGCTGTTTTAGGATTATCTGGAAAGGTGAATAGTATCTTACCAAGGCCATCTCCTTATCGACAATGTTGTTGTCGCTAGCGTGAAACTCGAGGTCATGAACAACTTGCTGCATTTTGGGAGCCCATAGAACATGGCGCTTCTCTGGATTGATTTCGGCGGCGAGATGCTCTTGAGCAACAGAACAGGACGCACATTGCATATAGTATACTGTCAATGTCTCTTGTGCCGGATACCGCATGAAATTGGCGCGAGTTTAGTCTTTCTTCTCGGCCGTGCAGAGGTCAGTACTCTTTACTAAGGAACCACTGTTTTTGTTAGTTATTCATGTATGAGAACGTTGAAAAGATATAAGTCTAGGCTTAGCAATTATTACACTTCTTTGCCTACCTTGTATAATTCATTACTATATAGCACTGTGCAGGGATGCGCCGATAGCGCTGCTATTAGAATCCACTAAAGTGAGTAAACTAACTTATAGTGGCTCCTAAGAGCTCTGATTCCTACCTATCACCTTGACGCTTAAAGTCCGCCCTCTGTGTAATTAGCGTGTCAGTTGGTTGCAGTAGCGCCAAACTTTAATAGAGGTACAACTACTTACAGCATTGGGCATATCGAGTCATGAGGACCCAGGCTCTGCGTTGACAGTGAGTTCTTCGGCTTTTCGCAAGGCATCTTTTGTTAGATAACAAACGGCCTGAGTGAATCAAGTAAGCCACTCAATGATACAGTTCATCTTGTAAATGGACAAGAGGGAATTTTAGAGCAGAGAATCAATTAATGTAAAGGTCTACCGTAATAAAACTTCCGTTGGCATAGAAGGCACCCCATGGCTGATGTGTCGGTCAGTTGACGAGAGGAAATCAACAGTTGTCTACTTCTTTCGTAATTGGACTGTCCACTAACAGGTCAAGGGTAATCATATTTAAACCCAAAACGCTGATCTGCCGTAGAAATATCATCTCTCTTGTGACTCTTGAAAAAATCCTCGAGGTTGATTGTGGCGACGGTCGGGTATCTCTGGTTGTCGAGGTTATCCCCGAGGTATGCAATTCCGTTAGTGCACCAATACGCAAAGCTTCTGAGCCCGGCTGTTAGTGCATCTGGGACCAAAGCATAGAGAACAGGTGACTGGTGGAGGAAAGCTTACCCAGGAGCCCAAGTCATTACGTCATCTGGATCCTCCTCGAACTGCCTTCTTACGGTACTGTAGAGCTCATCAAGAGATCCAAGACGCTTTAGATGCAGAGAACTCTGGTAAATTCTCTCGTAGCTTGCCTTGATTTCCACGGCGCTCTTGCAATCCCCCCGGACTAGCCCTGTCAGCTGATTTGTTCTGGCACGCTGCCTGAGAAATGTTCAACTCACAGCGGAAGATACCGGACGCGTTCTTATCGACGATCAGAGCTGCGGTATAGGCCGCGGCGGTCTCATACGTCGTCAACTCCCATTTCTCATTGCCCGTGCCCCAGTAGCTAATTGTTTCATTGCTGCTATCAAAGATGTGGAAGAACGGACTCCAGAAGGTCTCCATCAGGGCACCAACCAGAACATGAACTCCCATAACCTTCTTCTCTACCAGGTATTTCATTATGATCTTGGCCGACTCTTTGGGAAATAGCTCGCCGTCCGGGATCTTGGTGTAGTCGACGGCAAAGTCGCTGGGCACGTATCGCGGAACACCTTCTTTGACGCACGCGTCGATCAGAATTTTCTGGCCTCGAGTCATGACGTCGTTGTTGCCGTAATAGCAGCAGATGACAATGTCGCATCCGCGAGCCAAGGCTTGAGCAGCGTCCTCGTCATCATACTCGCCCTGGATGACATGAATGTCGTAACTGCGAACGGCTGCCTGTGGAAGTTTCTGTGGGCTCCTGCAGAGACCTTTGATAGTCATATCCGGATATTCCTGTAGTGCCTTGACCACACACTGTGAAAATTTGGCTGTGAGGCCGGCAACACCGACAACAGTCATGATGAGTTGTTAAAGCAAACCTCAGAACGGAAAGATGAGGGATGGAAAGAACAGATAGCCAGTGGGGGAAAGATAATTTTCGGCGTCGAGGGGCGATGAGGTATAAAAGCCCAAGACAATACTATGACGTTTGGAAATGCTTAGAAAGCGAGATGGAACCTGAGCCTCTTTGCTGATAAATCAGCATTTCCTATGCATGACTAGTGGGTCGAGTAAGGAGGGAAAATAGATAAGGGGAAAACGGGGTATAAGAAAAAGGGTGTTTATTTCTTTTAGAGGGGTGCGGATGTGATCTCTTCTATAGATTTCTTAACGCGAGCTGAAGAACTTTGCTAAATATCTATTATATTACCTTCCATTATGTAGTTAGTAGGAGAAGCAACAGTTAATTATTACTTTGTAAACCTACTATAAGATATAGTACGCCACCTCGTCCTAAAAGCGCATAAGCATAAAAGTCCTATCACGTTAGCTTTTGCTGGCTAATAGCAGGGTCAACTAGGCACAGCATGCATATATTTCTATCTATGCCCCTGAAAGTTATTATACCAAGGTCCTTTATTTATATCAGTAATCCAGACCTCGTCATAGAGACGCAGCTCAGGGGTCGGTCTTCCTAAACTCAATAAAGTTCTTGCCATCAAAGGCTGACGCGACACGCTCGTCTTGGATGACTCGCAAGTACCAATCCGTAGTCAGACTATATTTTGCCCTCAGCTCTGCGTCAATGACTTGGGCGAAGCCCCAGTACAGCCCCGCGACAACCGAAATGTCAGCCAGGCTAAGCTGCTGCGTGGCAATGTATTTGCGACCCTGTAGCTGTTTCTCCAGCACTTCAAGAGAGATATTGAGACGTTGGAAGGAGTGTTTGTCGGACTCTTCGTTGAAAGAGGCCATGCCGTACCGCCACAAGATCATGGTCGTCAGGGGCTCGAATAGCTCGTGGTCGGCAAAGCCGATCCACTGCCTGATGACAGCCCGCTCACCTGCGGTGGAACCCAGCAGTTGGGCACTTGCAGGGCCGCTTTCGGCAGCATATTGGGCGATAGCGTCCGACTCGAATAGGGTGAGTCCTTCGTCAATGGATTTGAAAGCGGGAACTCTGCCCAAAGGGAAGTCGGCGAGGAACTCGGGAGTTTTGTTCGTCTTTCCCATGACAAAGTCTGGGGCGCAGTCAATCCTGCGACCATTCATTGCTGCCACGGCCTGGACCTGCCCAGGGTATCAGCGAGGGGTAAGGCAGATAAGGAGAACAGATACTGAGGGAAGCATTGGAGGTAATAGTCGCAACATACCTTCATGGCCCTGGGATTGAACGGGTAAGTCCAGATGGTTCCGATTGAGCCCATGATGGCAGATGCGGATGGCTAGTGGATGTGGTCGTTGATAAGTCAGCAAACAAGTATGATAATGGACGAGTGAGGAATTTGGGAAGGACGAGCGTTTGAAACCTCCAAGGTGCTAAATAACGTCACGATGTGGTTTTTATGTTTGCAGAACGCACCAGCGCTCCCATCCACCCGCCCGTTCTTCTTGAGTACTCTCTCTTAAGGCTAAAGCTTGATTAGGTAACTCCTCATGGACGTCGGGGTCAACATCGTTCATAGGCCCGAATCGACTCATACTGGTGGCGCCACAAGCGGATCCTAGTCCTGTCAGTAACTTGCATTAGCTCCTAGAGTGGAAACTTCGGTTTGAGGTATTAGCGGAAACTATTATGAGTTAGTTGTATGACCTTGGTTTCTAGCTGTTTTCGGGGTGAGGGTAGGCTAATATTATAGTAATATTAGATATAGGGAAACTAGCTACCCCTAGAAACTGGCTTTTATATTTAAAATACTAAAGATAAAATTATGCTTATAACTTAATTAAAAATACATATTAAATAATTCCAAGTATTATTTAATAATAGTGTATATTCTATTTATTATATCATTTTATAGTTTAATTTAATATACTACTAACTTATTAACCTAGCTTTAATTTATTAGTATTTATAGTTTTTCTTTAAATATTAAAAACTTTATTTCTTAATTTACCTTTTTTTCCTCTTCTTCACTTTATAATATCCCTTAATTCTTATAATATAAATATTATATTATTAATTTAATTAACTTATAAATATATTTTAATATTATAAGTTATATCTAATATATATTAGTATTACCGGCTGGTATTATAGTAGTAACAAAGGCTATGACTACCTTAATATGCTATAACCTTATTTTAAGTAATTAACTATATCTTTTAATACCTCTTATTAGCCTATAGTTTATTAATTAGTAATACATTTTTTTTAACATTAGGAAATTATATATAATAACTAAAAACTATCTAATTAATGTATTATATTAATTCTAATTATTTGTAACGGTTGCACAAGCCGTTAAACCACAGGGCAAAAGATCGGGCCATAATCGCTATGTAAGCAATCATGGGTGTGCTACAGCTACCTTATAGAAGCCTTACAGCGCTGTTACGGGCACGAATCGTAACATTATTTAACATATGATATATATATTTTACTAATTATATAATAATAAGGAGAGAAATATATACTTAAAATATATTTATTTTTAATATTATTAAGTTTTATTAAAGAATTAATTACATAATCATTATTTATTATAATTAAATAACTATTGCTAGGATAATTATTTATAATAATAATTATATAATATTATATTTTATAATTATAACAGGAAGACCGCCGTCCTTGTTAAGGGTTGTATTTTTTATAATGTATACATCGATAAAGAGGCAGTCTTCTAAGAACTCTAGGTCGGGGCTTGGAGTGGATGGGTTATTAACGCTATAACATACAGCGCCGTGCTAATATTGGGAGGTTAGATGCGGGTCTAGACTGTAAGTGGTAAACTTCACCTTGTGAGCCTGAACCAAGTGTCCTTCGTCGAGCGGTTAATCAGACAACCGGAAACGACGTGGCCCAGTGGGCGGTGCGGCCTATCTGAGCTAACATTAATGCCACGTCGAGATGAGAGCGTTGTAAGTATCAACATACCGCATACCCAGAAACTGATTAACACCATGGGAAAGGGCTACATCTTCGTATTCAGCATAGCCCAAATTGACACATGGTGCGGTCGTCGACGAGTAGTTATCGACAGGCTTTGCGGCTACGATCATGCCCCTGAGAGAGGACGTGCACAGTAACATGATGGACAAGAGTCGTGGCAACATGGTGAGTGAGACTGGTGCTCTATGAGGTATAGAAAAAGAAGTAATATTGGCCATCTGTAATCTGTCTCAGTAGATGCAGTAGTTGAGTCTGGTGAGCATATTATATATGTACCATACAGCACAGATCATAATCTGGTATTCAAGCCGTGATCGCGGATACTACACAGCCAAGAGAGAGTAAAGAGAGTGTAAAACGAAAAGCATTTGTAAGTGACCCGCGTATCAGACTGGATTTATAAGAACTACTACTACTTAGCTACAGTGTCAGTCTATCCATGAGAAATTGTCGCGCTAGTGGTCTTTGACTTAACGAAGGAAGGTTGCCGGATTTTCTCGCCATGCTTCAATGCATTGCCCACCATGTAAGTAGGCGGTTAGTGCGCTCTGACAGACCCCCACCTTGACTAAGCTCTCACAGTTTGCGCGCCCTTGTCAGTAATCCGTGCGAGGTAAAATCTTACTTCGATAGGCATGTGACGAGGTAATAAATCTCAGGGTTGACAAAACATCATAGGTACGCCTGCTATATTTTCCCAGCGTACCAATTATGATTAGTCACAGCCACACCTGATACAAAATAATTATGTTATATTATATTATGTATATTTTTCGTCCGGGGGGCCGTAAGCCCCAAAAGTCCCCTACTGGGGCACAGGACATGCTAAGCTAAACTATCTATAATCGCTGCCGTACTAATCCTCGCTCAGGTTATCTGCAAGGCCTCTTGCGTCAGAGCTGTATATATGCTTAAGCGTTTTCTATACTTATCTCCCTAAGAGGCACCTCTCTACTTATAGCCAGCTCTATAGTAGTTATCGGTAAAGCACGTCCTACTGGACATTAATATAGTTAACCTTAGCGGAGCTTCCCCTAGCAGCATCCTATCTAGTTTATCTAGTATATTATCGGCATAAAGGCGTATTAATTTTATGAGGTTATCCTATTAGCAGGAACTATTCCTCTCTAGCCTAGAATTCTCTTATATAAATAGATTAAGTAGTTTTCTATACCCTAAGGCAGGAAGTCTATAATCCCCTAAGATCACCAGTAGCTGCAACCCTAGAACTATATATCCTTAGGGGAAACCCTTATAGGAGAAAACCCTAAGGCAGCTAGAATACTACTCTATAAATAAAATAATCGCCTTATTCTATAGTCTCTAGGTAAGCTTTATATTATTCTAACCTAGCGGTTTTATCTAATAGTCTTATCTAGTAAAATAAATTATTAAAGCCTAGTTATATTCTAGGTAGTAGCTAAGACTATAAAATGAAAAAAGAGAGTCTCTAGGTAGTATATAACTGCAGAGATTAGTTAAGCAGCTTCTAAGCTGCAAAAAGGGCAATAAACTATATAGGGTCTATGCATTAAGGTCAAGGGCACCAGAGGGCCTAGAAAGTCAAGTAGCCGAAGGCTGTTTATATTATTTAGGCAGCTAAAGCTGCAGAGGTTAATTAAGGCAGTATTAAACTATAGGCAAAGGTAAAAGTAAGGGTAAGGGCATAATAACCCTTAATATTAAGCAGCAAGATACTGCAAATATCATCTAGGCAGCCAAGGCTGCAAAGGTTAATTATACAGGAAGTCAAGAGGCATAGAGGCCAGAATATTACAGGCTTATAAAGCCAAAATATTAAGGTAAAAAGAAGTTATAAATAAGATAAATAAAATAATACCTAGAGGTAATATTAAGAGCTTATAAAGCTTAGTGTTATTAAAAATACTTATTATAAAGAAAGATTAACTCTCTAAATCCCTTTCTTCTAGCAGCTATTAGGGTCCTGCTAATCCTGCAGCTGCTTTTATTGCCATTTTAGCCTATAAAAATTTTCTGCCCTAGCAGAACGCTAATAGCAGGTGCTAAGGAAAGTTTTTTATAGGAGAGAGTTGCCTAATATAAAATAACCTCACTAAATTCGACTGTCGCAGGGTAGGCATGATTTTCATGATCTCAGGAAACAACTGCGTTAGCAATCACGCTGTATGCTTTAAGAACTGTGCGGGATGGAATACCCTGCACGAGAGACAAGTCAAGAACAATCAATCAACACATTTAGCTGTTGCTCATTATTGTTATTTAATCTGCATAGTACTTGAATTGATAGCAGGGCATGCAAGATGTGAACGCCCAATATCGGGATGACGGAAACCACAAAAGCAGCTGCCAGCCTCAGAATACGGGCTGGGCTTTATCAATTATTCAATCGATGCTCTTTTTATTGATATTCACAAAGGTTGTCTATCATTGTGGGCTAGCAAGAGATTCCTCTGGCTCTGTTCAGCCACTTTACTGCGAGTTCTCGTATTATTACTCAAGGAGCTCGTCGAGTTGCATTGCTATCTATCAAGTTGTGAAGGTCGACCTCGTCCTCACTAGATCTTGGAACACTCTCTCGTGTCTCCCTGCGTTCTGATGGCAATCCCATCATCGCCCAAACGACCGAAGCCAACACACCTACTTCTGGCAGCATGGTCATGAATAGGTAGATGACTCCGCTTCCAGACACTGAGCTAAAGGTTTCTTTGGCTGTGATCGTGTAAATCAATGAATGTATCGTTCGGGCTGTCATGAATGGGAGCGCCGCGCCTACACCAATCATGCATCGTCGTTGCGTAGTTGAGAGCAGGTTCCATTTGCGTACAAGGCGTAAGAAGAGTAAGGCAGTCCATGCGAATAGTGCAGCGAAAAGACCAACACTGACTCTCGATAGCGAGCTAGGTGCCATTAGGTCCTCGCGATAGCGGCCCCCGATGTAATCGGCGACGGAGACGCCTACACCTGCCCAGCAGATCAACTCCGGTATTCGAAAATGCCAGTCCGTAAGAACCTGTAAGTGAGCGTTTCTATGGGGCCCCTGTGTAAGCTGACAGAGTTGCCGGGAGATGGTGGTATGAGAGGGTACTAACGTTCTCTTGAGAAGACCGAGGAGGACGAACATAAGGAGGACCAAGCCCAACGATTCTAGAACAGACGCTGCAGCCCAAACACTGGAGCTGCCCGTTGTGAATGCTGCCAGCAGACAGCTTGCTCCTGCTATCCGGATGGATGAAAACAAGGCCACGCTGATCCAGCCATCTTTCTTTCGGATACCAAAGAAGATACCGAACAAAAAGAACACGGCAAATATCGGTACCTGTGCAGCTGCAATGCCATCTCTCAGTTGAAAGGAACGTTCCATCGTTTATTCAAAAATGCGGAAAGACGCTTGGGACGACGTGCAACAATGACTCCCGTGCAGGAATTAGTCCGAAATGACGGCCTGACAAGATATACATATGGTCAAAGTCCAGACAAAGGGGCGATGAAAACGATGACGCCTCTTCTGAATGGCGCGCTTGCTCATTTTGCCTCAGTGGCTGCAAAGGAGCCGGGGCAGGGAATTCCGGTGGCCACGGATGCCAAGGTTCCATTTTAGGGAATTGTTTCGAACCTCGGGACATCATTAATTCACTGATAGCGCAAAGCAACGACACCCTGGACAAACTAGAACAAACTGATGGAGCGAAAAAGACTTAATAATTGTGTATTAGACACCTTTGCTAGATGAGATAAGACCGATTGGCTCGGGGATATACTACTGCGACAGAAATCCACTCTTTCGATCCACAGCTTTGTTCGAGGTATCGTAGTTTCGAATTGATTGCCTATTTGAGTTAGCTTTATGTGATAGCTTCTAACTGGTAGAGTAGATACCAGCGTAACTTCCTGCCATCTGATTAGCCGTGACGCGAGAGCCAAGGTGCGATAACTCCTGGAGCATGCCATAGCCTCGATGCGTGGAGGGTTAAAGCTCCATTAGGAGTCCCGACAGGGCGTCCGTTTTTCTTTCCACTCTCAATAAGTATCTAAGCTCCCCGTCTCTGCCTTCGTCTCACTACACGCTTCGTTTTGTCTTGTGATCACCCTCAAGCACCGATTTCGACGCGTATCTGCAATCGACATGGCTCACATGTACAATCTCGGAGCCAATGCCTTTTTTCTGGTTTTCTTTTCTCTTTTACTCCCAATTCAACTCTTTCTTGGCATAAAGCACAAAACATGGGGTTTTATGGTAGGCATGGTCTGCGGACTCAGCCTGGAGATCTTGGGTTACGCGGCTCGAATTGGTCTGAGTAAAGGCGTTGATTTATTTCTCATGTACGCGAAAACGATGGGGCAAATCGTCCAATTGATACTGATTCAAGATGCAGGTACATCGTTACCCTTACCATAGCGCCAGCCTTTCTCAGCGCGGCCATTTACCTATGCTTAGCCCGCATAATTCCGGTTTATGGTCAACATCTTGCTCGGTTCCGACCGATGATATACACAAGCATATTTATACTCCTCGACTTGCTCGCTCTTCTGTTACAATCAGCAGGTGGTGCGCTGGTTGGAGGGGATGATGCCTCCATGTGGGACAATGGTCTGTCTAATCTCAAAGCCGGCCTCTCAATACATCTTGTGGGCATTGTTGTATACTCCTGCCTTTGTTTCGACTTCGCTTTCCAAGTGGTCAAGAATCGGGGCAACTGGCAGCATAAGTTTGCTTCACTGCAAGCTTCAAGTCGGTTTCGAAGGTTCTGTTCTTGTGCGTTAAAACTTTTCCCATCATGATGCAAGCCTGATACTAACAGCGTCATGAGCCAGGCCTTGCTGTTAGTACGCTTGCAATTTTAATTCGAACCGCCTTTCGTGTCGCCGAGTTGAGCAAAGGGTTTCATAGCAAGATTGCAGAGAGCGAGCCGGCGTTTCTAGTCCTCGACGGCACTATGATTCTAATCGCTTCTCTCTGCCTCACAGCATACCATCCTGGGCCATCTTTTGAAGGCTATTGGCCAGAGGCGAATTTTAGCCTGAAATAGTTTTAATAAGATTACAAGCACTTCTAGTATTATATTTAATTAGGTTTTAATATTTAAGGTTTTTATTAAGTTCTTAAACTCTTAGTTAGTAGTATACTTTATATTATTATAATAATTTTTCTTTATTTTAAATATTTTTAATACTCTTATATAATTACTTAAATTATTTAATTATTATTTATAAGAGTATATTATAATAAAATTAAAACTTTAAATTAAGTTTAGAAAGAATTATTAGAAAACCCAAGAAAGATTTAATTCTTAATTTTATTAATTAATAGTATATAGAGGAGTTAATAGGCATCATGGACAGTATCACCAAATAGTCAAGAGCATTCATTGGTTTAGGATGTTTAAAATTTGACAGCCGCACACCTTCCGGAAGACACTAAACACCTAAAAGAACGAAGAAATTTTGCTATTTAACACAAAAGCTGACTTTTTGTCAACCTTGTAACAATGACACCTGAAATCTGTGGCAGCAGCCTTGCTACGGCTAGCAACTCCCGCAAGTCTGTTCTGTTTCTGCCAATGTAAACTGGCGCTCCAGCTCCAGCTCCTACCGCGGCAGACTTGGCCTGTTCGCATACGCCGCCCGATAGGTCACTTTGACCTTGTCCGAGTTTCTGTCTATCTTCTCTTTGCGAAGCAGCGCCCAAAGATACACGCCCTCGTAAATCTGATTTGCGTTATCGTCCTCGTCTTCCGCGCCTGTTGTGAGGTACACACTACCCATGAACGCAGCTGCCACAATGCACAGGATCATGAAAGGGAAGATGGCGATGAGTGCCCACACAATACCCTCCTTAGCGGCCTCCTTGATCTCTGCAATTGCTTCTGGAGGCAAGTTCTGCAGTGTCACGAAGTCATTGGCTGACATAGTAGTATTGTTCCCGAGATTGACAGCGTTATTAAAGACGGTCGTCATGATAGTGAGACCAAACGTGCCGCCAAGAGGATCTGATAACTGGGTTAGGCTGACTATGGCAGAGACTTGCTTGGGGAAGAAGCCCATGCCGTGCAGAGGAACTGAGGAATTTGTTCAGTCAATTGATAAGCATTACGATATGCGGCACATCTTACCTGGCATGAAACGTACCCCTACACCCACGCCAGCCATTGCCATCATTCCATAAACCACCCCATCGCGCTCCTCCCACATGGCCCAAGCGAGGAGCGCAATGGCCACAGCCTCGATGATAGAACCCGTCATGATCGGATGCCACGTCTGTCGCGGCCAATTGTTGCACATGCGTATGGCCATATACACGCCAACTGTTGGACAAGGTTGTTAGTTTAGCACCTACGTACTAAACGTAATATATAAACATCGCCAGGCACCATACTTACCTGCGATCCCGGGCACAAAGAAGAGAAGCGCCCGGCCGGCCTCGCTTGCCGGTGAGTGCTTCACCATGGTGAAGTACAGGCTGCAAAAATACATGACCGCGTACATGGCCATGCCCGACGCAAACGAGGTGAACAAGAGTAACCCAATATCCCTGTTTTTGATAACTTGCCAGGAGATCATGGGCAGCTGCCGTGGGAATAGCTTGGCGAGCCTTCTCCCGGGTTCCATCTCGCGTTGCCACCAGATGAAGGCAAAGATAATGACAAAGCCGGCAATTGTGGGCACGAGAACGGCTGACGTGTCCCAATCGTAGGTCGCACCAGCCCAAGTGAACGCCAAGACGAGCAGACCGATCCCTAACAGGCAAAGATCCTGGCCGCCAGCGTCAATAGTGGCCAACCGCTGCATCACGGTTGACTTGCGAGCGATTTGTGTCGTTTCTTCGAGCTGAGGGAGCGGCTGCGGGCCGAGGAGAACCGGACGTAGGAAAACGAAGACAACGATGCAGCCTGCCACCCCTATCGGAAGATTGATGCCGAAGCACCATCGCCAGGTAGTCTTCGTGAGGTATCCTGACGGATGACAAAGAAGTTAGCCATTGTAGAAGGTCAAAGAGACACCAGGCCGACTTACCTCCTACAACAGGCCCAATGGCGTAGGAACACCCGCCGACGAGCGAGAATATGGACCAGGTATATGCGTCCTCACGCAGCGAGACCTTGTCAGCGACGATGGCACGGATAACGACATTCATGCCAGCACAACCAATGCCCTGCAGCGCGCGCCCAAACAACAGCATCGGGAAAGCGTTGTAAGGCGTCCCCGTGCAAATGCCCCCTCCGATGAGGGTCAGAATCATGCAGGCTTGGATGGTAGAGTGTCGTCCAAAGATATCGGCCATCTGGCCCCATAAAGGAATGAAGACTACCGCAGTCAGGTTGAAGGCAGCGATGATCCAGTTGAGCTGGGTCACGCGGTCGAAATCAGCAGCGATCCAAGGTAATGCGGTGGCGATGATGGTCACGTCCAGGGCTGAGATGGCAAACGGTAGCACAAGGCCAAGGATGATGCGCCACCGATACCGGACCCGCTGGCTGGATTCGCGTTTGCAGTCCTGGCACGGCTCGAGGGATATCGTTGCGCGGTGTCGGCATTCCTGACCTTCCACTATCGTCGTGTTACCCTCGGCGTCAGTCATTGTGCGCACCAGGCCGGGTTTTCTTTTGGCAGAAAAGAAGAAGTGGCAGACAGCTTCCAAGAGCGAGGGCATCGCAGGGGCGTTATCAGTGCGATATGCGGTCAGGGAGAGCTAATACCGGTGTTGCTAGTCTAGGAATAGCTTGGCTTTATAGAATGTTGACCTGAACGCGTGCGACTCCGACCCTTACATGGGCTGCATTGAACTTTCTCTGAAAATACTAAAAAGGGAGTGGGATCGAGATATGCGAATACGCATTCACCATGCCTCTTCGTGGTCGGAGGTTGGGGCGATAGTTAAGATTGGCTATGGTCTTGGTGGTCCAGCTCGAAACAACTACCAAATGCAGAATGGCAACTGTGTACCCCACATCTATCACATTCGCAGGCGGCATCGAAAAGACACAGAAGATATTGAATGTGCGCAAAATTATGCGTTGTCTGAGTGACTTGCGGCCTTTTAGCGCAGTGCAAATCAGGGCCGAGACTCCGAGAAGATGGCCCACCGGCTGGCATGTCGGCCGCTAAGTCCAAATACACACAACCAAGAACTTTACTTGCCATGGCACTTGGGTAAAGGGTAATTCTTTAAAGATTGTGGTTCTAGGTGTAGACACCACTACATGAAGCTCGAAAGCAGTTCCTGATTAGGCAGCTGTTCCCATAAATATTGCCACATCAATCGAACCCTGGCAGATGGGGAACAAGGCTTTCTTTTCATGCTCCTTTTTGCATTCAAATTCTGATCCTTATCGTTGCTTATTCCATCCCACCTCAGAACGTGACGACGCGTGCTTTGACTTGAGACGCGGGGTCGCCGCCGCCCAGATCGCTATGTTTAGTGCCTTTCTCGGCCTCGGCTTCCTGTTTGGTGTGCAGAACAAGAACGCTTGGTTCGGCATCTCTGTCTTCTCTGCCATCTGACATGCAAGCGGAAGCTTTTGTTAAGCATGTCCCGGGATCTCACATACAAGCAAGGCCACTTTAGGATTATGACTAAAATAGTAGAACCGCTAAGAGGGCAGAATTAAATATAATATAACATAAATATATTAGCTAGGATTAGTAAGTTAAATATATAAGTAAACCCTTAGAAAGGTTATGACTAGATAGATAGAATTAGGGTCTTAACCTAAAAAGAAGAATAACAAAAAAGATATAAATTTCTCACCTTAATATTTAATAATTAGCTTCTTAGGCATTTGCATTAGCGCGTCAGGCACTTACATTAGCGTATCGGACGCGTTTATCTTGCATTAGCGTGTCAGGCACTTGCATTAGCTCATCAGGTGTTGAAACCAATGGGACATCATCCTGTTGGAGCTACTACTGGTATTTGTCGCTGATGATTTAAATTAGTGGCACTATAGTTGGTACAAGCTTTACGGGCTGTAGTTGGTCAGGAATCATCTCTTAGACAACACGAGGTAAGGAATTTCTTCACAAATAACATACGTCATTGCGAAGCTTGAAAATCTATTGAGCGTTGTGAGCGTCTTTGAGTTACGGTAGCGTGACTCAAAGTGTGACAACTATTTTCTTTGCAGAAACACCTTTCTGGTGAACATCGAGGGCTCCTTGAATGCTCTCTAAGCCATGTTCTACCACCGACGCATCTGGCTTTGCTTTAAATGACCCATTTGCCAGAGCTTTGGGGATATAATTGCACCATATCCATTCACCGATATGCTTTGTGGGTTCCTGGATAATCGAGAAGGCGACGACTTTGTGAATATAAGAAAACGGTCATGGCTAAGGGGTGGTGGGCACTTCTACTGACCATACTTTGGTTTGTAATTGTCGGTGACCCTATCGGTGGCAATGACGGTTGCGACGGGTAAATACTCCCCAAGCTTGTCAAGAATTGCTGAGGTAGCGTCGAAACTAGCGTCTCCACCGATGGCGTCAAAAACACCGTAACTGGGTGTGGTTTTGAGAACTCTCACTATGTCCTCAATCACGGAGGCCGACCGGTAGTCAAAGACATGACTAGCGCCGAGGGAACGAACAAAATCATGGTTCGCAGGAGACGCCGTAGTGATAACGGTTGCTCCAGATGCAGCAGCTAGTTGGATGGCGATTGCCCCGACGGAGGACGCACCGCCCCAAATCAAGATTGTCTTTCCAGTAGACTCGTCATAGCCGGTCGGGTTCGGGTTTGGCAGTGGTAAATTAAGAATAGCTGGATCGTACAACCCGGCACTGGCAGTAGAGATGGCCAACGGAAGAACTACAGCCTCCTCAAATGTCATCCCTTCAGGGACGGGGCAGGCTAGTTTGTCCATCGCCACGGGATAATGCTGGAATGCCGAATTTGCCGGATTTTTCGTAAGGAGACCAGGACAGTGACTGCCGTAGCACGCATGAGAAAACAAGCCATATGGCTGCGAGGAAGGGAACTTACGCAATGATCCTGTCGCCCTTCTTGAACCGTGTGACTCCGGCACCAACCTGCTCAACTATGCCAGCAGCATCCTCTCCGAGGATAAAAGGGTACTCTGATAAATACCTGCCGTGATGTCTTATACTAAGTAAGCAAAGTGTAGGGAAGTTTCTGAGCAGAAAGTACGCACTGAATCTTCCAATCAACAGGATTCTGTGCGAATGGTCAGTTGGGGTTTGTGGTCATTGCAGGGACTCATGTATAGGTGATCGGATGGAAGACTGACAATAGAAACCGCGGCATTCTTGATGACAATCTCACCCGGGCCTGCTGTAGGCATACATGCCTCCTTAACTTGGAAGGGATAATCGGATGGCGCACTGATCCAAGCAGCTTTGTTCCCGGACATGGTGAAGGAGGTGAAGGTGGAATGCGGCGGCGTGCAATAATAAGAGTTGTAGAAATGAAAGGGAAAAGTGCATTGCCAGAGCTGTTGGGGGTATTTATGCGCGCAGCGCCGAATTGCCGCTCTAAATAATCTATAATAGTACATAACGTACTCTCGATATTTTGGAACAAACAAGTGGAGCAAGTCAAGTGGGACATAATGTCATGAACCTTTGGGCCTCATTTTCGGCGTAATTTCGCCGCACCTGGTTTTAATTTGTGGACTTACTTATAAATATGCTTTTGACCATATCTACCTAGAGTCCACTAACTTATGTCCGATATCTCCTGCCATCATACGCATCCAAGTATATGGGGCGAAAGTCTTGCCCTAAACAGGGTCTCGGTATATGGTCCACATCAACCGTGTTGGGTGCTGCTCCACTGTCTATATCTTGAAGACGTGATACTGTATGCATGTATGTAGGTATATATGTATATATGAGTTTATTACACTCGGGAGGATACCCCTCATAGGGCCCAGAGAGTTGAACTTCGTGACATACTTTTTCCGCACTTATGGTGCTAAGACCCGCAAACCTTCATCCTCGCCGACCCTTACGACTTGCGACTCTTCCCAGCTTCGCTAGTCCCTGCGACAGACCAGCTCGAAGACCAACTTCTCCAAGTGTTCAGCGTCCCATCTTCAGCAGCTGAAGCCTAGTCTGTCTACCAGAGGCTGCGTGACGACTTGGGAGCTGAGTTAATTTTCTTTTCCGCATCGGCTCCTTACATTAGTCATCTTCCCCTCACACCCCTTGACCCCGTCCAATCATTATCGAATCCATCCAGCCACCGACGCCGCTCCAGCTCACGCAACATTCGCCGGCAGTGTCGGAAATCACATTATCAGCATACCGCGTAGGACGTGACAACTTTGTTCATCTGTGTCTCCATGCCGCTGAGACTGTTTCTTTCATACATGCTCTTCTGGAAGAGACCTGACCATTTGAATAAATGAATCATTTGAACATGTCATTAGGCCAAATTCCATTGGAACTGATGCCTCAGCAGGCGAGAGCGGGCCCTGGACATGACTGGACAGGGGTCAGCGATCGGAAGGCGAGGAAGAAGATGCAGGATCGAATTAATCAACGGCTGAAGCGTTCGTCCCACTGGAGACTTGGTATAATTCGTAAAAGGCTAACCCTCCATTTCGCGTAAATAGGACAGCGAATGATTGCTGCAAGGGCTCAAGATTGCCTGTCGGAACAGAGGCAAAATATAAACGAACCCTTCATCGTCGGCCAAAGCCAGAGCTTTATACCTGATCAGCAGTATACCATGAGTCACTCATGGTCAGAGACAAGTTATACGGCTGTCCAATCATCATCCCAGTCATCGATGTCGATGCTCAGATCCTTTACCGCCTGCAAACCCGAAGGCGATGAAACTGCACAATTCATCTCCCGGTTTTCTGCATGGGCACATCGAGAGTACCTTAGAGGCTTTCCCGAGGCTGATACGCTACTCAGCCTCATTCAATTCAATACCACTAGGGCCCTTGTGATAATTGCCAATTCCATGGGTCTCACAAAGGAATCCATGACGCCTGATGCTCGATCGCGACTGACCATCGCTGGAATCGATACAGCTATTGTTGGATCATTACCTCCTAGTCTACAGCCAACAAATTTACAACTCAGCGTCAGTCACCATCCATGGGTTGATATTATACCAATAGCTGGGATACGAGACAATATTCTACTTCGTGACGAAGCCCTCTATGACAAAGCCGAGCTATGCCGCGACTTGAGAGGGTTTCAGCAAGTGGCACACGGCCATGGCGGTATGAAGATATGGAAAGACCCATGGGACCCCGACGGATGGGAATTCTCCGAAGCCTTCGCCATCAAGTGGCCATGGGTTATCAGGGAATGCCACGAACTGCTTGAGAGCACAAATCGCTGGCGGAAAATGAGGGATGAAGCACCTCTGGGAAGCGGATTCATATTTGGTGAACTGGATACATGAGTTTGTGTGAAAGATTGTTCTACCCCCTAATCACGACATAGTAGCTATAAGACGCTTAACAAGTCTATCATTGCTCCCTATCGCTACCATCCCTGAAGTCCCGAGCCGTTTGGTTCTGTCTTAAATTTGGTCATGGTTCGGGCTAGATTTTGAAGTTTGATCACTAATCAATCGTCAACAAGTTGTTACATGAAGAAAACGAATGAGATTCAGTCGCTTGCTTCTGTACGAGGCGCTGATTCTGGGTGAAGCCATTGCTGCTTACGATAAATCGCGTACATAATGTTATACAATGCCAATATGACAAATCCCTTGCAACGCATCTTTTCTTATAACATATCTTTTTCAGCCATATCTTGCCTTAGCTATCGCTAGATTTACAATCGCTGTCCTGCACGGCTTAATGTCTTCTGTTGTCTATCAATCTATAGAATTGGTTTGATGTTAATTAAATCGAATCGTTGTCTTGCGAGATATCGCCATCTTGTTAAGGGAGTTGAAATCTTGCGCGGGATAATTAAACAAGAGATAGAAGAAGACGATGTTTGGCAACATGAAAATCACTATGATTACACTGATGCTTTATATTGTATTAATTTGGCAAAAGGGCATTTAGCGATAAGTATTTAGTTTTAAACTTAAACTATCCTAAATTTCCTATGTAAATACTAGCTTGCGTTTATTATTTTAACGCCGATTTCTTATTGTTTATAGGCGTTACATTGTAAGGCAGTAAGGCCCGCAATAGCCTTTGCGGGTCTTCCGTATTAGTACTTCCATTGCATGTTTGGCAGAACAAGACTTACCTGGAACTTGTTCGTGAGTTATATACACTTCAAGTAAGAACAATATCAACCACCAACGTGTGACATCATAAAAAGGATATCAGCTGGAGATAATAGATTAACAACTCTCCTTCCCAATGTATTGTGATAGGTAGTCGAGCTACGGCAAAAGCTCAGATAGGCGTCGGATGTATGACAGGCTCTGTTATTTACATAAATATTGTTCTTCGCCTTCCTCTTTTCGCATTCAAAGTCGATACCTAACATATCTAGCAATATATACTATCCCTACCACTTCCCTCATCACGGCTTTAATCTTGCCTGATCTCATCACCCTCTCACTCATCCCCAGCCGTATAGACAGCAGTAGCAAGGTACTCAAAGTGGATATTCAATCCGGTTTCACCACAGCACCCCAAATAGAAACCACTCTCGTCGACCGCCTGGTCTCCCGAAGGAGCAAGGTGATAAATCCAGAAGTTTTTGAAGGCTGACTTTGGATCAATCAAGATTGGCGTAATCTGTACGTGCGGAACGCGGTCGAACTTCGTTTTGAAGGTAAAGCGCGTTGGTCGGCCATCGGCGTATCTGGTGATGACGCCTTTTCCGGCTTCGACTTCACCGACGCTGCCGTGCTTAACGTTCCGAACTTGACCTAGTTGATGAAGAAAGTAAGTATCTGTGAGGAGATAGTCGAAGGTATGACTTGGCCTACCTTGGGCGCTCATGGTGTTTGGCTTGTACGGGGTTAGCTTGTTTGAAGTGAAGTCTGTGTGGTGAAGGGTATATATGGAACTGAAATAGGGTGAGTGGTGGCAGCCTTATATATCCTCTGGGACGACCCGGGATGTAAGCCCTGCGTTCCGTCTCATTCGGGGTTTTGTCCGCGCGGTGGCATATCCTACCTCAGCTGAAAATGAAATGACATCATGTGAGTATGCCGATGTGATCTGAAAGTGTCTCATGCGGCAGCCTAGCCCCGCAGATACGAGAGCGTTGCAGCGGCAGTTTCCGGCTGTGGCCGATCAAGACGAGGGATGTAACTCAGAAGACTCTTCTACGAATCCATGGCGAGAAGAGGCTTGGTTGAAAGTACTTTTCCATCTTGCACTGTCTCAAAAGGGAGCTATGCCGGTGGCGCCCCGAGACACGGTACGCTGAGACACGGCCTGAATCTTTATCTTAATGTCTAGTTCCCATCCCTTCGATGACCTGTCATCTTGTCAGTCGAATCCCCTTCCAACTTCTCGCCTGTCTCACAGGGAGATACAGACCTGGAAGTCTCCTGCCTCATTTCGTCGCAGGGTTTACCGCTATCTGAATTCTTGTGTTCATATCTTTCTCATTTCTCAGGTGACGTGACCGAGTTTCCGTGTCTCACTACCCCCCCCCTGACCGCCATCATGCACAGTTCCAAATGCAGAAATAGGGTTTTCAGCTGTCGGGCCTCAAACATTCAAGCGTCTTAGATCGCCAACCGCTCCATCATTGAGAGCAAAACTTCCCTATTTTTATAATTCTGGACGTTCATACGATGGGAACTGCTTCTTATGCAAGGAATCACCCGTAGAACTTACTGCAATCGAACATCCGCAGACCGAGACGGTAGCAACGCAACTCCTGAGTGATGCCTGGTTAGACATAGTGTAATCTGCGTACTCGAACAAAAGCTACTATCGCCCGTCCCTGCCTTTCCGATGGCTTGGGCCTGCTTCTCCCTGCTATGTGGTGGATCGAATACATGTAAATAGATGTGGATAATGGCGCAAAGATGGGCCATTCGGCTTTTATTCCCATGTCTTTGCTGCGGTGCGCTTCCTTCGTTCCAGTGCCTTGATACATGAACCAAACGTCTTCCGAAATGACCCATTGGTCTCAGAAGGATTTTGTTCGCAGCCACCTTGGTGGGCAACAGGGGCAATGTCTTCAGTGACCAATGGCACCGACGTGATAGGAGACGCTTAATTTGGAAGTCCTTCAGCTCCGGCAGTGAATAGCCTTATCTTCATGATAGACATCCAAGCTCTGGTTAACCAGCCGACCTTGAATATTATGTAAGTTCGTACTACTTGCCACTTCCTGAAGCACCGCTCAGACAGTATCATGGCCCCATTATTCAACTTGGTGGGACTCTTTTTCCTTTTTACCTTCTGATGCTTTGTAAACATAGCTTAAGGCAAGAAAGGAAAAGGACTAGAGAATACTAGAAAGAAATGGAATTAAATGGAATGTTGAATGAAAAGGGCAGAGCTCACGCAGGCAGTTCAGGTGAGATTGCCTTCTTTCCCTCTACCCCCTTTGTAGCCCGCTGTGCAGATGATCGGTTGAATGGGCGGTCAAAAGATTGTTTGGGGCTAATTTGCGACGTTTTGGTAGGTTCAAGAATATTATGGGCGAAGTCGGCCTGTCGCCTCGTACTGTTAGAGCCTCGAGATTCCTTCAGGCAGCTCTTCATAGTGCGAGGGATATCGGTGGTTGGGTTTGTAATGGTTGAGTGCCACGGGGAGCTATTCTCTGACAGTTCAGTTCGATTCGGATCTGTGAAACAGCTGAAACACACCGTGCGCCTTACCGGGAGGTGTGGATGTGTTGACTGAGCCGTCCCGCAAAGGAGAAGATGGGAGCGATATGTCATGCGACGCGTTCGAGGACAAAGACGCTACCTCAACAGAAGCAAATGCCACATCAGGCAGATCGTCTGATTGAGGATGTTACAATGTAGCAGCGTTGTAATGATTGAGCTGAAGCCACTAGTGAAGTTCGTGTTTCTGCAAAAATCTGAGAATTGCTCTGATCCTTCTGTACCCAGGTGGCTGACACAGCTTACGACTCAATTGGACGCGGCCTCTGTAATCGTTATTTGAACGGCCAAGAGATGCGGGATGTAATGAACAAAGGATAGAAGACAAACAAAATCCTGATGGTGATACTAAGCAGCCGAGCTATTGGACAAAGAAGAAGATTCTGCCAGAGAAGTGAAGGCGGTTAAAGAGTTCAGAACCAAAGGTGTGTAGAAAAATAACAAAGATAATCGATGGCGCCGACCCCACCTATTTGCTCATCTTGATTGCGATTGACACAAGACCGTGAGAAGGATGGCTGGTTGTAGTAAGAACGACATCCTCTGCTGAAATTGAGTATCACGATGACTTGAAGGCTCTTGAAGAAGGACAATATTAGCTGAGTCCTTTAAGGAATCTTGTATCCATGCACTTGGATCAGATCTGACATACCTGTATGTTCTGAGCGATGCATCTCTGTATTTATGATTGCTGTCGTGGCAACTGAATGGGAAATGAAGTGTGTGACATTCGTGACTTTATATTGGCCCAAATACGGTCTGGTTTTACCAACGCTGGGGTGACTGATGTCTGAGGTAACCCTAAGAGGTAAGGGTCGATCCTCAACATCATGCTGGGTTGACTGCACCTTGCTTCCTGACTTCTCAAGCCGGCTCGGGTTGGTATTATTCTTCTTTTGAGGGATATCGGGGAACTTACCTTTAGGGTCAAAGGGGGCATCAGGAGAGTCATCTTCATGATTCCCAGCCTGTCATCTCAGAAAAGCGGCATCCTTGTTTAGCATTAACAGATACCATTCCATCTTCGCCGGTAGTGGAGTCTTCCAATGCGGCTCTCCAATCATCATCTAGTAGAACGGCTTCGTCGAGGGCATCATCATTTCATCCAAAGTTGGTAAGACTCTTAGTATCGCGCTCGGTATCGGAAGGCTCCATATTGTTAGTCCATTGTTGGTTACTCTCATTATTAGTAATCTTTATTTAGCAGGTAAAGGAAGTGGAAAATGAGTAAAGAAGATACTTAATTTACTAAATTCAGTGATAAGAAAATGGCCATCTATAGGGTGATAGAATAGGTTCTTATACTATTAATTACAAGGAGTGTATTTTACACTTAATGTTGTAAAAGTATTTTAAATAGGCGTTCAGCGCGTTAATAGGTAGACAAGGTTAAGATAAATAAAGTAATATATATATATACAAGATTAATAATAGGTTTAAGTTAGATTTTTAAGAAATATATTATGTACTACTAAATTAATTATTAAATTTTAATTTATATGCTATTCTATTAGTTATATTGTTATACTCAAGTATGTAATTCCATGTAAGTATCGTTTCCGGCTAGAGTCCACTGAACAAGGCCTAGGATATTGTTCCAAGTCTAGCTACATTCACTATAAGTTAAATAATAATATATTAAAAAACTAAAGATAGTATTATATATATTAGGTATTCTATCCTTAATATAGCTAATAGATTGCCATTTAGAGAGTATATATCTATATAAAAGCTAATTTCTTAATAGTTATCAAAATTAGCAGGTAAGTTAAATATCCTACTTAAACTCGTTTCATCGTGGGAAAAACTTTTCTTCTAATTAACATCAAAAGGAGGATGACGAGAGTGACACCTATACGTCATTTCTATACATCCTACTATTTTAACTTCGCCAAGAATCACGATGAGTATTGTTCACCTGATCGAAATGACGATTCTAGAAGAAGACAAAAGTCACCAGCTAGTTTCTAAGAAGCTCGGTACTAAGCATAAAAATCCTTCCAAACAGCCATCTTACATGCCGCAAGAAAATGGCAAACGTGCTCGCGAACATACAGGACGCAGTAAAGATAATGACCCACCGATATGATGATGGAATCAGAGACTCAGCAGCAGACGAATCCTGTAGGGAGCTACTGTTGTAAACCATTAGACCGCCAATAGGGCCCGCAAGCACGTTGCCAACACCTTTGCCAAAGTTAAGTAGCCCAAAGACAATGGGGGCAGCGGTCACGTCATCCGTGATAGTCATGCTCATCCTCGCCCAGATAGCAGTGAAGCCAGCCGCAAAAAAGCCATACAGGATGGCGAAGCCAATCATGACAGGAAAAGAATCTGCCAGCCTCCACATGGTGACTGTCGTTACGGCGGCGACAAGTGTAGAGGTACCAGCAAGGGCATCGAGTGGTAGCTTACGGTCTGAAAGATAACCAAAAACGAACTGCCCTGCAACCTGGGATACGCTCATGATGGCGAGAAGCACGGGTCCGGACTTTTCACCCAGATTGAGAGACGTCGCGAATGAGGGGAGGTACAAGGAAGGGAAGAAGTACCCAAAGCCCTGGAATAAGTTGGATACAGAGTATAACCAGAAGAGAGGGCTTTTGAAGAAGGACCAGTTCGTCTTGGGCGTGTTGGCGTGGACGGAGGGTGGTAGGCGACCATCAAGAAATGGGATCAGAGGGCCCGTTAGAACAGCCAGGCCAACAGCAACAGCGCGGAGTGTTGTCTGATAGCCATAAGTCGACAAGAGAGCCTGCACAACAAACGGCATTACAGCGCCTGAAACACCAGACGCACCACAGAGTAACCCGTAAGCCATTCCACGACGAGCTATCCAGTACTCGTTGACCATCATGAGGATAGGGTAGTAAAGGATCAGAAACCCAAAACCGTAAGCGACACCTTGTGTGAGGATAAGAGTCTCGAGCGTGTTGGCAAAGGAGCCAGCTACAAGTCCACCGATACAAATAGGCCCTGTTTAGCGAAATGCATTAGTCAAAGAGCTATAACGTGGATGAAGACATACAGCCAACCCAGATCATCTGCCGTCGCCAACGTTGGTGTTTCTGGATAAAAGGCATGATGAACGGGGCTCCTATGTAGCCGAGGCCAGAGGCTACTGTGCCGACGACACCGATGTACGGACTGGTGGAAAAAGCTGGGATCCTCGAGTAGTAGTCCTGGAACACACCAAAGGACAAGGGAAACCCTAAACAATGTCAATTGCGGCTATTGTGTAAGGAAGAGCGATGTACCCCATAGCAGAGTCTCAAATACAAAGGCTGCGCAAAGAAGTCGCCATGCTGCGATTCCTCCATCTACAGGGGCTAGTTGAGACATCTCGTGCTCATTTTCAATAGGTATTTCCCTCTCAGGCGTTTGCATGGCATCTTCAGAGATTGTTACTCGCGATGATGATGCTGGCCAGGCACGGAGCTCGTGAGACTCGATTTGGCTGGATATTGCCAGGATCTCCGTGTTGCTCATTGCAATAGATGATCAAGAGACAGAATAGAGATGCGATGAGCCACAACCAACAATGTTAAAAAGCAGCGCATATGTAGGGTAGCGGAAGTGGGTCTAGATAGTTAGCCGAGGCTTATACAACCAATAAGATAAGCGCATGGCATTATGATCGCGGGGCTAAGGAACCGAGGTTTACACATCTTGATAGATGAAATGAGTCTATGAGATCAGCAACAGGAGTTTCCTTCAATACTGTGATAAGAACTAGTAGTTTTACGTGACTGATGGCCCTGTTTAATTAACAACTGGGAGAATCAACAGGATAGAGAGGGTGACAACCTGGGAACTTGAATTATTCCATGTCGAAAACTTGAAGAGATATGCAGTGCGAAATGAGTTGCAAAAAAACTTTTCATATGCAAGAAAGATTGTGATGACCTATATCATTGACATCAGGTTGCGGAGCCTTTGTTGTGTTGCATGCCCCTAGATTATCCTGGTAGACAGCCTAACCTCTCTTTGGTCGAGCATATTGAGACGATGAGTTGATAATAACAACTCGATCTCTCCAGGCAAATCGCCTGTCATGTGCAAACTCATTGTACCTACTCTCGCCATGTTGCGTTGCAAGTTGATCAGATCCAGGCTCATCGCGCTACTTGATGCGGAGGTAGGATCCCACCCTGTCAGATGTCAGCTTCATGGTCAAATGTATCATTTCAGGCTCCGCTTCTGCTGGAGGTGCTTTTGATTGTCCTTGGCCCGGAGAAATGTGGAATCTATAGCCCAGGGTAACTCAACCCGTTTCATCACTCCTTCCCAATGTAGCGAGTAATGAATGAGATGATATTTACGCGTAAGCAAGAATAGTTCAGCATGGAGCGTGAGCCAGATCGAGAGGCCCCTTTTATGTACCTAGCATAATATCTCTATAACTTTGCCTTCTGCAGGCCCCCTTCCCAACTCACCTCGTGTATGCTGCGGGGAGTCTTGTGAGTTATACCAATAAGATTCAAACAGCCTTCGCTTCTCTACCTTATATGACTAGCACAATATTTCTCCCTTCTCCTTGGTCCGTGGTATCTCGCTTCATACGGCCCGCCCGCCAATCTGGTCCAAAGCGAGTCAACGCAATGAAAAGGGCGACAATAATCAAGAGAAAGCCAGCACAGATGGCGTATGTCCAACCAGGCTGAACTGCATGGGTCAAAGGTTGGATAGCGGCAGTTATGACAGCACCCAAGCCGCAGCGTATCAAGTTATTGGCCGCACTTGCGGTAGCTGCGTCTTGCGGGAAGAGATCTACCATGAGAGCGTTCAGAGCTTGCGCCACGGCGGTAGTGGCGTAGCCAATGATAAAAAGGAACAGCATGGGCCCAGCTAGATGGGTAGGCTTGTTCAACGTCCATCCATACCCAGGAAGACCAGTAATAGTAGCGGCGATGTGTGGCCAGGTTACTTGTAAGCGGGTGTGCTCTACAGGCATATTTGGGTCCCGACGGGCGAACTTGAGTGGGATACTATGCTTAGCAGCTGTCTTTCGGTAGGCTCTGTCCATAAGCCGGCCTGTGATGATAGTACAGACAGCACTGCCAACACCAAAGGCCAGGAAGCAAAGGTGATGTTTGCACCTCAGAAAGACCATACAGACTTGTCATAAGCGGCGGAAGCCCAGTATTGACGCTAGCGATCAGTATGTTGATAACGCCATTGCCCGCAAGGACCACCAACCCCTCCTTATCCAGCACGACCTTCAAGATAGAGAACGGGTTAGAAAAGGACATAGGCTTCAGCTCCATAGAAACTTCCTGCTGGTGTTTGTTCCGCTGTGTGAAGAAGAAGTAGAACGGTTGACTGAAACGCGGCGGCGCACGTGATCCATTGCCAAAAAGCTTACGGTTGGTCTCGGGAAAGAAGAAGAGGAACAAAATCCCCAGCACGACGCATGCTATCGCCAAGAACCAAAATATGGAATGCCACCCCAAATACCGCGTCAAGATACCGCCTAGCACGGGTGCCAGAGCAGGACCAAGAACAGGAGCAACGGTAGCCCAGGCTCAGCCGGCTCAACAATATCTGCTATCACACCACTGGCGAGGGGAATGAGCCCGCCAGCCCCGGCACTCTGAACGCACCGCAGCGCAAGCAGTCCGGCATAAGTGTTCTGTAGTGCCAACGAAGTATTGGCGATAAGAAAAATCGAGAAACACACGATGTAAGAGAGACGGCGGCCACTGGAGTCTGAGAAATTGCCGACGAAGGTGGGGGCGATGCCTTGGAGGATCTGGATTTACATGAGCATGCGTGTCATGTGAGAGCCAATCATGTAGTCATCTAACCATGAATGTTGTTGCTGATAGGTTGACATCCGTGATAGATACGCCAAGATCGCTAGGTACGGTGGGTAGGGCAGGATAATACATGCTAGTGGCCATGGTGCCGAGGAGGGCAAAGAGCGACACAGATACTACCATCAGGCGCTTCGACCAGAGACCGTAGACGGGGAAGACTTCGTCCTGCATGGCCGACATACTGGTAAAAGCCTGAGCCACGTAAAGGAAGCGAAGCAACGAGGGGACGAAACATGTGTAGCAGGGTGAAGAAATTTCGCGAGTTCGGTACTTTATTAATTCCTGAGGCGAGAAAGAAAGGTTTAGTTTAGCAATGGGGGATCTGCAATTCCCGTGTAAGCAATGCCATATACCCATAACCTCATCAGATTCGGGGCGTTTTGTTGGTATAATTACCATTGGGCTAGCCTAATTTGGCAGCTCGCTTTACGGACAGTCACATCATATCATGAGCGCTTATCTGGCATTCGTATTTCACCATGGGCTTTGCCTAAGTAACGGAATGTCTTTCTCTACCAGCTCCCCGTTGTAAAACATAAAAGGTTCGGCAAGGCCAAGGACTTCATAAGAACAAAGACATGTCGTCTAAAACGGTCTGCCCCACGAATAACCTAAGATTAGCCACTGTTGCTTTAAAACATATCGACTTCAATACAGGGCTGTATGACTTAATGTTGCAGCGGCAATGGCTAGCATTATCGCCAGTTGTTGAGTCAGTATGTAGGCAATATTTATCGCGCAAAGTTCATCAGATAGAATTCATCGCGTAAGTTCATCACGTTGGCTTTATTCATATTCTTGACAATGCTTACAGCGATATGCATGAGCTCAAGCGTTTTCTTGAACTTCTTCATAGCTATGGGCTTACCTAAATGCAGGAGCAACAGCTGGTTACTTCCACTGTAATCCACATCCGATATGACAAACAGACCTCTGACATTGAGCAGGTGTATAGCAATCTGGCATACCCCAAAGGACCGTTTTCTTTTTCAAGGAAATCCCATCTACAACAAGAGCCTCACCTCCTGGAATGACTGCCAGCGGTAACACATTACTCACCTCCCTTCAGGTCAGGGCATGCATTTAGTGATAAACCCTCTTATCACCAACTCTATTGCACCTCTTCATTATGGTCAATCACCTATCGGTCACTTGGGGATTCGCACTGTCTTGTAACCTTTATGCGACATGGAAGACCTCGCTCGTCGTCATCCTCTAGAGATGTCTTTGTCCATTTTCCGGCTTCCCGTTGTGTAGCTGCAGGTTTCTTTGCGGTGAAAAGTCGAGGAAGCCAAGACCAAACTCATAGGCTTTTCTCCGTCTTGTTATGAGTGTAAGGATGCACGTACTTCCTGAAGGGAAGGTCTGGATCTTGCAGAGCCTTTGGGGTATCGGTCGCTTTACCATCCTAGACTTCCGCCACGCAAGCACTCAAGCCGTCGACATCGAGACGCGCAGGGCTAGGCGGCATCTCATCTGGGTCGAAAGCAGGGCCAATAATCTCGCGTAATACCTTCTGATCTGACAGAAAAGCATTTGGCATGAGAGTGAAGGTCTCTTGAAGGGTTGTGCGGAGTTCGCCGGGATCAGAAATAGAGAAAATGCTTGTGATATCGACGCAGATGTATATTTGTAGTTACAGATACTCCATGATCTTTGTCTGATTCACTTTCGGGAGTTTGTCGCAGCGTGGGCCACGCTGGAGTACCTTCTTGAAAGAACTCATGATGAACGTGCTGGGTTATGTTTCATGTGGAGAGTGAATGTTTAATCAAAGGAGTCGTTGGGTAAAGGTTGGAGTTTTGGACCTGTTGTGATGATAGACGGTAGATGTAAATGAAGAAAGGTGAGATTGTTTTATACTGAAACCCTATAGGTAATTAATGAAAAGATCACCATGGTTATAGCCTGTATAGAAGAAGCAGCTTAAACTCAGATAAAGGTGTTCAGTCTTGCTGTTCGGCGATAAAAGAATGAAGTCCAATGCGGACATGACTCCCTGTTCACTGTATTGATCCAGCTCCGGAATTCCTTTTTCCAAACACCCAAGGTTCCTCGGTCTAGGCTGCCCAACGGTGAAGACTGAGCGTCTTTGCTATGACTGTCGGCGCAACTGGTTTAGATCGTGTTTTATTCTCTGTTACTTGATCTTCTGTCTTGTAACTACTACTGGCCTGTTTAGGTGAGTTGAAGGGGTGGAACAAGATGCGCTTATTGAACAACCGGGGAAGTCTAGAAGGGAAGTGGATCAGCTTCTTTGAAACTGTCATCTCCGTAAATTAGCGCTTTGTACGCCAGTCCTGACTTGGGGACCGAGCATCTTGGTAGCTGACGACGCTGGTCTTGCTTCTCTTGGTTTGTTGTGTTGTGAGTAATAGTGGACTTTATTGCTCGTCCTGCTTGTTCTTGCCTTGGCGACTGTACCTTCTACGTGACAACGTGAATAACTTAGCTCAGGAGAATCTTTTGACTCTTGTAGAACATGTCCAGCTTCTGATCTTTTCCAGCGGCGTAAATCCTCATGATGATCACGTCGCCGAGGTCGCGGGGACCATCACAGGCAGTACGGTGTGCATATTCTTCGCAAAACGTTGCCATTGGAGTTCGTATTGAGAGTACCCTGGACATGCATCATCCGTTGAAGTCGCTGTTTATAACTACCAAGTCTCTTAACAAGCACCCACAAGAACTGTTCACTCCTCTCATGAGCTCGGGGTAAAGCAATGCGTCGACGTGATGCTTAGGCGATATCGTGAAGCAGGTGCGGGCATGAAAGGATGGCATGCATGGGGTACCATGATCCTACGATGGGCTTGGGTCTGGGGCAGTTTGATCGAACTAGATGGTTCACGATGGGAAGGGCATTGTATTGGCAGGTGTTTCTCAATCATGCAAAGTGCAATAGTCAACAAGCAGCTTGTCCCTGGACTTTGATGATCCAAGAGATAAATAAGAAGGCTGGTTATCCTTTGACACCTTCATACCTCTGTCCCACACATCGTCGGCCGGTGTACAATTCGTGTACCAGTCCGTATCGCAATGCAAAGACAACCCGTGCGTCTAGGGCTCTCAAATTTGACCGTTGAACATAGACATGTCTTGATCAGCCGATCGAGCAGAGCGATTGGCGCCAACAGGAGTTCGTTCTTGAAGCAGGGTCGGATGATGAGCGAGAGGGCGGGCATTGGTCGCCAGTTACGTTTGTGGATCGGAAACGCTTTCTATCGCAGTATTGTGATCTATCTTCATGCTTGCTCAAAGTGAACGGAGGGGTAATGGCATGGCTGAGACTGGCTGTCGTGGAAAGATTGACTGGAAGGGGCGCGGAGGTCTACTCGAGTTGGCATCGACGTGTGCCTATGCGAAGCTGGAGCGAGTGGAGAGAGCTACTCAGGCATCTAGTGTGCAGGTTACATCGTTTTATCTGTTTGACAACAGTTGTAGACAGACAAGAGGGTATAGGAGGCTTCTCTAAATGCGCGGTCATGTTTCGACCAAGCCAAGTAGTCCATCGCGCATATTGAAAGGGCGCATCGAAAGGTTTGGGTTGCCTGTCGCATGCGTAGAACTAGGGAAACCACCTCCAGCGAATTTAGGTCAGTCAGTGAATAAAAGTAGACATGCTTGTTTGCAAACAGAGTCGACAACTTGGCCTGACACGCGTGTAGTAGCAGCTGTGGGCGCAGGAAGGTCGCTGTCTTGACGTCGCTGCGACAAGCGCTTTCTGATGAATGTCTTCCTGGATGTATAATGATGGAATCGACACATCATGTGCTTCGAAATGCGTTCTGTGCTTGATGGGAGAAGTAGGCGGCGATGAACAAGGGCGGGGTTGAGTGTATTCCATGACATCGCAACCGAGGCGCTTTGGAATGTTGGAGACGCGCCATGGCGCGCTAACTCGTCGCTTTAACCTCACACGAGCAATTCTCCACCAATTTACACTCTCACATTATTCCCGAAACGTCGATAAATCAGGTTCTGCCACGGAAGTCTATTCCGGATCACCTGAGTTACTTCTCTCGCCTAGAATGGTCCTGACATCATTGGCTCAGGCTCTAACGAGAACGGCATTCATCAACACTCCGCCGGTACCTTCCACCCTCCCACTGCCAGCCCTCCCGCCTCTGAGCAAATTTGCAGTCGTTGGAGACAACAACGCCGTCATTTGCCCCCTGCTTCTCAACGACCGTCGCGTAGACCACAAGATTCTCAGGGCTTCTAACACGCTGAGAAAACAAAAGGGTGTGTGGGACCCAGTTAGGACGGTTTCAGCCAGGGCGTGAGAAAACTTGGCACAAACGCCACAGCGAGCAAGCCTTTTGGTTGTTTGTCCAATCACACAGGTTTACCAACGAGTCAAGAAGCCAAGAGCAGGTACACATGTCGGTAGGACGAAAGGCGGTCACCATGAGTCATTAGCCGTTGTTGATATTGTTACAGCAATGCATTTGCGCCGGCGAGGGTGACTGTATTTCACAAGAAAAGTTTCGACGCGGCATCATGTATGAAACACTTATATGGGCGCGTCAAGTAGTATGATCTCGTTGAGCCGGGCCCGAAGGCCGGTGTACATGTGGTGCACGCGAGGAACAAAAGGCGCCAGCCACTGAAAGCAACCTTGTAGAGCTTTGGTGAACGTTGACCCGCTTGTCAGCCCACTCCCAGCTCGTCGCTCATCAGCCCTCTCTACAACCAGGTCGCTCTCCATCTATTCACAAAACTCGAGGGCAGACACATTCATTGAAACCTTTTGTCGTACACAAAGGGTGGTGTCGCGACATGACGCCCTCTCAAATTATTCGACCACCGACCGCTACGTCCCCTCTCCGGGGGGTTGAAAGCTGACGGGAAGGTGACAGCATTCGCCCGAAATTAACCATTGTCAGACGAATCGCCTTATGAACCTGAATTACCTGATCACAGACTTCCAGGACAAGGATCCTGCCGCTGTGTCAAACATGTTCATCGATGAAGCCATGGACAGAACAAGCTTAGGGCAGAGAACCAACGCCCGCTTCACGTGGGTCTCGCGATGGGGAGCGACAGGCTAATAACCCCATATGGTCGGCCTCCAATAGTCCTAGAGCTTGGGCCTGGTAAACAATGCAGTGCGCGAGCAAGACCGCGCGTACCACTTGAATCACTATCATCGCAGGGGTGCGCGTGCAGATGCCATCTGGTCGGGCAAAACGCGTATCTAGTCATCAAAACATCGCAGCTTGGAGCATCTTTCCCCTTTACAATGGATCAATCACATTTCTGCTCCTCGTCGTGTCGGTCCCCTGGTCTCAGGCACGTTATGTGCCTCGTACCGCATGTCTATCGTTCAATGACCTCTAGCAGACAAGGTCTACTGTTTGCCTTACACAGCAGTATTCTTTGTTCCCTTAACGACTGAGATCATAGCGCATGGCCTTTGGCACGCTATCTTCGGCATTGGTGAATGTTCTGGGCTTGTTTCTAACCGAGTCTTAGATGAGTTTCCACAGCCTAATCTCAGAGATCGACAGAGATCTCGGAGGTGAGGGGGCCTGCAAGTTAGGCAAGCCTTCCTTGTGCTGTTTGCTCAGGGGTCCACTGTAAAACTGCCCTGTTCCATGTTCGTCCGCCGACACAATCACCGTTTTGCTGGACTAACCCATTGACCAGTCTTCCCACTGTAATCAATGCAATGGCTGGTAGTTAGCATGTCCAAAAAGCGAAGGGAAGTTCACAAACAGAGGATATCCGATATACAGTCAGAGCACATAATGAAGCATTCTAGTTCTTCAGCACCCATCTATCTTATCGGCTGATATTCCCTACACATCGAAGGACTTACTAATGGCTGGTGCACCTAAGATAGCGGCCAAGAAGGGCAAGCTGAGAGAAGATAACGTTGTCTTCGCTTGGAGATTGCTGGCCGGCGGATCCTGTCAGATCAGTGACACAGCTAAGCCAACAGACGGGCGGGCGCTAACAACCGCCCGAAAACTCTCCCCTTACCCATCTCCGAGCCATGCGACAACTGCTCACCCCCTCCATTTCCCAATGGATTAGTAACAAGCCACATAGGCGGAAAGAAGCAATTCGTGGCCCTCCACAGCCTTGCACACGTCTTTGTCCGAGAAACCGAACCAATGAGACCCCCTGACATCCCATCACGTAATTATCCAGGTCCGGGCAAGTAGTGGCGGTCTGCAGAAGCGTGTCTCTAAACCACGATGGCCAAAAGACCGGTGCCTTTGTTGCAGAACACGGTCTCCCCTCCAAGGTTTCTCTATTCAGCTTTCATATTTATGCCGATTTGCACCTATTCCCGCGACGGAGTGTTGCTAATCTTAATAGGCATTCTTACTGTCCAAGTTTATGAAGCCTTTCTCATATCTTGTATCTGCACCAGGTGGTCATGATAGGATAAGCCGAAGTTCTAAATTACGCTACAGACCATTGCGGAGGCCCCACCAACAATAATTTGTTGTTCTACTTTCCAGGGGCATTTATTCAACCTGCGCATCACATCCGACAGTCAATCACACAGGCATAAATATTTACATAAACAACTATTACAAAGCATTAAGAAGTAAATAGCAAGAGTATCCCATCCACCTCATTACCAACAGGTCCAAAAAGGCACCCGTCAAGATCGCCTGGAAGGCTTTCTGCTTGTGGACTTCGTAATCCGGCTGATGTTCGGATGTCTTCTTGTAAGTCTGCAGAATTTGGCCCTCAATGCACTAGCAGTTGTTCGTTCCCACCTTTTGATGTATTCGGCGGTGATCGGTTTCCATTCCATGCCTCCCAGTCTACAATCTAGAAGGAATCTATCTTTAGGGGACAGACGATCCAACGCTTGTGTTTCGGTAGTAGAGACCTCTGCAACGTTGGCCTTAGAATGCTCTGCAATGTATTGCGGAGTGATGGTCTCGTGATATTGGTCTGATGCTTGTTGGAGCGGACTTTGATTGACTTGCTGAGGTAAAGAATCGCGTTGCTGATCGGATAATCCATAATCCGTTGAAGGGTAGATTCCAGTGACGTTTTGTGGCCATTCCCTATGAGAGAAGCTGTCTGTTTGAGAGGGGGTATTGATGATTGGGCAGGATGTGAAAACGACGCCGTAAGCCGCCGAGGACTGGTAGATATAATAACATCCAAAGGGCATAGGTATAAATGGCCAAGAGAATACAGCCGGAGGTGATGTGTGTGGGATTGTTGGAACTGTCCAATTGTTGGCCTCTGCATTATGATACGGCTGGCACATTGACGGCTGAGTGTCCAAGGTGAGCCCACTATCAAAAGAGAGAGGAGGATCAGTATCAAAGCTAGGATTACTAGATTCCATGGCCCAAGGGTGCTGAGAATGTGTTGGAAAGTTGTTGTAAGATGGAAGGATGGTGAAGGACGCTGAAGAAATGAGGAGAGAGGATGAGATTTTATACGTTTGAACAGCACACAGTTTGACCCGAGCATCTACTCAAGCCACCTTTACTAGCATTCTGCAACACTGATGATTTATGTCATTTTCTTTGCTTTTTTTTTCTTTTGTTTACAACCCCACAACATGTCAGGGTTTCAAAGTATAGTAGAAGCCTGCATGGCGGATACAACTCATCTCAGTCACTGCATCCACGACCCATCGGCCAAACGTCTCAGTATGACACCCTCAAACAAAGTTAGGTGTGCCTGTCTCACCGTTCAGACCCTGGTCCCAGGAGCCGGGACGAGGACGGCAGCCCTCATGCATAATTCTGTCCAATCGGATCACCATCCACAAAACAGGGGTTTATATTCAACAAAAGTATTAGGAGTGATATATTAATATTTCATAACTATCGGTTCGTGAGAGGAAACAACTGTATTGAGATACAGTAGGGCCTACCCAGCCCCTCATAGTGTAGGTAATATTCATAAGTGCATAAGCTAGCCTTCAAGGCCTAACTTTGCGTTTACCCCTGGGTGAGCCACACGCCCACCTTGACCAGTAAATGGAACAACCTTAAGACTACACTCAGTAACAAAATCCGCCCCCAACACGGAACTATCGCGCGAAGAGAGAAGTAAGTCATTGTTTTTGTACATAAACGTGCCCCGCCAGCAGATGTCCAGGACTATCTTAATAAAAAGCACAATAGTCTTACATACTATTTATATTATAATATTTCTTACAAGCCAAAAGAAGTAAACGCAAAATGGACAATGTTAATATATATATAACTATAGAAATGGATCCCTATAAAAGATGACGCAGAATATGAATACGAATTTGTTTTTATCTAGCTTACCAGGTGAGGGTTCCTTCCCTATAAATTAAGAGATAAGACCCTAAAACTTTATCGCTGCAATAAATGTTTATAGGTCCCTCTCCACATGGCGCCATAGCATTCGAACACAATGTATTTCTTGCTCTGGTCTAAACCGCGAAGGTAACTTATGTTTATCTCTGCTATTTTATTCTATGAAAAAGCATTTCAATAGCAGTAAAGGACGATATAGCAGGTCTTGTATCCTTTTTATAGCATATGAAATACGACCTTAAAGAGTTACGCCCCTGCGTATTTGAGTCCAGGGCTCTGAAAGCTGGGGTAGCTGGCGTCTGAGCGCAAAGGTCGCTTTGCCTACCACAGGACTTACGGCAACCAATACATCACTTAGAGACCATCTAGCGATACTAGTTCATAAAGTGTTCCTTACATTGTCAGTAAATAAGATAAATAAATACATTCCTCATACTTTGATCAGAGAATTTGGACGGGTAAATTGTATGCATATACTCTGGTGTATCGCGGTCTAAGCGACGGAGAGGCGGGAAGCCCTGATGATCGACACAGGTGAGAACCCCGTCTTCGCAATTACGACCAGTCGTGCCGACGCTCGTGCGAGTGGGAAACGGAACAAGACAATCAGGAGGTGCCAACGACGGTGCTATTATAGTGTCTCGCACGTCGAAAAGCTCCGAGTTACAATGTTTAGTCATGGTTGATGAACCTCAAGAAGGATCCTATCCATCATCTATAGATTTATCTGAAAGTGCAGTGGGGCTTGAGGCATGTCACTGTGGTCAACCAGTCCTACAACAGTAAATCGATGCAAACTTGGAAGACTGGGACATGCAGTTTCTTGAAAGTGAACTACTCCTATCAAACCCAGAACCGAGTGGTACGAAGCAAGATTCCCACTGTGGCTCCTGCAGTCTTGCTTGAGACGAGTTTATGGTGCTTTGCAACCGCCCAATGCGTTTGAAGACCATTTACCAACATTCAAGTGAGTTCCCAAACTGAACCTTGCCTTAATGCAGGCCATTATAGGTTTAATAGGATAATGATGTAATAGGCCATATCTATTATTAATATATAAGGCTACGTGAAACGCAGCATTCCTATATATGCGCTGCATTATGGCTATTGGCAGTTAGGCTGTCCTCTGGTTCTTAAGAGGATTAAATGGCCTAGAGTAAACGTCAGAGGCAGGAGGTTTGAGGTCTGAAATATAAGGTCAAAAGGCGACTTAAAAAACACTAATGGATAGACCAGGGGTAAAACTGAGCCATCTTGCCTGGATGTCAGCGACTCGATTAACAATGAAGGCGTTGTCTCTGTAGTTTCTCTGCACATTCATGAAATGACTGGATTTCTTATAATGTTAGACGCACCTCTCTTAGAAGGGCTGAGGTGCAGGGGCATGCGATAAACGAATCTCGATATAAAAATAGTATCTGTCCTTCAATACCCGTCGTATTGGTTCTACCTCTTCAGGTAGAATTTATTCTCTCCTTCGTACTCTATTTAAACCCTTCCTTAAGTATGCCCGCCGATAGCTTCTTCCGAACATGGCTGTGAACGAATGGATTCTTTTCTAGTTCCCCAGGTGTCTAAACTATCCTCTCCTACGTCAGTACTCTTACCTCTAAAACGTATAAAGCCCAAAACAAAAGTAAAATGTGTTCTATTGCCAGACGACGTCCCCCAACACAGGACAGGATTACTTCCTACCACGTAACTATACCCAATGCCCGGATAAGAATACGTTCTATGCACACTCTGAACTGTAGCCTAAATTTCTGTCCATTGCCTGTTTGTCCATATACATGTGAATGCTGAATGCTCCTGTCTATGGTTCGGGGATTGAACTATCTCACTCTGCGTTAAAGTAGGTAATATGTCGCTCCTCGTTTCCTTAACACCTTCTATTCGTTTCATATGGGTCCAGTTTATCATCCGAGCCCTTAAGTGGGAATGACGAGCCTTGCTTGCTCTAGATGATCCGAGCAGGGTGGAAGAGTTTAAAGGCGACAGAAACCATGACCATGGGTACAGCGTCGAAAGTTTAAATATAGAACTCCTTGGCTATTAGCTCTCCCTCCTTCCCTCTAGTATATTTCGCAACTCGGAAGATCGATCGCAGCATGATGAGAAGGCACGTGCCGTAAAGAACTATAAAAAGTCTTTTCCGCGGTGAAGTCATTTTGGAGTTCTTGGTGGTCGGCCGGCGATGAATGCGGTAGTGGAAGATCACAGTAGCGACCAGAAATAAGCTTAAAAAGATAATTTGGACTCCGGGACCAATGAGGACGATCATCTTTGCCTGGTCCAAGGCCTCTTTCGTGTCTGCACTAGAGAGCATTCCACCATCTATGTCATAGGTTAGCCACCTTGCTCCCCCTGTTCACCTTAGCTAAAAGACAGTAATAGGACTTACCAGCTGCTTGAGCGAGAATGGACAGGGCATTGCCGATAAGGAAGAACTTCGTGAACCATTTGAGCTTAATGATGGAATACTGTTCCGCATTCAAGGCAGCAATGAGTCTTCCGAACACCATATAAATTGAGACGGCGTGGAAAGGCGGCCCGATAAGCAGTAGGAGGTTCTGCATGATAAACGGGTCAAGTGACCAGTAATTTATCTCTTCAGTCGCACTTATCGCTCTTCCAGTATATCCTCCTACCTTAACTGCCGAGAATTAATTATTAACGATGGCCTAGAAATGCTAAATATAATGGGGACGAGGAATGAAACTCACGAATATAACCGATAAGAAATGGGATGAAGTACCATGATCCTAAGCGCCAAACTTGCTATATATGGTAACCGGAAGACGTTAAGAAGAGCAGTGTGACGACCAGGGCTGCCTCTAAAGAGGGATCGTAAGAATAATAGCTGGTCTATTCTTTGCCTGCCTTGTTAGACACTTTTGCGGCATAGGTCAAGCTTCTTTAATGCAGGGTCACGATTTATTAAGTTTAGATAGTAATGCACGTGTTGAGTGGTTAGTGTGACGATAGATATTAGGGAGTCTTTTCGGAATGTTAAGTAGTTTAAATTGGTTCTTTGCCGTCAGAAATTTGGCAGCATTAGGTCTGGTAGATATTTACATCTTCATTTCAAGCCAGACTGGTTAGCAAGATGGAAAATTAGTCCTTGTTCTGCTTGGCATAGGCCCTACGTAGCCCATCAAGGGATCATGGCCCCTCTACGACGACGACAACGAATCCGAAAGCGAATTTTTATATACTTTAGACTACCTCCTAGTAGGTATTATTACAGAAATAGCCGAGCTACATCAATTGAGCGCTTGCGGTTCATAGATTCGATTTATGAAACCTCAAGTTTCTGAATTTGCCTTCGTGATCATCACAACAGCCCCATATCTTCTCGTTATGGGGTCGGTTCTCGGGCAATTTGGCGATAGGCAGCAGGAATCCCAGAATCTATATGACAAATCTGAACAGCTGCGCGCCAGGACTTCAGTGGCAAGGTACATAGTCCATTATAAGCCTTTTGCTTGCTAGTAGTTGATGCCTAATCTTGATAATTTGTTGCATGTCCTATTCTGTGTAGTTGATAAGTGCAGAAAGTAATAAATACCATGCTTGTCGCATTCCAAGCCTAGATGGGCACTTTCACCAGCGCCGCCATTATCCCAGCCTTTGGCACCATTGCCGAAGATCTCGACGTCAGTTTTTCGACAACAACATAATTAACTTGGCTGCAAATCATGACCCTTGACATCCCGCCGTTCTTCTAGCTACCTTTATCGCAACGCTTCGGCCGTCATCCGATATTTTTATTGTCCCTGATATGTAGCTTGGCTGGCAACATTGATTGTGCCAAGAGCACAAGCTACAAATAAATGGCCGGGAATTGTGCAGTGTTGTCACAATCGAGATTGCCCAGTTGTTTATCCCAAAGTTTCGTTTTGGTGAGCAAGGACTTGGCATGCAATGCCTCGCACTTATCATTGGAGGCGTGATTGGCGAGCAGCTGGGAAGCAACTTTTTTAATGCTGGATGAAGCTTGCGACAAAACGCCATGAAGTCGACCGACCAGTTAACGAGTTTCTATTATGGCTGAACTATCCTGGCTTCACTTTGACGATCTGTGGCACGGTGATATTCTTGGTAATGACGGGGGGCTGCCAACTTACAATATTAGTCTGATTGTAGGGGCGGGACTTGCAGCTACTGGCAATCAAGTTGTCACGGCGGTTCTGATAACCTACGCAGTGGATTGTTACCCCGATGATTCAGCAAGCATTGGCATGTCTGTTACCTTTCTCAGGCAGGCGTAAGGCTCCGTTGGCCCTTTTTGTTTTGTTGGTCTTACGCGTTACAAACACAATCATGGTACTACAGGCACCGGGGAAATTCAGGCACGGAAAGCCGAGATGGTGAATTTGAGCATTGCTTAATTCTATGGTTTCGAGAGTATAAAGGCGATGCGATTTCTCATTGCAAGTCGATGGTCGCATCAGTATCGAACTACCATTCGTTACAAATCATATCAAAACCACAAACCACAATCGTATTCTCTTAAACTGATCCTGCAAAATGCGGGTCTCGCTTTTCAAAGCGGCCATGGTCTTAGCTGCTGCTGCATCTGCTGTCATGGCGCAGACTCCATCAGACTTTCAACCTTCAACGAAGAACAATCCTCAAGTAAAATTCGGAAGCCTTTTCTCATGAATAGAAGTCACATCATGGTACAGTGAACTAACAGAACCCTCCATCATTTGGTCTCAGTGATGGCCCCGCTGTTGCTCTCAAGTCTCTAAAAGCACCTATATACATCGCTTTCATGATGGACATCAGGGTATACTCAGAACAGGAGCATCTCGGGCAACTATCATTCAGTAGGTCAGACCATACCTTTGGTCCGAGAATAGCCCGCTTAAATCAACGAACAATGCTGGTCTGGTACCATAATTCTAACTACTAACAGACATGATAACAAGTAAATTTATCCTTTATACTTTAATCTAACCCTCTTTTCCTATCATCAATCTTATTATCTATTGAAATTCTAAACAGCTACAATATCCGCATCGTCTATGTAAGCGTTGACAAGCGGACTCCAATCCGACTCTCCAGTGTCATAGAAGTAAGTGCACCACAACTTGAACTCGAAAACAGGATTAGCTCGGGCTGCGGTAAAGCTACTCGAGATACGGTGGAAGCTCCTGTCGCCATTAATCCAGGAGGCCGCGTATGTTTGGCCAACACCGTCGATGTAGAATCCATAGGTGCATTGGTCTCCGCCGACGGTGAACCAGTCTAGAAACCAGTACAAAGAAACTTCGTATTCCTGCCCAGGCACTAGGTTGCCCAGCTGTGCAGAGAGCCAGGACGCAGAGGCCTCCCCGGTCTCAGTAACGGCCACCACGCTGGTGTTGACTTGTCAGTAATCTCCACAGGTCATCATATCCCAAAATGACTCACGCAGAACCGGGATTTGTACGGTAGTTTACGTCAGGAAGAAAAGCAGCCCCCGGGCCTGCTGTCCAGCCAGCGCCCCCGTTATCGAAACCGGCGTTGAGAAAGTAGAGCGTCTCCACAGGGGCAGCAGATGTCGTAATGGTCGCACTGATCTCGGTTGCTGCTGATGATGTCTCTTTAGCGGCAGTAGTTGTCGTGGCTGTGATGATCGCTGTCAACAAGGCATCGGTGAAAGAGCTTGCCACCGAAGACGTGATTTGGCTGCTTGTATCGGTCTCAGTACTGGTTGAAAGTGTCTCAGCCGAGCTGATCAAAGCTGGATTGCTGGAATGTGGCTTGCAGACACTGGCATCGACGCCTGCCAAGGCGAAGATTGCACAGGCAGCGATGGCTGTGCGGAGAGACATGGTTGCGAAGGCCGTAGATGATTGGGATCGCAGCACGGAGAATGACAGCGACAAATTTGGGTAAATTTCTCTGGCGTCTAGACCTCTTAAAAGCATTCTAGCAGGAGAGCATTTCCCCTTGACGCCCAATTCGTGATACCGGTAATTTAACGGCCAGGGGTATTTTGGGGCGTGGCTTGGACTATTGTTTCAAAACCTCGTCTGATTGGCACTACACGCCAGCCGCACCCACCGATAGATCAATAGTGCACGTTCTGGACTCAAAATATAGCAAGAAGACAGCTAGCATTTGTCCGTAGCGTGATTAAATCAAATAGCCAAACTTTCACAGCCCTGACGATTTCGTCACATATATGCCACAGTTTTTACGGAGTACAGAGTAATTAATTGCTTGAACAACCTCACGGTTAGACTCATTGAGGCATACTGTTGGCCGGCCACCATAGGTATTTTTCACTTTTTAATATTATATTTTAAGGTTTTTATATAAAGTAAAATAGCTAAAACTCTTTAAAAGATCTTATTTAAAAAAGTTAATTATATTATTATAAAACACTTTTTTTTAAAAAATTTCTAGCTAATTTATTTAAGTTTTACAAGTACTATAAGGTAGGTTACTTTTTATTATATAATATATTATTATATATATTTATTATATAAGCTATTAAGTATATTAAATTAAGTTATTTAAGTTCTTTATTAATATCTTTTTATTTATAAAGTATTAAAGTTTTTATTTTAACTTTAATTATAAAAAGTTATTTATATATTTATATTCTACTTAGGGAAGTATGTTAATTCAAAGCCTGAATAAACATATTGCAGTTCCGCCTTATAGACCTCTCTAGAGCCAAGCATTAACTATTCGGCACGTGGCCCGCACATTTGATCTCTCGAAACTAGCCGGGTTTTGCTGCTTTTATGCCAATTGGTGTTGATTATACTCAAACCGGTCGTCCAGCCCGCCACAAAATCATCCCATGTCTCAGCGAACCCAGCCAGCCACTGAACACTGAACAACCGGCTTGCTGATGTACCGGCTCGCCTCATAGGTCCCCGTTTCACCAATTTCGGGCTTCTAATTCGATTAAATAGGTATCAGAACTCGATATTCGCACTTGACTACTCCGTGGTTTTAGCTTCCTACGGAAAAGGCATCCACACGGCGAAGCTGAGTATCTAAGTCTATATTGTGGACAACCTTTTCATTCCGTTCAGCCAGCCAAGGATCTATGTTGTCTCAGGCGATCGGGATCTAGAACTCCGCCCGATAGATAATCGTACTATGTTTCATGCAACAGCTCAGCCAGCCACATGTTCATACTAGTTCTGGCCATCGAGAGCTCAATATTCCGACTGAAAGGCCTTTTATATATATAAGGACAATAAGTTACAACTGTTTAATATGTAGACCTGGCATCCGCAGTACTAATGAATTTACATTCAAACTATTTCATTTTGAGCTTTTGTATTTGACCCTTTTGAGAAATCCTCACGCTGCCTGCAATCAAGTGATCGAGAACATCATGGACTACGATAGCTACATCCAGCAGCTGACGACGGACTTCGTTCCACAAGAGCGTGCCGAACAGCTTATCGCACAGGCCGTCTGCACTTACATGAACGAACTTGCCGACAATGCCAGCAATATGTACCAACAGAGAGTAAAGCAGCGATGCCAGGACCAGGCTCAGGCCTACGTCTCCATTAACCAGACAGGAGAGGGGTTGCCCCTCGAGTTGTTCACTAAGAACATCAAGGCCAATAAACTTGATGCACCTAAGTGGAACGCGACTATCCAGGATTACCTCGTCACACGAACTCCTGCGGGTATTCCTAAGCCGAACCCAAATCATGAGCAGGAAATTTTGAACTGTCTGAGTCTTGTCGACCAAGAGATGGATGCCGCTTTTCCTCCAGCCCATCTTCATGGCGATAAGATACCCGACAACCAGCTCTTCGCTGTGGTCATACCAATCGGTTACTACATTGGGATGATGGCCGCTACAGCAGTTCTCACGGGTGCAGGTTTATTAATCGGCCTTAAGTTACGGCAAGACGAAGAAGTTGGCGTAATGCCTCGAATTCCCTTCAGTGGTGACACTTGGGGACGGCCAGGAGGCGGCACAATTGTAACTAACCCTGGGCCAGGTACAGGTAATCCCGGACAAGGCCCGTCTCCTCCACCTCCTTTGGTTGCCCCAGACCCGCTTCTGGAGCAGCTTAGGAAGAGACGGAGGCGTGATAAGAAAAGGGGACGACAGGGAGACAAAGGCAAGCGCCGTAAAGATCACAAGGACTACTACTTCGGCTATGTTGATCGAGTCGAGCCGGCTGGAACAGGTTATGAGATCCGCGTGGAGGCAATCGCCGACAACTCACTGTCAGATGAAGTCTTTATACGTGAGCTGGAGAAGCTTGCCGTCGCAGCTGGGAACCCAGGGTTTGGCCGCTACCGTCTTGCACTTATCTCCATCTATGTCCACAAGGTTCCACCAGCTGTCGAGGTTGGGAAGTGGATCAATTTCAAGGTTGAAACAAAGAACAAGACGCCTGCTTTGGCAGACAGCCCTGATGTTTCCGGGCCTTTTACGGATGGAGTCAGTCGTCTGGAGACCCTGGAACCTAGATTCAGCTTCTTGAATCTGAGGATTGAGTGCTATTTTGCTAATAATGAAGGCTTTGTTGTCCAGACAGACGTCGCGTCAATCACAAAGGATATAACAGCCAGCACCATGGCCACCTTGCAGGCTGCCTTCAATTCGTTCAACTTTGTTACGAAGGCCATCACAGATTTGTTCGACCTGTTCATGAATTCAGATCCAGAGGAGGAGGAGAAAGACGAAGAACTATCCAACGACGGGACCCAACCAGTACAACCAGGCTCAATTCGGGATCTCTTTGCAGATAGCTTTCTATCCATACGGCTGAAGAAGGCCCGCCCACCCCCTCGCAAACCCAAAGTAGTTAAGCAGAAAGGTGCAGACATGGACCAAATCAAGAAGACGCTTTTTCATTCAAAAGCACAAGCAACAAAATATAATGTCTACGATGTAGGACAAGGTACCTCACCCTTCCATTGTCATAGTCAGCGGAATGCTAATTGAAATGACTCAAAACAGGCCACAGTGGAAGAGTGTTTAGCGACAACGCCGAGATGTTCGCCAGTGACTTTGGATATGGAAGGGTCGGTGACCGCCAAGACGCTGTGTGCTCGCACATGATAAAAGGCCAAGTAAATCTACCAATCCTGCTTTCTCACTGGGATGCAGACCACTTTCGCATCGCAAAGAGTTCTGTTGCGAAAAGGTATTCGGGCTCTCTTCACGATGTCACTTATCGCAACTGGGTCGCCCCCGGCGGTAGCCATATGCAAGGCACCGTCACACACGAGCTGGCCTGGACCATTGAGCAACACAAGAAGCTTTTGCAATGGCCAGACACTGAGCGCCTTCAGGTCGGCAATGTCACTATCGTCAGTTGCAAACGCAATGCCCGCTATCAGCTGCCAGACAAGAATAATTATGGTGCTCTTGCCCTGATTTTAGGCCACGGGGACGAGTTTCTCGTATATCCTGGCGACGCAAACTACGAGTCAATCCCAGGCATATCCTCCTTGAATCACAAAGTCAGTGCCATTATTGCAACACATCACGGCAGTACAGTCGCGCTCCAGGAGAAAGGAGGTTCGGTTGGTGCGAGCATCCCCCAAGCAGCCCCCAACCACTCTTATGCAATCTTTTCCTCTGCGAAAGGCAATACGTACGGCCACGACATCAAGACTGCATCCCAGTATTACCTCAAAGCGGGTTATCAGTTATGCGACGCCACAGCGACCTTCATGTTAGGCGAGGATACCTTTGAAATTACAAACTTCGGTCAGAGTTTGTTGGCAGATAATTCATTGTGGACTAGGCCGGAACATCTACCAACCGCGGCAACAGGTCGAGAGGTTCTGCCAGGCATACACGCGACAAGGATGCCTCAGCCTGCGTCAGATACGGCGAATACAGCCCAGAAGGAGCCTCCGATGCCTCGTAGTGACGAAATCGTTCCACAATTTCCAGTCCTATTAACTCTCAGAGGCTCAGGAAAGGGCACGCCAAAGCCAGACCAGGACGATCTCCTCCCATATGCCATCCGAGACGAGGATGGCGATATCGTCGTCTACGATATCAAGGCATCCAAGATCATTCTGGAAAATCTCCCGCTTTTCATCCCCTGTACTACCGATTATCCCGTCGTAGTTCAGCTCAGCTGTCACGACATTGAGTTTCGTGACGTCGGGCCAAACGCCCGAGTTGTGCCGCTGGTGCGCTTCAATGTCGCTAACGGTTTTGAATGGGCTCGAGGAGCCGATGCGGGCCAGGACGGACTGTCGGGTAATCCAGGATTTGCGGGGGGTCGTGTACGTCTCGCCGTCGCTGGTGAATGGAAAACTTCTTCCTCTGCCATGTCCGGTTTCAGCATACAGTACTGCGGCGGTTGGGGCAGTAGCGGACAGGCAGGTGGAAGTGGACTACTGGGGACAAATGGAGTAAACGATGGCACTATGTTTGTCGACCCCTCAGGCAAAATAACTTATACCAAGGGCGAGCCGCAAGCGGGCGGTAATGGCGGCAATGGTGGTAGGGGGGGCGATGCTGGGGGACCTGGAACCATTGCAAGCTCCGAGGTCTTGGCTATCAATAGTCAATGGCCAGTTGGTTGGAAGGTGGCCATTGATACTGGTACTCCAGGGACTGGTAGCGAGTTCGGCAAAACTGGAAACGCTGGGAAAGGTATGTCGAATCCTTCAACTTTAACATCGAATCTGACTTACGGTGCTATTCCTTGACGGTAAACAGGCGGACTTGGTGGTCCTGGCGGTACAGGTAGCAAGTACACCTTGGCATATCCCAATAAGTATGGAAGGTTGACAAGCGCAAATCTCGAACAGCTTTCGGAGCCTGATGGCTCTAGTGGGCGAAATGGCGATGATGGCAAGAAATTTGACGGATCCGCGGCTCAGTTCAGGAGCGCAATGGTGAGATTGAGGATGATTGCAACGGAAGACGAGATCCTTGATCAGATGGCGGCTGTGGACTGGAGATTCTATTCCAATTAGTAGTATGAGTCGGTGAAACATTAATTGATGTGTTTTAAGTATTATCACCGATCACAGATTATTAAGTAAGAAGAGTCAAGATGAATTCACAATATTGCTCTAGCCTACGAAGTTGGTCTATATGGAAAGGACCTGTGTAATGGTCGAAATAGCACTCAGGAAGTACGTGGTCTACAAGCTTTACCTGGCAATTGCCTTGTTCCTCTATACCAATATGTTTCAAGTTTAAATAAGCTTAAAGCTATGTAAGAAATAAAATAAGAGTCTCGGGCTTGCCGACGCTTTTTGAATGGTAATGAGGAAGCCAGCCACCAAGCTAATTGCGTTTTCCCGTACACATCGGAAGACAACTCAAGACTTGGCAAAAGATGTTTAGCCATCGCGATCGCAATGGGTGACTATGCCGCCATTCAAGCCTCAGATTCTTCGTCATCGCGACAAGCGACGAAGGACGTATTGTGATTGGTTTGATCTGCATCGAGCCTCTATGGCCTGACTGGTTCGTCTCTCCGGGGTCTTGGACCGGGTAGTGTTTCTTGTTGTTATACCTGTAGTTGGAATATGGTTGTGATACCCAGGTACGGACGGGGCCGACTTAGGGCTGTTTTATAGAGAAGAGAAGAGGAGCGGGGATGATAGCTTGCCTGATCACGCTTCCTTGAGGCAGTAGCAGAGGTAAAAGCATTGGAAGAGGCTGAACAGCATTCTTAGTCCAATGTCGAGTATTGTTCATATACTACGAAATGGACCAGACTGGGCCAAAACTGTGCTGCCTTTTCTAACTTATAATATGTCTCTTAAAACCCTGGATTCCATTGTCTCAGCCTGCTTCGGCACTTGTACATGGCTCTTGGATTAATTCTGTTACAGATGGAGTTATGTCACTGCAAGGGTCTCTTTATTCATCTACTATTGCCTCGACGCTTAGCAAGCGAGCATAGTATTTCCCTCTGCTGTCCGACCTTGTAACTCACAATAGTCGCTGACGTGTCGAGTGACTTTCCCAATAACAATGATCTCCAACTTGTTTATTATTAAACGTAACAGACATAAGCTATGGTACCTAGGCTGCAAATTCGTGGAAGGTCCTCGGCTTGGTAGGGCGTGCATCTAACTCGACCAGTACACTATCGGGGACAGATTCGGAGAACCACCCTAACCCAGGACACCAAAACTCGGCCAATTAATGGTCAATTTACTGAATCGCAGATACAAGTGAATGCGCTAAATCTTCCGACCACTTTGGTACTTCTTTCGTCACTGTGCGACAGGTTAATCAAATTCGGTTTCAAGTCTTGCTTGTCAGATACATGGAGAAATCCCCTGTTGAGATGGGATACCTTCGTAGTAATATAAATCTGCGAAATGTTGCTCAATTGAGCATTCTTTCATTTCACACCTATGTTAGGTTAGTATTGTTACTATCAGATACCTAGTTGAGATGTAGATAAGTTCAGTATTACTTTAACTATTCAAGGCTGCTGGGTGAAGCAGTAGATGGGACTAAGACGAATAGCTACACCTCCACTAACTATAATAAATCTATGCCCGTTGTGAATGCAATAGAATTGCTGATTCCTGCTGTCTTTCTTGATGTTTTGTCTTAGAGCCGTTGCAAGCTTCGAGAGTAGATGGAGAGGTGCATTGAAAGTCGTGCTGGGGCTAGACATGGTGATGCGCTTGTTGCAAGTAGTAGCACTCTGTATTACGTACCACAACGGTCTTGTGGGCTTCCACACTTGGTCTGTTGGTGGTCAAATGATTGACAGATTGACTACAGTTGTCGGAGAGGTCTTGGTTACTGATCAGCATGCTAGGATTATTTCGCGCGTGGTTCAAGGTGTTGGTTGATGTTGCTGACAACGCAGGACCGTTGTAAATATTCAGTAGGCGAGCAACATCCGTGCCAGGCTTTCCTTTGCTTCTATATAGGTTCTGAACAAACCTCGTCAAGTACATACGACCATAGGTAGTGGAAAATACGGGATCCCGTCTGCTCTCCCATAGTCAAGCCACTAACCGGCGGATTAGTAGTTGGGTCGGTGACGACCAGCGAATCCCCGCTGTTGTATGTTTTTGGCGACTTTCTTTTTACTACTAGCCACTGTAGATCGAGCCAATGGTCTTATATGCTTTTGACGACCTCGATCAACGTGTAATCCATCATTATTGCCATACTAAATCAATGAAACCGACAGTGTGTTTGGCATGGCTAGTTATCCCTTATCCTCGCCTTGCAGATTGCAAATACATCTGCCCGTCAGAAAGGGCATAATTTGGCTATTGCAGTTCCACTTTGGGGGAGTGGGAGTCTTCCGCCAGATGCTGGGTGCAATGAATAGGGACTCTTTACCACTCCCCAGCTAAGTCAAACTTAGGAATGTCCAGATAAGAGGCTCTATTGCAGCTCATGGCGTGGAGCAATCATAAGTAAATCCCGGGACTTTGAATAAAGGGTTGACTCAGCTTTCTCCAGTCTTTTGCGCACCGCTTTTCGCATCCTCGCTCACCTTCCTCTTTGCTCTTCCCACTCGAGGACCCCATGGCCATGTCCGCAACGCCTTTGGGCTCCAACTCAAGTGGGGGGATCTCATCAGCATCAGGGAAGTAAACAGGCCGAGAGAACCACTGTCCAACTGGCTCCTTTGCGCGTTTAAAAAGAGCTGTCTTAGGGTCGAGAGGTCCCTGTTACGTAAGGCGGCGAGATACTCGTCAACAGTTAGGTTCGTGCATTGGAAGCGAGGTTTTCCTGGGAGAGGGGCTGATCCCTTTGCAGAATGTCTTGGTCTTGCAACGCGCGATGGAGGGTGACCTTGTCCATCATGCTCGGTGATGATGTTGTGAGATGGAAGTCGGTGTGACTTCATGGAGATGGTGTAGGTTGTGAAAGGGAAGCTGAGGATAATGGATAGAACTTTGGCGATTAAATTAGTGACGGGCGGTTTGCAGTGAGTTGATGTTTGATACCAATATGTTTGTGCTCAGCGTGTTTGAGCTGTTTGGTGCATGCCTGTTTGCAATCTGCATCTACTTGCCCTAGAATCTAATTGCTCCATACCAAGAGGGCCAAACACAATCTGCATTCCGACGCTGCATGTTCTGTCCGTTGAGATTATCAACAACTCGCCAAGCTGGTACTGTTAACAGCCCTTTGTCATAGTTTGTCGCAGGATAGGATCCATCGTCAAGGGACGTGATAGCAACGGGTGAACACTAGGAAGGATAAGTCTTTCAACGATAGGATGCTGGTAAACAGTAAGACAAGCAAGAGCTCAAATAAGTATAGTTTTGAGGCAGAGAGGTGTCAAGTTGGTGCATTCATCATCGTTACTTGCCGCAAAGAAAGTGGACTGATGGCGACAAGCCTCAGCATTATCAGTCAAGCAACCAAGGACGATTTTTTTGTCTGGGAAGAACCATAGATATAGGAATCTGATGTGTTGTGCGTTTTTTTGCTTCCAAGGCCGTCTTCGAGCACGCTTGGTGACGATATCATGCTTAGCCTTATTCTTCAGCGTGCCGGATTTTCAGGGCCCCCGGTGTTCCCGGAATCATGGATATGATAGGTAGGATATGTTTGGATATAAATAGGTATTAGGAAATGAGATCCCCCTGAGCCACTATTATATCCTGATCAGGTTTGTGAGCTAATCACGCAAAGGCGTTAAGCACGTAACTATTGAATTCTGGTTGGGCAATAGCATCTCCACTTCGTTTATATCCGATAATCCATGCTTCGATCTCGTATATCCCAGGGTCAATCGTCGGATTCTATTTAACGAGTTTCAGAATTAACTAGGGCAGTATAAGGAAACATTCCTTTTTGCATCTTATATGGATAAAACTTCCGGTAGGCAAGGATACCCACCACAGGCGAATAATTTTCCACCCTTTGTAATTTTACCATTACCTCAATCCAATAGTCTGAACTCTGAAACATGACACCGAGACCATGGGACAATACAGCGCTAGAGGACTTTCATCAAACCCTGGGGACCGGTACTGATGGGAAATAGGCATATAAGTAAGCGTCATTCTATGATTTTTAAGCTTAGAATGTTAATCTAATTCCAGCTCACATTCATTCGTTCATCCACTCTGCTTAGGCCAGAGTCTTTTTTCCATTCATTTTTGTACATTCTTATCCAATCTCTATTCAAGTCATTCATTCACTTATTCAACAACCGTAAATATGCGCGTCTCTACTATCTCCGCCATCTTCAGCGGCCTTGCCGTCTCCGCTACCGCCCAGTCCGATCTCGACGGTTCTGTCTGGAAGGCTCTTCTCGCCGAGCCCCAGAGCAAGCGCGGCTTCTCCGACATGCCCCGCAACCGTCCCGTCAAGCGCCAGTCGGGCTGGAACCCGCCCGCGGACTTGAAAGCTCCCCTCCAGGAGGTCTGGGAGCACTATGAGAAAACCTACGACGGTGGCCTCGATGCCAACGTCAACACTGGCTTCCACCAGATCATGGCTAACAAGGGGTACCTTAACATCTGTGTCCGATGGGATTCTAGTGCCACCATCACCGAGGCCCAGCGAACTAAGATCGCCAGTGCCTATAACGCTCAGTACCAAAAGTGGTTCAAGTGGCTCTACGGCTACAACGGCTTCCCTTATGACGAGGTCAAGGTCAACGTTGTTGCTTATGCCGTCAAGGACAAGAGCCAGCTTCAGGGCTCTACTGCTGGTTACGAGGTCTACACTGAGCTCGACGCTGACGGTGTCCCTATGTGCCCTGTTGCTTGTGCTCGTGATGCTCATCTTGATGGCGACTATAGTGGCTGCAAGGCTGGTGCTGACCGCCACTACGACCACTCTCTCTGGTTGAAGGATGGTCTTGAGGGTGGTTTTGGTCATAACTGGGGTCAGGAGGTTGGTCGTGAGTACTTCATGAACAACCTTGACTCTGACAACATCCACATTCTCTTGCACGAGATGGTAAGTATACAAGGACTTAATTTTATCGATAAGGCTGACAGATTATATAGGGCCATACCTTTGCTCTCGATGATTGTACGTAACCCCTCTCTCACATTAAAAGATCTTTGCTGACAGTTTCTAGTTTATGGTACCTTCCATCCCCTACCAACTTCCACGGCGTTATGAGAAATACTAACTTAAATAGACTGGACCCCCACCGGTGTCACCAAGTTCATCATGCTGGCCGGTGCCTCCATGGAAATCACCGACTTCGACGGCTGGATGTACCGCAACTGGTGGTACTACCTCTCCCAAAAGAACAACTGGAGTTCCAGCAAATCCAGCAGTGATGCTGCACCTGTCTCATCCGAGTCCAAGCCTACCGTCAACACTGCTGCACCCGTCAAAGCTCCAACCAAGACTGCCAGCCCCAAGCCCAGCACCACCACCACCAAGGCCACCGTCACTAAGCCTACCTCTACCAAGAAGGCCACAGCTACCAAGGCTCCCATGGCTCCTTCTACCGAAAACAGCTCTGTTGCCGAGGTTGCTGCTTGGGGTCAGTGTGGCGGTAACAACTGGACTGGTGCCACCAAGTGTGCTTCTGGTACCAAGTGCACCAAGCACAACGATTACTACTCTCAGTGTGTTGCCAACTAATGCTTATGCAGCTGATGGCTCGCTGTTGACATGTGGGCTCGGCCAAGGCGTTGGTGAGGTCGTGACCACAGTTCCCGAATGCAGTCACTGCGACGCTGATCAGTACACACGTCCAAGGAGTGGATACGTAGGCATAGAGAAGGATATACTAATCTCTGAAGATTGAAACTCTATTTTGTTGTTGCTTTGGGAAAGTTTGTAATTGCTCTCTGAGCCGGTAGAGTATAATCTACCCACAAATCTCTTCACCATGACAAATATAGGTGGTCAATTTGTATGAGTTTTTTAAATATCTCCATTATCCATGCTACTTAACCCATTCTTTCACTTTATAACAACGCGGTTTCCTGAACGACTAATGTAGTCAGCCTTTACCTCAGCAATCCCAACTCGATAGTATTCTCGGCCAGGTACTTTATCTCCCCTGGATAAGCCATCCATGACCAATGAGGAACTTGATCCTGGCTACCGTAGATGATGCGAGACGTCGATGGGTCGCTTCGGTACCAGAGCAAAAGGCGATGGAGCCCAAACTTTAACACTCCGTAAGGCCCTGGGTCCCTAAAGCTCTTCTGCATGAGTGTCAGGATCCTGCTGATGGCCTTCTTCCTGTCCGTTAGAACAGTAATGCCTTGTCGTAATATCCCGCACAGACAAATTGCAGAAAGTCGGTGGCCTTGCTACGCCTGCTCGGTGAAGTCTCATAGGAAAAGCTGGATCTTGAGCAAAATAGTCTCTTCCTGGCGTGCATTCCAAGCTCGTCCAGTCATTGCACCTCACGAATCCGCCGCACTCCCAGTAGATCTTTTGATGAAAGAATTCGCTCTTGGAAGGCCCATTCCCTGCTATTGAGATGGCTTTCATTGACAGATGTCTCAAACTCGGTTACACTGTCTTGTTCATCACCCTGCCTATCCAAGGCAGGGTTAGCTCTCGAGTTGAGAAACCCTTGGTGTGAGTTCAGGGCGGACTTTGCCGCAATTATGTAGTGCACTAGCATAGACCTTTTTTATGAATCCTACTTTGGTATCCTAATCCTCGATGCTGTCTTAGATAATGCAGATCAAGTTAATCCAGAGCTTTTATTTCTAAACCATTAGGTTATTTAAATGGTATCTTGAAATGTTTATTTGTTTTAAGTTGATAAACCTGGCAGTTGAAGTTTGCATTACGCGCCTTACTCGTTGAAACCTTTATGGCAGCTTGGTGATGCTGAAGCTGGATAGTATTTGTTTACTCCGAGTTATCATAAACCCAAAGTATCCAACTATATTCTATAAATATCGTAATGCCAGGAAGTTAGCACTGCAGCTTATCACTAATCGCGCGGTGAGCCCTTATGGTCTCAGATGGGTTAGTTATATTGGTGTAAATCTCTCTGAGTCAGACACTTTGCAGTCATGGGCTGCTAGTTTCTCTTATACAAAGCATAGCATTCAATATCCGACCTGAGCTTTCACATTGAGGTATAATATCCACCGTGCCTTAGAGCAGCAGTATAACCAGCCTGCTCACACTGAGTTACTACTTGTCCTTCATGCACTGGTATATTATTATAGGTTAGATATTAAAGTCACAATAAAGCACTGGAGCTTTTAGTAGCTACATATCTCACCTTTAGTAAAAGATACTATATACTAGTTAAAGTGAAACCTCACACTCTTACAAAGAGAAAAAGAACTCCTTCACGTCAGCAGTCCAATCATCAGGCTTAGTCCAGGCTGGGTAGTGACCTCCGCCAGCGTGTTTCTTATAGTAAACAAGGTTAACCAACGGCTCCAACCAAGACTTGGGCTAGAAAAGAGTTAGCAAGTCGTAGAGTGGCCGTGAACTGGAGGATCTTACCGTCAAAGGAAACTTTCGAAGGCCGGGGAATCGACCATTTTCATTCCCCCAAGTCGTAACAGCCGTGGGAACATTGGATATCTTGGTTGTCGGTATCGCGGCCTATAAATCGAGTTAGTTTAAGACCCGACACGGCACAGCTAAAGGTAACTTACTTCTCCGATCGAATAAGATCGAATGCTACCATAGGTATCCTGAATCCAAGTCACGAAACCATCCGTCACAACCTCCTCCTGCGTAGGCTCAACGCCGTCACTACTACCCTCCTTAAGGTCCCACAACCAAGCAGCAGTACCAACAGGGCTATCCGACAAGATGCCAGCCAGAAGCCCAGGCTTTTGGGACTGCACACTGGCGTAGGCGAAGTGCTTGGTTGAAAATTCGTTCAAGCCAGCCAAGTATTCATTCTCTTCCTGGGTGGTCTTGCCTTGCTCTGCACGAGCGAGAATCTCTGGTGTAGGTTGCGCCAGGAAGAAGTCGGTGAAGTGGCCGATGATGTTCTCGCCTACATACTCTGTCATGGCCGAGCCATAAATCCAGCCGAGATCGGTGCTGACAACGCCGTATTTCTTGTAACCAAGCTGTTGCATGAGGACGTCAAAAGCAATAGCCTGCTCCTTGGCACCGAGGCCTGGCTTAATTGGTGCAGGACTAAAGCCGTAACCCGGAAGATCGATCGCAATGACATGGAAGTTCTTTGACAGCTTCGGGAAGACCTTTCTCCACTCCAGGTGCGTGGAGCTCCATCCATGCAGCAGCAACAGAGGGGTTGCCTTGCTGTTCCTGGATCTTTCGTGAACGAAGTGGATAGGAATTGGGGCAGAATAGTTGCCGTTTCCAGGAACAGTAGTAGCATAATGCTTGTAGTCCTTGTTGATTGACTTTTCTACCTCCCTCCAGTTGTATTTGTTGCCCCAGTATTCAGCAAGGTCCTTCACGGCATCCTTGGGGGGGCCTTCGTTGGTCCAATCTGAAAAGAAGCTGTTGGCTGGACGATACTCGCGGACTTTGCGGAGGGTAAAGTCGAGGAAGTCTTGGTTGACCTTGATGTCGAATCGTTGGGGGGAGTTGGTCTTGGGGAAGTGGAAGTTGAGATCTGTTGTGGTCAGTTACGCAATGACTTTGTTATAGGACACTGAGGGTATGGCATACCTTTGGCCTGGGCAGACCAAGCAAGAAGCAATAAAAGGCCTTGTTTTAACATTGTATGTAAGCAAACCAAAGGATACATAAAATCTTAGAGAGTGAAAATAGTTATGATATAATACTTTCTTTCAGAATATAAATACCCTTGAGGATATTTATACTTAGCTATAGGAAAATAAGTTAAGCTTAAGATGGTAATGGAATAACTCTAATATGACATCTCTGATACTAAGATTGGTAAACTTGTATTTCTAAGCAGTGGATAAATCTTGGAGTTATGGTTACTTGCTGAGTCTAAAAGGCAAGCGTTTAGCTTAAAATGGAAGTTCTAGGTCTTGGCATTGAGGATCCTAAAAACACAGCCAGCATTAATAAGACAGAAAAGGAAAGGGGGATCCATGTTGCCATACAGTGCCCTTGCGATGGACGGAGGTTCTGTGCTTCCGTGTTTCGTTGAGGGGATTAGTCAGGTGTCGGCGGGGCGAGCCTCGGAGGGTAAGATGCCGAAGTTGGGTAAACACAGCGTCAGGCTGTCCTAACGAATGTGAGAGGATACCAAGCTCCACAAATGGAGAGTGGAAACTTGGTGGGAATCCGTGACGAGCAGGATATGGCGTTAAGGTAGACATGTTGAAAGAATCAGAGCAGGAAGTTTTATTATTATCAATGCGTTTTTGAAAGACAGAGTAGTAACAGTCAGTGCTCAAGCTAATGAAATCAATTACTGTTGCATTCAATCACACGATCATTTTTTAGTCAGTGGCGCAACGAGTTACAATACATAGAGGATAAAAGTACCAGAGGAGGGGACAGGGGGGTACGAGGCTAAGCCCACGTACAATCGCGCACAACCATGCCAGGGACAAAATAATACTCAATTACAATATGCAATCCACGTAAGCAATACATAATATTCACGACGCGTGAGGTTAGCGCTTACTGTATTAAATTTAGTTGAGATGGTTTGTGGTAATAACCCAAGAGAGGGTTAATTACCACACAAGGCTGGTCGACGCTTCCAGGATATGCATCTTGTGCAAGTACGTGATTCAGGTTGTTAAAATAGTTTCAAATAGCAGCTACTAACGGTCTAGGTTGAAGAACGAAGCGCTAGGTTACTCAACATATAACACTCATAATCGAGACTGTGGCCGCGCCAACTCAAGAGCACTACTTGACTGGTCTGACACCAGACGATTTTCCTTCCTCTTCATCTGGACCATCTTATGAATAGCGCCAGCAGCGTAAATAGCAGAAACAAGAATGCCGACCACACTGTACGCAGCAATCAAGCCCGCAGATGTACCGGATAATTGCAATCCGATACCACCATTGACGATACCGACAATCATGATACCTCTACCATACCAAATATGCCCGTAACTGATTGTGGTTCGTCGCTGGTACTTCACGTAATTCTTGTGATGCATCCATCCCAAGACAGGCTGTACAATCATCAAGACGCACACTATCGTCCCGAGGACAACGTGAGGTTCATGAAACCACTATAGAATGTTAGTTACTGTTGACATATGATGCATATCACTTACATCTCCGTCACGATCAGCAGCGACTTTCCCAATCCCAAAGCCAATCCACATCCCTACAAAGGCGATGATCTGCCACGAGGCATGGATGAGCCATTTCCCGAGCAAAGGCATGAGGACAGAGCCGATTGGGAACCCGACGAGGAAGACGACTGCCATAATAACACCATGTGCTGAACCAGTATGATCTTCGCCTCCACCGCCACCAGAGACAGAATTATCGCTTGGCGTAGTGTTGGATGAGTTGAGGAAAGGGTTGGATGTGCCGCTGACTATAGCTTTGGAAAGATCAACAGAGAAACTATCCGTTCCATCATGCTCAGCAAAGTCACTACTTGCATCGCTTGTATCCAGAGCACTACCCTTCTTCCATGCGCTAATCCAATCAGCAGTCCCTTGAATACCCGCATCTTTCCAGTAGATGTTAGCAACCATTGTATTATTCGACACGCCGCTTCCCTCAACAAGCTTGATACCGCTCATGGCCTGATATATCGGCATATCATGGCCATGTCCCTTTCGTGTACTCAAGGTGACATTTCCCGAGCCGTCTTGGTAGATAACGAGCATTGTCGAGCCGCTCATGCCGGAGCCGGTGCCGAGCGCGACCCATTGGTAGGTGGCAGGGGCTTCGAGGCGAATGTAGAGGGAAGAGGTTGAGGATGGAAGGGCCCAGCTGTAGCAGACTTTGCCTGATGATGCATCGCAGTAGGACGCTGGGGAAGCATGTACGATGGTGGCAACTGAAGACAGTAATTGTAAGTCTCCGTTCGTCACTGAAGGGGTAAATACTCACGGAATGCCAAGATAAAGGTGAATACAATGTCTAGAGAACGATTCATCTTGAACGTAGATAACGACAGACAAATTCAACAAAAACGACAAATCAAAACGGGATAGAATTGCTTGGCATCGTGGCATACCATTTCTCTGGGCTAATTTTCTCCTTATACCCCAAGCCACTCCCTTGAACCGAGGATAAACATACTCTCACTGTGAAACCCCATTCCAAGCCACAAAAGCCAAGCCTACGTAACCCTCCCAGTGCGTTGGTTCCCCAGCCACCCAATCAGAGCGCTCGCAATTTGGATGACCAGCTTCTAGACCCAGCCTAAATTAAGCATTCACCGATCTGCCACGGAAGATTGTGGTCTGTGCCTGCCAAGAGATCTCTTTTTCTTGGCGCGGAGGCGGGAGTTATCCTGTTTTGAGATTGGTGACTTACGTGGCCGGGAACAATACGAGTTTGATTTGTTGACTGAATGATGATGACTGAGTAAGCCATGCGTTTCAGAGTCTGTATAGCGCACTCTAAATCAAGACAGCGAGAGGACGTTTGGTGCTTAGATTGTCGGCAATAATTGCCTTGCAATTAAGTCTAAAGGCAAGTCTAATTGACAATTCTCTAGACAGTAAGCAAAATAAATTTTATTCACAACGGTCGCTGATTTGATCCATTGCTTTAAGACCATCGCGCAGTAAAGTAGTTACCTGTAATTTAGAATAGCTAAAGATATCGTTGTTGCCTTCGTTGGTAGTGCCAAGTATCTTTCTTTGTCCTCCAGTCTCTTAATGCCGAATGCGCAGGTCATTCTCACAGAAGGGCGATCTGACGGTGCACGTCACGTCCACGATTTAATTGGCTGCGCCAGCAATGGTCTAGACTTTCATTTCATCCCTTGAGGCTTGGGCTGCGCCACCTTGCGTGTCCATCAGATCATCGATTGTTCTATTTATTCTAAGCCTGATAATTCTTTAAAGCTTATATATAACACAATAACAAAAGGAGGGCTCCTGGTTATAGTGCTGGAAAGAATAATACTATGATTTAATTTAAATATGATTTCTTTTTTATAAATGTTGCTGGAAAATAGAATTAGCAATAGAGGATGTAAACGAGAGAGTCGGGAAGATATTATAAAAATTCATAATTCTGCATTATAAAACTATTCCTTCAGTTTTCTTATTTGTTTCAATAAGGTCCTAGCTCCTTCTTATATACATATCGCGGTCAGAGGTCAAGTCAAGGCAAGATAGCTTAGCTAACAGTAGTACTCTCTCCCTTAATGTTACCCCATCTATGCCGTCAATGGTTCACTCGGTTCCCCTGGAAGTCCCTCCCACCATATGCAAGTAGCAGCTGCTGAATTACTCCCAGTGCCGATTCATTTCCATCTCTTGCAAAAGAAGCTGCCAAGGACACACAGTAACCGCTTCCGCAGATACGAAGAGGCGACATGCCGTGGAATCTTTCGAACGCGGCAATTAGGCTGTTTGGTGGCCAAGCGCTGCCCAGCGGATCGCCAATAGAATTTGGATCAGCCCCGAAATGCAGTAGTAATCGAACCCCTTGCAAGTTTCGGGCCGCAACAGCTATTTGCAGCGGCGTGAGGGGATATCCTGGGAGATTGGGTTGAGCTCCAGCTTTCAATAGATGTTGCAGTAGGCGGAAGGAAGTGCCTTTATATATGTGTTGGAGCTCAACATCTGAGGAACAATGACCTATAAAATAGAGAAGTGCCATAGACGGATTGTAAAGCCCAGTGTGGTTGACCAGTAAGCTCTGAAGAGCCCTCGAATCTTGACCCACAAAATGAACCATCATTTCAACTAGTGGTCCATCAAACTCATATGTTTCGACAATCAGGTGCCCCTCTCCGCTCCTGTTATGAGTATAGATGAACCCAGCCTTGCTTAGTACTATCCTGTTGGTAAATATTGCCTTTAGATCTGCCTCCTGAATGAGTCTGGTTAACAGAGGTGATTCCATATTGTTAGTTATAAGAAACAGGCTCAGAAACAAAGATGCGTCCATATCTGTTAGACATTCGTTCCAGTCAATGGTCCAGACAAGCTTTTCGGCGGAAAGTCCCATGTTGTTAGGTAGACCAACCCATCTGTCTACCCCTTCATAAAAGCCAAGTTTTCCAAGGCACCTTAAGTACTGTGTAGAGGGACATAGAAGCTTCTTGACCCGCCCATAAAAGTCATCGCTCTGGGATATTTCTTGTCCCCATGTCCTGAGCGAATTTATTACATGAAAAAGGGAATGAAATTTTAGGTTCTTCCAAAGATCTTGCTTTTCAGGTCGCAGAGAGTCGTCCGCCTCGAGAGTTTTGAGATGTGAGGCGAATGTTTGTGCTTGAAGCAATACAACATCCAAACATGTGGACAGAACCTTGGCCCGTTCAGTGGAAAAAACGAAGAGCGGGCCTTGACGTATTCGAGTTGAGTCCAGATACTCCTTGACCGTGTAGTGCGCAAAGGATATAGAGTCATTCAGACTGCTAACAAGACATCCACAAAGCTCCCGTAACCTTTCTGAGCTGTAAAGGACATGATTGTTGTGATTACCGGTCCGCGAGGTACTGCATTCGATTGCATCCAACAGAAGAACAGATGGAGTACCATTGCTGGGAGGGTCGAGTTCGCCATAAAACCAAAGCCATCGGAAAGCATGAGAAACAAATTGCCAATCCTCATGTGGTATCCGAAGGAATATTCGGTCATAAGTCTCATCTAGATCTTTAGGAAGTCTTTCCAGGGCCTTGCTGACGACATCACGATCGCCCTTCAAGCGTTGCAGCTCATGTAGTTGACAAACAGCCCACCGAAACCTATATCCTGTTAACAGGGTAATAGTCTCAGTCTGATCAAATACTTACATTCCCTTTGCCTGAGTACTAACAGCGTCTTCAACCTCAATGAGAAGATCGTCAGGCCAGCTTTGAAACTTGGTGTTTGATCGTAGGATTGACTGGATATTAAGGCGAATATCCTGTTCGACCAGTTTATTTGACATTGGGACGGAGACAGACACTTTCTCCATTACTCGCTCTATATCGATGTACTCGCGGCTCGTGACAAGGATTTGAAGATTAGGGAACCTTCGATCAGTGATGAGAGCCTGAATAACATCAAGTAGGTCGTCACGCGGGTTGCTCTCGTCGACAGCGTCGATCACAACGTACACACAGTTAAAGACCTGGAGGATCTGTTCTAGCGCGTCGAGTAGTTCGGAAATACTCGGTTCCCCACCACGTCCGAAGAGATCGTGCATTAGAGTAGAAACAACTTCTGCCCGACGGGAGAGCTGAGTGATGATCCATCTAAGAAACGGCGCTGCCTCGTCTTGATGATGGCCAAAGTAACAGTAATAGTAAGCACTCGTACAAGGCGAACTCACTGTTGACACCCTCTTGCAATGATCTAGGACGTTTTGGATCAACCATGATGCGAGGATGGTCTTTCCAGAACCTGGAATACCGTGGACCCAAAGGCATCGAATACTTGAAGCCAGCCAGTCAGTCCAGTACTGTGAGCGAAGCATCCAACTTCCAGTTCCATGTTCGTATAATTAGCGCGATCGATTATGAATTGGTGAGGGATCAGTCGATGCTAGCCAGTTGTATACTCTGTGGCGCTGCTCCTCTGTGAAATGTCAAAATACCGCCGAGGCAACACCAGGGATGTTGGTTTAAGATTCCTACCCGTCAAAATGGAGCGAATCTCTTCAGAAACAGCTTTGATGTCTTTTATATCTTTCCTAAATTGGACAGCTCGTTAGCAAGAGAACGATCTTTCTCTTTCTGTGTGACCCGGTTTGAATGAATGTATAACTAGAACTCAGAACATACGTAGCCTCTGTCGTCAGAACGAGCTGAATGTCATCTTTATGGCGGCTGATCTGCTGGAGAAGATCCTGTACCTGGCCCTGCTTCAGAGGCCATGCTAATGTTGCAAATGCTGCTTGGACTTTCTGCCGTTTTGAAGCATTTTGCCCGTTCTGAAGAGCTTGTTTCGGAAACAGCTTCTCTAGCGCTGTCATCGCGACTCTGGATCCTTCAATAGGGCCGTCAGAAGCCGCCAGTCGATTCTGTAAGGCGGGTGTGAAGGTTCCGCATTTCGATATAAATTCCAAGCCCTCAAGAACTGACTTGAGTGTGGACACTTCGATTAGAACGGCGCGTAAGCTGGTAGGTGCATCGGAGCGCAGCGCTTCAATGTAAAATTTGCAGAGGCTGATTACTTCTTTGGAGATCTGAATGACTGCAATTGCGCTCGCGGCTACACCTAGTGCTTCGGCCATTATTTAGGCTTGCTTGGTATGAGGGGGAAGATTTGTTGGTACGTGAGCAGTGGCGGCGGTCAATGGGATCGCGCTGGATCAAAATAGCTTGATGCTAGCTGTGGTAGCTGATCATGGAAGGAAGAGATACCAGCCTCTGAGGGTTGTTTGACAGAGAAAACACAAAGCGTCTTGGATTTGTTATTTCCCCCGCAGTGGCTATGCAAGGCGTTATCTGTCGGCTGTCATATCTAGAAATAGGTGGCGTTTTCAACCTGTTGGCAGTGCATAATGGTGTATTTTCGCCCAGTGACAAGCCTTGTTGAAAAGCAATGACCACCAGCCACTTCAAATCTCACCGCCTGAAAAATGCCTTGGCCACTATGCTCATCGATGTTACGTTATTGGAAAAGAACATCTAATACTTTTAAAGGCAAACCAGTTAGTTCTTGTTTTTACCATTCTACATAAACATAAATTGCAACTCAGCCAGGGTCTAATATATCAAGGTAAAAAAGACTCACGCTGGTTCTAGAACCATTATCTCTATGAGCAAATTTAATCTCTCGCTATTGGTGATTAAAAACGGTTCACGTCCAGAAAATCAAATCTGGTAACGGGCCAGCTGCAATCACAAACTGGATTTCAAGGCTCCTACAAAGAGATTGAAAAAGTTAAATAGGTAATAAGTGCTCAGTCTTACAGAACTTGCAATACAATTCGAGTAGTGACTCGGGCGTTGTTACTCTGTCTTGCATGGGGCTGTGTTTAGGGTAGTGAGCATGGCAGAAACTCGTCGCCGGCAATGAGATTTCTCTCGCCTTGCAAAACGTGAGTGGCATGATAACATCTGCTGATCCTCCTAGACTGGCCAACTGGCCCTGCCACTCTGAAAAGAACACCCTTTTTAATTGAGCGATCTGGGAACATACCGGAGATCGACAGTTACTTAAGAATTGAACATGGGTAGGCAATAATTAGCAGTACATGAGTAGGGGAAACGGTAAATCGCATATGTAGTGATGCCCAACCAAATATTCCTTGCTTACCACGTTCGAAAATCAGGCTGAAATCAGGCTCAAATTATTTCTCATGCTTAATGCCCTCCTTAAGAGAGCACTAATTCTAATTCTGGTCTCTAACAATAAAATATTGGTAATATCAAATTCCTATTGATCGATTTTGTAGATATTGCTAACAATTAGCCGAATATCACAGAATTTCCCTCCTTGTCTTCGCCAAGATGGAGGACGAGTTATCTATTTCAGAGGATTACGACAATTATGCTGACCGCCAGCAGACTTTGCTCTGGAAAGCTGTCGAAGCTGGACAAGAGGATACAGCTCGGTCTCTATTACGCCACGACTTTATTCGAATAAATGAGACAGACTATGAAGGCCGCACACTTTTGTTACTAGCCGTGGGTCTCGGACATACTAATATTGTTGAATGTCTTCTCGACAGACATGATATCGATGTAAACCTCCAAGATGGTAATGGTAACCTTCCACTCAATGAAGCAGCTGGTAATGGACACGAGGCTATTAGTAGCCTGCTTCTTGAGAAGGATGATATTGGCGTCAACCTCAAAGATGGCGATAAAAGAACACCTCTTATTAAAGCTGCTAGTAATGGGCACGGGGCTATAGTTAGGCAGCTTCTAGAAAGGAATGACATTGATGTCAACCTTGGAAATGACGAAGGCGACACACCGCTTGTCGAAGCGGCATGGAATGGGCATGAGACTGTCGTTAGTCTGCTCCTCGGGAAGACCGATATCCAACCAAACGCTAGAGGAGAATCTGGCATCACGCCGCTTTACACAGCTGCAGCCGAGGGGCACAACATCGTCGTTGGCCTACTACTTGAAAGGGACGATATTGAACTGAACGTCAAAACGAGCTCAGACGAAACGCCGCTCTTTGCAGCAGCAAACAACGGACACGAATCGGTTACCAAACTGCTGCTCAGCAGGGATGGCATCGACTTGAATGTTAACTGTCATGGTGACACGCCACTCTCCGCAGCATTAGATCGCGGACATAAGGTTGTCTCTGAACTTCTCCTCTATCAGGAAGGCAACGAACTCGAACATAACGGCTCTATAGACCGCGGCTACTTCCTACTCTCGAAAGCTTTAGATAGAGGACTTCAGGATATAGCTTCCAAAATTCTGATCGCAAAAATCAGTCGCAATGTGGAGATTCCCATTGGTCGCTCGCCATTATCCTGGGCTGCAGAGAGAAACAAGACGGACCAGATAAGGTCAATACTTAGGATCGATACTCTAGACCCGAATCTGCGCGATGCTCAAGGGCGAACGCCTCTCTCTAGAGCTGCGGAGTGCGATAGTATCTCAGTTGTGAGTTTATTACTTGAGAGTAGTCGCATTGACGTCAACAATGGAGACCTGGATGGGCGCACGCCTCTGTCTATCGCTGCTGACACACAAAACTATGCGGTGGTTTCGATTCTTGTGACTCGAGACACTGTCACTCTGCATTCACTAGTTCGAGAAGGGAATTTATCATCTGTTGAAATCTTACTTGATAATCGGTACGATATCAACACCAAAAACGGCGTGGGCCAAAGCTCGTTACACGTTGCAGTCGACAATAATCGCTTCGATATCGCTGTGAGGCTTCTCTCGAGAGGTGCAAATGTCAATGCCGAAGACCATTCTTCCACGACCCCCTTATGCCTAGCTGTTCAGCAAAAACGTCGAGATTTTGCCGAGTTGTTGCTTGATTACTCTGCAAGTACAAAAGGTATCACGTTTCATGGTTGGAGATCACTCTATGAAGAATTCAGCCCGCAATATACCCTCCGTATCACAGAAAAAACCTCGGGAAGTCGAAGAGTGGATTTTTTAAGTAGAAATAACTTATTGGCAAACGAGCCAGAGGCGGGCAGACAATTGTTGTAAGTCACCAGTCACACTTGTTGAAGAATTACTAACTCCCCTTAGCCTCTTACCTGATTATCAAACGTGGTCATTCGCAATACTCAAGTCCCTAGATACCACGACGATGATGTACACAAAGCCACCAGACTTGCAAGATGCAATGCAAATGAAATGTTATCATTGTTATACTGGTCAAACAGCAGGTGCTTACGCTGTTGCTTATTTTCCAATACTACAGCTGGATCTATCAAAGGGCAAGATTACTTGGGAGGGCTGCGGAGTGGGATGGTCCATGGGTAAGCTTGGACAAGATAGCGGATCCGTACGGTACTTCAGCATGCTGCAAGAGAGCGGGATTCCAGATGATGGTTACGAATTGTTCCAGCAACTTCTAGCCGAATCAACTAGCAAGTGGTTAGAATTTTGCATTCAATTTGAGGATCATCTGTCTCACGTTGTGAGTTAATGTCATGGGAGATCAAGACTTATTAGAACTAATGGCAGTGGATAGCGGCTGGATCAACTCAAATCTCAGGGCAAAAGACCCGAAACTATATCTCATCTGGCTGAGAATGCTCTACACATCGCTCAACTTCGCCGCGCTCTTCAAGGTCAGGTCCGCAGTGCAGAAGAGTTTAACACAGACCTGGGTCGGCTGCATGGCGGCGGCAAGGAACAAAGAGCATTTGAATATATACATACATTTGCGGACATACGCCAACAGCTGCAGATCTTAGACGAAACAATAAGAGATCTTCTACAATTTGTAAGTAGAATTACTTTGTCTTTTATGGCTGCTAATAAAACAGGAATTTGCTTGGGCTTCAATCAATGAGGCTCATAAGTCTACCAGCCTTGCGATTAGTATGAAACGACTCAGCTGGATTACGGTATGTGGTGTTTAGATCTCTATAGTTATTATAAACTAGAGCTAAAGTCCTTAGTTTATCTTCCTACCAGCCATGTTTGCAGCAGTAAGATCACAGCCCACATTAAGAGATTTAGAACCTTCTAACAGAATGTCAGAGCCTTTTTGGTATGAACGTGGATATACTGGAAAATAATCCTGATTGGCGATGGTATCTTCTTTTCATGGGATCCTTACTAGTTCTGACAACTATAGGGTGGTCGTTTTTTAAATATTTAAAGGTAATTAACTTTTTGAAATAAACATAGAACAGTTTGTATGCTGATTAGGGTTAGGTTGAGGAATGGCTTAAAGCACATGTTGGAAGACGGATATAAATGTTGACTGGCGTAAAAGGATATGCAGGACTAACGAGGACCAATGGTATTTATGGTTCTAACAATAACTATTAGTAGAAATTTATCTGGGAAGGCTTATTTATAAATATTGCTATCTGGCTTCTGCCTGAGATGGACGAATACTGTGCTGAGCTTACTAAAAAGTGTCTTGCTGGAGAGTTGCCAATGCTCGGAGTATAGATGCACGCTTCATTCCAGTACAATAGTTGTGAATTTGGGATAAGACGAGCATAAAGGGGGAAACTGAGGTTTTGAGTGGTATTGGAGGCTTTCCCAGATACGCGAAAGGCTGCGTCTTAATAAGTTCTCTCACCAACTTAGGGTTAGGATAGGGTTAGTATTAACTATCTAAGCTATCTTTGCTTTAGTGTTTTCTTTTAACTAAAGTATAGCTATAAACGAGATATAGAAAGAGATAAGAAGAGGTAAATAAGAGGAATGGGCAAGGAAAATAGGCTAGAATAAAAGATATAGCCTAATAGTATCCCTCGCATTGTTTGGTAACTATTAGACTAATTTTAGTAGGAAATAAAAGGATAATAGTATAATATAAGGCATCTAATAAATTAAATCTAAAGTAACTAATAAACTCTAACTTACCTATAAGATATAATATAGGGTTTTATAAGTCTATAAACTTTCATCTCCACGATTTGCCGATAAGGGCCTCCTGGCTGACGTCGACAACCTAAGTGTCTCAATCATATTCAATGAGTTATATGATTTTCTGAATGACGCCGAGGACATGCGACAACGCCAGAGAGACAGAGGACCTCAAGGCGCACAGGTACGCCGAGAAAGCTGGGAGGCACAAGCACTGGCATGTCAAATCAGAACCCCAGTCAGGATGAAGCGTCGAATTCCGAGTTCCCCCTGAGCGACTTGCCTTGGAGGATGAGAATGCTTTGGCCAAGGAAGAAGAGGCTGAAGAGAAGGTCACCACGGGCGACCGCTCTTATTCGGCCCCTGTAGGAGACTTGACTGGTCCCAACGTCACGACACAGTCGGCGTCTAAGTGACCTGGCTTTACTGACACCAGTGACAACCTTTACGTCGAAAAGCGCCCAACCAAGAAACCCAAGTCACAGCGACGAAGGGAACGAACCTTGGATAGCCAGTTTTGACGGATGAGACAGACTTTGGGCACGATCCCTTTTGTGGCGGTTCGCATTATCATGCTTTGATGTTGCTTGTATATGGCTGAAGCCAGATTGGAAAAAGCATAGACCCTTTAGAGTAAAGATTTTGCTGGTCGCGGTTGGAGATACTAGACTGGCCAGATGTCGTTGGATACATGTCAATTGACAAGAAGTGTGTACAGCCTTGCCTCAAGATGAGGGAATAGACTGGTCAAAGAGCAAGCTGAGTTCATTATATCCATTATTTGATAGTATGCTTAGGGTGCTGATGCATTTTAGGGGTCTACGAGTTATTAATATGCTAGAGCGCCAGCCGCGTTATACGCGTTTTTCATCATGCTAAGCATTTCGGTCTCGGTTTCGGCCCCGCTCTTTAGCTCATCTTAAATTTCCCGTCAGCCCCACGGAAGCATGTCTTGAAACTGCTTCTGGTACAGTATTTATCATGGCTATGCATAGCCGAGCTGACCTGTCTCCATTAAACAAGCTTAACATTACCGCCGTAGGCCGTATGCTATGTAACGACGCGTATGAAAGCCCCGTAAGGCTGTGCAGTTATTCAGCGCCTTATGCTAGTTCTGCGGTTTTACCTGGGTTTCGAGCATTGAGCCTCTAGTGGGTTTGGTAAGGCATAAACCGAAAGCGAAACCGACACACCGCAATTAATCTCAGTGTAGGTGCTGCGATCTACAGTATACACGTTTACTAAGGTTTAAGGTTAGAATTAGTGGACTAATTCTAAAAAAGGGATGTCTAGAATTGTCCTTAAGAACGAGGATTTTAACTTTTTCCATACCAGCTTAACATCGATTTAATATTTCAATTCTTCAGCTTCTCAAACCGTCCATTATCTTCCCAATCGTTCATCGCAAGCTAGCCTCCACCCTTGTATAATTACCCTTCTGCAAAAGATTCAGCAATGGCTAGCATTTTTAGCAACCGCCTCAAATTGCCGCTTCATCTTGTGGAGCTACTCTTGATCGTTTCAGTGCTGATCTTGTCGGTCATACGAATGCTGAAGCAGCCAAAGAATGCCCCCAGGGGTCGCTCAAATACTATGGCACTGGGAATGGTAAGCATAAGCCAGATCAATACTAAATATGACGACTAATAAATCTCTTAACAGAGCGCAAAATCCCTCGTCATTTTGTTATATCAACTATTATCAGAACATGTACAAGCATTTAAAAAGTGGTCCAGTCTCAAAGCCTACGTTATTCTCAACGCACTTGAGATCGTGTTCTGGGCTGCAGTCGCGTTTATGATGATCCAAGCAAATCTCAAGTTCTGTGAGGGTTTTACTTGTATACTTAGCTGGATTGTTTGTGTTCTCGGCGTAGTCATGAGGTATGTCAACAATATCCAAGTGGTAGCACCGGGCTAATCAGAATCCAACTCCAGCACAATCGCTTCTTACCTGACTGTCATCACTTGGTTGGACTTTAGGCACTTCCGTGCTCACGGAACTCACCGCGGTCGACATTTTGAAGCCCATCATGTCAAGATACAGTCAACCGGCAACTCGACCGACAACATTGCGATGGATGAAGAATTGCTTCATGATCAACGATACACGCATACTAATAATTACCGAGCCTACGAATCAGGACGTGCCTACGATTCTCGTTCTCCGTCACCGTGGTGACAGCGTGATGAAATGGCGTAACCAGTAATTGCAGCAGGCGTGATTAATATCATGGCATGTGAGGAAGGCATTATTAGCCTACAAATGAGATACTAGAAAGAGTTGAGAGCGAGAAGGTCTGCAATATAGAAACCAGGATGCATATGGGGCGCATTGGCGCAAGGTATTTTCAACCCTGTCAGATAAGCTGGGTTAGACAGGACGGAGTAAGGTCAAGTAGTTAGGTAAGTAGCTAAATGTGTCTTCAAAATTGGCCTGCTGCCTCTCTACCTGAATTAAATCTCTACCTATTGCTACATAGGAAGGCGTTGACGCCAATATATCGGTTTTGCTTTCGGGATTTAATTGCATCTTCACCTAGACGCAACAAGCGCAATATAACAAAACTTAATCTCGTACAGTCTCAACCTGCCCTACTTCCAAGCCCTCCTTCTGCAGCTTGGCCTCTTCGACCCTGGCATCCAAGTCACTCGTGCGCTTCTGCGAGGTCCCAGGCACGAACCAAGACGTACTCGAAAACAAGGCGTTCATCTCCTCAAGTGGCAGCAATTTCGTCTCTGGCATAAATGCCCAGAAGAAGACGGCATTTGTGAAGTTGCAAACCACAAACACCAGGAAGTACCTCCAGCCGATGTTCTCGATAGCTGGGGCCGTTATCTGTCCAATCATGGTATTGAAAGCGAACGAGGTCATGACACCGATAGAGATGCCCTTGGAACGGGTCTTTGTGTCAAATACCTCGGCCGGAATGATCCAAGAAAGGGAGCCGCAGGTGAAGGAGAAGCTGACTTGGTAGCACCAGTTGATGACGATGAAAAGCCAACCGAGTGAATTCTGCATCGATGATGAAGCGTGAGGGAAGCTAGCTTGAGCTGCGGTCACGATGACGAAGCAAATGCAGTTGATGCCGTTGCCGATGATCAACGGCCAGCGACGGCCAAGCTTGTCGATGAAAAGCACAGTGCAAAGCTGAGCAAGAACAGATAGTACATTGCTGATAGCTTGGTACTTCAATGAGTCCGTGGTACCAATGTTCATGGCTTTGTAGATGTCTGGAGTGAAGTACTGGATGGCTGATACGCCAGTCATCTGGACAGAAGCCTGCAGTGCAGTAACGAGGAAGAGTCGGCGGAAGCTCGCGCGGTCGGTAAATAAATCCCGGTAACCCTTTGCTTCGAGCTCGTGCTCGTGGGCAATGGCAGACTGGATTTGGAGGTACTCGGCTTGGACCCATGGGTCATTTTCATTACCGTTGGCATGGAGCTTGGCTAGAGTCTTGAGTCCCTCCTCCTCTCTGCCGTGGTCGATCAGCCAACGGGGTGATTCAGGAAAGAGCAAAATCATGAGAGCAAGGATGCCAGCGGGGACGATTTGAAGGCCAAGAGGTATACGCCACTGCTCGCTCGAGGAAAAATGCAAGTTGGTGCCATACACGGTCCATGCTAGATGGAGTTAGTCACGTGGTCTTGAGGATGTATGGATCTTGACTTACTTGCGAAGACGGCTCCAATACCAAGCATCAACTGCTGCAGGCCAGTGACTCGGCCTCGGATAGAAGGGTGAGCGATCTCGGCCTGGTACATGGGCACGATCATGACGAGAATGCCAACACCAAACCCACCAACAGCCCGACCGGCATAGAAGAAGGACAGGTTTTGTCCAGCTGCTTGCAAGGCTCCACCGACGCAGAAAATAATGGCACCAATCATGATTGCCAGTCTTCGGCCCAGCCAGTCACCCATGGGACCAGCCGCGAAAGCTCCGAAGAAGCCACCGCCAGTGAAGAGGGACACAACGGCACCGCTGTAAGGTGGTCAGCGAAAAAAAAGATGACATATACGTTAATAAGCATGCGTACACTTCATCTGCATTTGGATTGAAAGACGATTTGAAAGAAGTTGAAGCAACACTGCCTCCGATAACGCCAAGATCATAACTATCAATGTTAGCTATTGCGTTATCTTGTCGTTGATTCCGTGCGTTTTACCCGTAGTTGAATGATCCAAGCGAGGCGAAGACGCCGACGAGGAACTGGTAGGTTTTGGGAGCAATCATGGTGGATGATGCTTTTCTGGGTACAGTCTACAGGCAATGCAGAGAGGACTGGAGCTTTTATATAATCACAACATAGCGGCTAAGGCACACTGACATTTGCACTAGTTTTCCTCCTAGCGAGACGTCCGATTCCCGTATTGGAGCATGTCGCCGGTATACGAATGCTAAGTGACTAGTGTTGGGTCTGGAACCCAGATTCCTACCCCGCAATAGACGCCATGGAGTTAGTAACTTGAGCTGATTGCTTGGCGATTGGCTCGGCTGTATAGCTGCGGCTCACCACTGTCACCCGCCAGCTTATTTTTCTTCGCCTGATGTTGCGGCAGGGGGAAAGCCCGGAGTCAAGGAGCCTGGGTGGGTTAATCTCCCCCGTGGAGAAGTTCGTGGGGTGCTTAGTCTGAGTTTCTGTCAGTCCCACTATACCCCATTCTGATACGCAATGGGGCGATTGACCTTCATCACCAGCCTTGCGGAATTCTGACCACTCAGAAGCTCGTTATTCCAGCGCCCGCGCAGAACCCCCGCTTGAACGAGATTATGCGCAGCAATGAGAAGAGGGGAATCGTCCAGACTGCCACGCTAGTTCAATGCCGATCTAACATCTTTTCGGATCTCTTTACCTGTTCACATGCAACTCCGCAACGATCAATATGCGGGGTAGATTCTGGGGTCTGCAGGCTTGGCAGTATTATTGCCCCGAGATAACGTCAAGAACCCGTGATGTTGATAAATCATTGGGCTTGTATTCAAGGCGATACTGAAGATTGAGTTTAATCCACGTCTGTTACAGGATCGCTTGATGTCTGAAATCAAGCACGTGGTTGAAAGGAGTGCGTCTCGCCGCTTCGGAGGAGACTCGGCCGAAATTGGCCAGAAGTGAAATTCAACATTGTCTAGTCCTTATCCCTTATAATAGACTCCGATAAGAAAGCAGATACCTAGATCCAGAGCCCTACAAGCCGCCTCTTAGTAGCAACAGCTATCTTCTAGTCACGCTATACTTATCACTTACCTAAAGTTCCTTCGTCATGCGTTACTCCCTAGCTCTATGCTACCTACTCCAGTCTGTCTCTGCTCTAAGTCTGTCGGTAGACTCCTCTGGTGGCAACTCTTCAAGCCAGCTTCTCTATGGTGTGCTTTACGAGGTACTAGAATTCTCTCTCAATCTCACATGTTCTATCAAACTCATGTCGCTTGATAGGATATATACCACTCTGGAGATGGCGGTTTGTACGGAGAGTTGATCCGCAATCGCGCTTTTCAGGGTTCATCCAAAGACCGCGTTGCTAGCCTGGATCGCAATACGGACTTTTGGCACCCAGTCGGCGGTGTCACCCTCTCTATTGATGATTCAAAGCCTGCCTTGTCTTCCAGCCTGCCGTACCACCTACGCATGGACGTCCCGAAAGGCGCAACTGGTAAGGTGGGGTTTTATAATGAAGGCTTCTGGGGTTTCAACGTCGATGCCACCAAGCGCTATATCGCCAGTCTACACATCAGAGGCGACTATAGCGGCTCCGTCGAGGTGTACTTCAATAACTCTATCACGGCAAAGAAACTGTCAAGTGCTGCTGTCAAGGTAACTCAGGCAGAATCCAATGGCTGGAAGAAAATTGAAACTCCTACCTTTCACCCTGCATCTTCACCTGGAAATCCCAACAACACATTTTATTTCACTTTCGACGGCGAAGCGCTCGCCGGAAAGTCACTTCACATCAACCTGCTGAGTCTTTTTAAGCAAACTTACAAGAACCGCTTCAATGGTTTGCGAGAAGATCTTGCACAGGCCGTAGGCGACATAGGCGCCTCGTGGATCAGATTGCCGGGCGGCAACAACATGGAGGGTGTTGGTTTTCCCTATCACTTCAAGTGGAACGAGACTATCGGTGACCTCAAGGACCGACCTGGTAGACTAGGCACCTGGGGTGATATCAACACAGACGGCTTCGGTATCCTCGAGCAGATGCAGATGGCCAAGGACTTGGACCTTACCGTCGTGCTTGGACTCTTTGCTGGGCTTTACCTCAATGGAGACATTATTGCACAAAAAGACATCGGGCCTTGTGTTGATCTGGCGTTGAGTGAGCTGGAGTTTCTCGCTGTGAGTAATCCTAGGACTCGATTTTTCTCAGCTTACTGATTGGCTAGGGTGATACATCTACAAAACATGGGTCACTACGTGCCTCTCTCGGATTCCCTGAGCCGTTCACTGTTGAGTGGGTAGAGATCGGAAATGAGGACTATCTCAATGGCGGTCAACCGACATACAAATCGTACCGCTTCAGGGCATTGTACGACGCCATTCGCGCCAAGTATCCCAAGATGAACGTCATCTCGTCCATCAACCCGTCGCCATCGCCTGACAAGGGAAACGGAGGTATAGTAGACCTCCACATCTACGATAACGAGGCCCATTTTGCCAGCCTGTTCAACACCTTCGATCAGGCGAGCCGAGACTATCCCGTGTTCGTGGCTGAATACGCAGCCATCCGATCGGGCTCAAACAGCGACGGCGAGATTGGCGCGCAGACCTTCTCGATGGCCTGTGCCGAGGCTATATTCCTGCTTGGCTGTGAGAGAAACTCCGACATTATTGTAGGCAGTGCCTATGGCGCTCTCATCAAACAATACGACGAAGAGCCGCGGACTGTAGCCGTGCTGAAACACACAGCCGACCAGATCCTCAAGACGAACAGCTTTTATGTGCAAAAGCTTTTCGCTGCCAACTTAGGTTCCGAGACTGTCCCTGTCAATGCCACTGGAGGAGGCTTCGGTCCTGTTTACTGGTCTGCGACTAAGTCGGCGGACAGAACCTTGCTTAAGCTGGTCAACTATAATGGCGAAACAGGCCCTGCCAATGCGGTCAAGGTTACGGTCAAGGGTTCCAAAGCTACCACGGCTACGCTCACTGTCCTGTCCGCGCCAAATGGGTCCAGTGTTAATAACCTCCCTGGTGGTGGAGGCGAAACAAGCTCAATCAGGACGACGAGCCTTAAAGCAGAGAATGGGGTATTCTCTGTGATATTTTCGAAATCTTATGAGATAGCCATTCTTAGCATTTAACGGGCTTTAGTGTTAGCTATAATACCTTGGGATTCAACTATCCTATGAAGGAAAGGTAACTATGCTATTAAGGATCTAGGGTGTTACAGTTGGGGATATTGATTTCCCAACTGCTATAGTAAAGGTAGGATAATTAATAAATAAGTCATTCAGAACATTTAAGTTATCTAGAATGCTTTCAAGAATAGGGTTAAGGTTAGCTAGTAATATTATGAAGTCGATATGAGCTGGCGGGAAGGTTCTGATGTGCTGAGTCAGCAAGCTATTGGCTTTTAAGACCTGCCAATGATTTCCAAGTGGCTGTAACAGTCACTCACAATATCGGGATCCGGTATCTCTAGATTGTCTCTCTCTATATATTACAAGGCGATACTACGGATTGGCAGGTTGAGTCTTCAAAGATGTCCTATATACATCGCGATGCCTCCCTGGTTCTCTCCACCACTCAAGCAACCGACTTATCACAAGTTCACAACGATTAGAAGAGCGGACTTTTACAGGCCACCATGCCATTTGAATTCCAATATAAACTTTTTCGGCTTTAACCAACCGTTCACATGCAACTCTGCGACGATTAATCTAACGCATAAAGAGAACTCTAGATATATCTCCTAAGGGATAAAATGGCTACCTCCAATCCCCTATCATAGCTTCAACTAAAAATCAAGATCACTTCAAAACCACTTCAAAATCACTTCAAAATCAAGTCACATAAACGACATAGCCTTTATTATCCAGTTCTTACCAGGAAAAGATATCACTATGAAGAAGCACTCGCCGGCTGGAGTCACTTTGAACGATGCAATTTGGTCTAGAGCATCTAGATTCAGTACTGTATTCGTAATGAGGCGTAAGAAAGTGGCAGAGGCGTCGAATGAAGTCTCTGGTATCTGGAATAGGAGTTGATTGACGACAAAGCTTGGTCCATCAACTTTGACTGGAGACTGAGGACTGGGTAAACAAGTGGCTTTTAGTAGGAATACAAACTGAAATTAGCATATCGGCCACCCAGGACCTGAGCCTTTTCTCGTGGTGTTAGCGAATAAATGGTTGCGAACAATCCGGAGACTGAACGGTCTCTTAACCATAAGAACAAGTCCACCAATAGATCTGTTCTAAGCAAGATACCCTAGCAGTGAAATTTGTTATCTCGGACCACAAATGATGACTTGTCTGTTTGGCAGCAATATGGTATGTTCACCGTTTAGGAACTAAGAACAGGCACCGTGACAAGCCCAGCTAATCGTTATAAGAGCATTTGATAGTGTTCTGTCTAGGCGATGGTTTAGCATCTATGTTCTTATTTCTTTGGACAGAACCTCAGAAGTATATATACGGCCAGATATTCGTCACCACTCTTAACTCAATCATCCATTTACACAAGGAACTCTCTGCCAAGGGAAGCATCTACAAGCAGCAACAGTCACAACCGCAGAGCCACTCGAACCACCCCAACACATACTCCTACTCGCAGAAATCTCGCCATGGCTGAATCTACAATGGATGCCATTGTTGGCTCACTCCTCATTCTCTTCCCCATTACGCTCTTTCTTATTTACTTGAAGGACCTTGCTGTTGAGACTGTCTTGGCTGCTTACAATGCCATGGTGCAATTTCTTGAGAATTGCCGGCGTGCCATGGCCTGGAGCTTGTGCTTCATGCTGTTTATCTTTGCCTTCGCTGGCGTTAATGTGTTCTTTGACAGCATGAAAGCTGTTCTTGAGGGTGAGAAGACCCCCTGTCACGTTTACTACAATTACTAGGTTATCTGTGTTATAAATGACCTAAATGTTGTCCACTCACTATCATCTTTCCTATGTTCAAGCGAGCCTACAGCTCCTTTTTTGCTAATCACCTTTTCTTTGTTATAACTGAACTCGACCCCATCCACCCATTCTTGCCCTTTTTTATGTTTTTTCTGAATCGACCATCCTCTATACCTTGATTATTGATCGATTGCCGTAGGGAATGTGTCTTGGTATGGATTGCAGGCGTTTAGCAAAGGTAATGTACAGCCTTGATATCTGCATACCTTTTGCTTAATTGAGATGGCGGAGCGCAGATTAGGAAAGAAAATTCAAATATTTACTACAAATTCATAAACCTCCCACAAAGTCGTAGCTTTTGCATTGTGCTACCTCCAACCGCCCGTCGTCCCACTAAGTCTCCAATGCCGACCTTTCTGTCGGCACAGAGGGAGCTGGCCCGACAAACTCTCTTACCTGTACTTGGCTCCGATTGCATGTCTGTGCCGAGAAGCAGAAAAAGAAAATAACCCAGGGGTATTTGGTAATATCGACATTGCAATATGCCTGCTGACGAACACGGGCTTACACTATATAATGTTATGCCCAAGGATATGTTCTTAGACTTTATAAAACTGCCAATTATCTACGGAGAAAGATAACTAGAAGTTCGACTCCCAGCACTTTCTGTAGGGTGCGGGGCAGATATCGGAACGCATTCAAATTACAGGATACATCGGCAAGCCGAAACTGAAACATGACTAGGGTACGAGGTATTTTTGACAAGGTTCCCCTTTTTGGTGTTGCAATGCTCCGCTGGCTTGTAGAAAATAAGCATAAAAGTCAGAGCTATGCTAAGATGATTTGTCAAGTGAAAATAGCTACAAGAAGTGTCTTCAGCATACTGGCATTTTATCTAGTTGCCCTTTACTAAATACTTTCGCGCTTGCTTTATCTTTCTTCTGCTTTATGCTAGAATTATGAAGTACCTCTTATATGTTCCTGGCCTTGTCCTTGGCGCAAATGCAGTCTCGTATCATGGCCATCACCCGCATTCACATCTTGACACCAGGGCGCCCAAGCTATTTGCCCACCCTGGACTTTTACACACTGCCCAAGACTTTGAACGTATCAAGGAAAAGGTTGACTCCGGCGAACCACCATGGTCGACTGGATGGGACAAGCTAAAGGCACGGGTTAACCAAGACTACCAGCCTAACCCCTCGGACATCCTCGTCAGAGGCTCAACCCCCGAGCGTCCACAGAACTACGTCAACATGTACCGAGATATGGCTGCGGCATATGCTCTCGCCATTCACTGGAAGGTCACTGGAGAGGAAGCATCCGCGGATGCTGCTGCTCGCGTCCTCGATGGATGGAGTGCCGTTCTTGCAGATATCTGGGGTAACTCGGACAAATTCTTAGCTGCAGGTTTCTACGGATATCAATTTGCCAATATTGCAGAGATCCTTCGCGACTACAGCAACTGGAAGGGCCTTGATGCAACAATTGACATGCTACTTCGGGTATTCTACAGCAAGAACCATTCCTTCCTCACAGCTCACAATGGCGCACACATTGACAATTATTGGGCGAATTGGGACCTTGCCAATATCGCAAGCATGATGAGCATCGGTGCATTGGCTGATAACAGAACCATCTGGGACGAAGCTGTTGACTACTTCAAGAGCGGTGATGGTAATGGCGCAATCGAAAAGGCAATCTGGTATCTTCACACGGAACAAGGCACGGGTAAGAAGCTTGGACAGAACCAGGAAGCTGGCAGGGACCAGGGACACGCCACGCTTGACTTTGCCATGCTTGGTGTCATTGCCCAGCAGGGCTATAACCAGGGAGACGACTTGTTCGCATACTTGGACGACAGGATTCTGATAGGGTACGTATCTCTATCAATCGCACCGAACGAACTAACTGTTCCATTAGAATGGAGTACGTTTGCAAATACAATGTTGACCAAGATGTTTCTTTTGAAACATACAGCAACGCGGTACATGGTACGCAAACGGCAATCAGCAATCACAGCCGCGGCACGATTCGACCTATGGCGGAACTATTCGTTGCTCACTATGGCTCTATTAAAGCTCGAGATGTTAAGTGGACCAAGGTTTATCGGGATCTCGTTTTGCAGGAGAGTGGTGGAGCTGAGGGAGGTGGTGGTGATTATGGGACTACGAGCGGTGGTTATGACCAGCTGGGCTTTGGAACGCTTCTATATCGCCTTGAGAAGGAGTGAGGATGAATTTATGGAATTCCTTTCACCGTGGATCTGATATCATATGTAGGCGGCCATTCCTCAGTTAATTCCAACAACTGGCATGTAAACGTCAATTTTTCGTCTTCAATCTCACTGCCCATCTTCAACAAGAGACTTGAATCAAACCGAAGTGGCACAATCGCTTTATCAAATGACGAGCCAACAGTAATCCATTGAGCGTGACCACTAATGCCCTATTGAAGATTTCCTCGTCCGAAACTCATTCTTCTCAACGAATATACGTCGCTGTAACATAACCTGCTGATGCTCGAGCCTCCCAAAGGCGATACTTGTGACAAATCGCTTATCCATGATAACTATGCCGCATTAATGATGTCGTTTTAATGGCGAATACAATGAGAGAACAGTGGGTCTAGCTACTCATGCCATCACGGTATCCCTAGATGTGTTAGAGAGTATTCACCTACTGCTGGGTACTTAGAGTCCCGGCAATACTGCTCCAATGCGAACACTTCCCATTGCTAACTGCATCACTACTCTAGCCATAATGTATCATAGAGGAACTCATTTCTGCTATTCTGGCTTGAATCCCCTAAGAAGCTCAAAGATCATATATTCCGTAAGTCCCAAAACGAGAGATGCATCTTCTAGTGTACTCTGATTATGTAGGGCCAGTCAGCAGCCTGATCCTTAGCCGAAAGGAGCCGTCAACTCCTCCACCGACGAGGTACGCTTCAAGTATACTTACGGCGCGAGTTAGATCTGGCTTCGAAAATATCAATGATGCCACGAATGAGGTAAATATTCACGGTATTTATCGCCATACTTGCACAGGATTGCAATTGCTAAGCTCAAGAATATAAGAGCAGGAAATGCACGCCCTCACAGTTACGATTGGGGCGATCAAAACTGCGCAAACATGCCAACACAACCCCTTAGTATACAGAGTTGTACAGAAACAGGCACCGCTACCGCGGGAAAGCCGTCAAGAGATATTTACCTGGGATCAGGACTTGATCTGTCTTTGTCGAGCATCAGACAGAGGGGATAGCTACCAAGCCTTAGTTTTAGCCTGGCTGAAACAAACCTATTGTCTTATTGGTTATTATCTTTACTGCTCTTGTTATGATATTTGCCCTTGTCATTACTGCTATATACCTCATCGCCTTATCAGTAGTTCTGTCATTAATTATGAGTGTAAAGCTAGCAGTATAGTTATTATTGTGGAGACCAGAGGATATGCTGTTTTGGACACTGATGATTATGCTTGTGTTGGTAGTTCTGTTTACCTTCCCACTGTGGAATGCTGAATATAACGAGACTCCACAGATACATCCATACACATTACTTGGCTCCACGAGTAACGCGGCACACATGGTTACTGCCGAAGCGAATCTTAATGGCAAAAAGGCCAAGGTGAGCCGTCTCTCTGTTTCCTAGCCCCTCGCTTCTATCTATCTTTTGAGTCTCTATTGTCTCTGTTATTAGCTTTGGGGCTTCAACGAGCCTGTAGAAAAGAAGACTTGGAAGGATGACTATTCTGCCATGGACAAGGCGACTGCTGAATACGCTTTTGAGCAGTTTCAGCTGGTAAGTCGAACCAACTACAATTTCAGAGGCTGTCCATGCTAATATAATACCCCTACCAGATTGAACAGGTTTTTGGTTATCTCACCAAGCCAGCCATACAAGACAAGCTGCTAGCCGCCCACCAAGATGTAATAGAGTTCTTGGACGCGTTTGAGAAACTCTATGAAATGCAGTATCCTACGACCATGAACTTGAACCTGTCCGACACATGGCGCAATTTCATGACAGAGTTGCTTCGTGGGGTGCAGGGCTTCACTGAAGAGTGGATGAAACTTCGCACCGGGGATATGGTGAACAACTGGAAGGCTGAGGTCGCGAGAAGGGAAACAGCTCTCAAGAATGCCGCGAACACGCAAGCAGCTAAGCAACTCACCATTGAACTGGATGATGCAAGGAAAATCCACGACGACGCTAAAAAGCACTGTACCACGTACTCGTCTTTAATTGGAGTGTTCAAGCCCCAAATCTTCCAGGAAACCGATGCAGCCTAGATTCAGCATGCTTGGGAGTATATGTACCTACTGAGTATTTTGCGCTATTTTCTGGACGCTATTATATAGCTCAGCATCGCGCAGAAGTCCGAAAGCATGCAAATCAGTTTTCTGTGGCCTAGCGGTAGGTGGGTGAAGAATGAGAATGAGTCAGAGCTTCCTATTTGCATAATCGTAAGGTGATGATCCACATAGTGGAGTTCCCCAAAAGAATAAAATCTTCCGTTGATCCCCTCTCAATTCGTTCGGTCTCAACAATACATAACGACTAATCGAAGTGATTGACCGCCGCGATGGACCCTAACCTGGAGCTCTATAAGAGCGTATTGCATCTTGGTGTGGCCGATCGCCGCCAACGCTTGCAACATCTTCCACGATCCGAACTCTCCAGACTGCACATCATCGTCACAAGGGAGAAATAGGCCTATTAGGTTGGAAGAACTGATCGCAGGCCGAGACCTCGTTCAGCTGGCCTTGACTGACCTTCAGAAGTAATAGAATGCACGCCACTGAAATACGCCCTGCTTGGCCGAACGACCTACTCTTATGACGAGGACAAGATGGTATCACGCATTATAAATAATGTCGCAAGCAGTCAGATCTTGGTTGATACGATTGCATGCTTTGATCAAGTCACTAAGCCTTTCCGCTTAGACGCTTTAAAACTAGTATACTGCGATATTTACTACGTCGATGGAGGCAATGCTACACTACAGGAGATCTTCGAAGTACGCCTCCAAGAAGAGGAACTTCAAACACCTGCTGAGCAAGCCAGAGAGCTTGTGTGATATAATGCACTCAAACGGGCTCGGAGGAATGCCAAGTGGATGATTCCCGCGATGGAACGGCTTTCAGAAGAGGAACAAGCTCAGCCGACGCATGAGTATGTGGAAACCTTGCAAAGAATCTGGAAACAGGTATCCTTAGCGCCGCCGCCTTGGATCCAGAAGATCCTTGATACACGACAACAATAGGGATTTATCTACTACTTATCCAGGGAAGCTAATCAGAAGTATGGCTCTGATTGGGAATCAGTATGGGCTCGTATTAAGGACAGCATTAAGGCCGCGTGAGAGTCGCCATCTGGTCACTTAGCACGTGGTTCTATGCTGCCTAATAGGAAGGTATTAGCCTTCGTGATATATGGCTAAAAGCACAGGAGCATCCAGATAAAGTATAATTTGTTACACGAAGAGACTGGAAGAATGGGAACATGAGCCGTTTATTTAGCATTGAGCTCGCGGAGGACCGGGCGTTATACTACAACTCAAGCAGGAAGGCAGGTATAGCTATGTATTAATTGCAAATGATATTTCAAAACGTGACGAAACTACTCAGAGGTATGGGCGAACATTTCTATTAGGATTCTTTTTATTACCTGGTCGGTTAACCAGTTTTGTTCCTAGTGGGCTAATACGTTTAGCCATAGCTCTGGAGTTCTCCTAAAAGAAATATTAGGGATTTGCTGCTTGGTACTATAGGGTAAGTGATCTGGCGATCTTACCCCACCTAATTCAGTCAGCTAAACAATTCTAAACCAGTCCGTCTTGGTTATCTTTCGGCACAACTTCCTTCCGCACCGAGTTTAGACAAGGGTAACTCTTCACAAACCTCCTGCCTAAGGCTACAAGTACCGCTTGATTCTTAATAGTGCTTACGACAAATAAAAAACACAATTATTACATCTTTATAAAATAGCTCAACATGGATAAAAAGTCTCCTGCTACATACACATTAGTGAAAGGAACAGGTGTGTTCTTAGCAGTAATTATTCGTTGGATATACTAATTTCAGGTACAGGTTCCCTACAGCGTATATGGTATCTTTACCATCGCCTGGGTATCTGGTCCAACATTCTGGTTTCTGCGCGCTATACCTGCGCCAATGGACAAGAACTCAGCCAAGGTGCTATCATTGAAGCACTGCGCCTTGTTGTACAAGCTCATCCTGCCTTATGGCATGTTTTTGTCCAGAGACCATCTCCTAATCGAGGTAATCACGAACTGCACACCGCCAGGCTGCACACTATCGACTTGGAGAAATGCATCGAACTCGTAGATTGTGACCAGAACAATCCTGACGTCACTTCTGATGATCTTGAAAGAGCCCATAACGAGTGGTTGTGGACTGCTGATGAACCCGATCGCCCATTGTGGAAGCTTCTTGTAAAAGGGAATAACATTGTCTTTGTCTATCATCATTCTTTAGGTGACGGCGTATCCGGTATGGTCTTTCATCGTGAATTTCTTGCCGCGCTCAATTCCCTCGCCGTCACAAAGATCATGCGCATCGCTCGTCCTGATACTCTCATTCACGCAGACGAGAGCGTTCAATCCCCCGTCGAACCGGAAGACGTTTGGGAAGGGAAAGACAGCATCTTGGAGATAATTTGGACGCAGCTAGTGTGGTTGTTTGTTAAACTATTCTACGGCAACGATCGGATCTATGGCGATCTTCCCCCACCCAAGCCTCACCTCAAGTCTGCAACTGCAGTGGCAAAGCCAGGAGAGAGAACCGTCACACGCATTTCGTCGTATCGTATCCCAGCAGAAGACATGTCGTCAATACTCAAGGCATGTCGCAAACATCAAACTACCTTTACACCTCTACTCATTACAATGTTTACCATCGTCCTTGGCACCGAATTCTACCCGAACGCAAAGATAGGAGCAACACGCTTCAATTTTGACTTGAGACCCAGCCTTCCCATGTCTCGTGTTGGTGGAGGAACAGCGAATGGAACATTTGTGAATGCAGCAGGAAGCTGGCAGCTCTGGCACAAACTTGGACCATTCCGTCAAGTCCTGGTTACGAAAGGCGATGCCAAGGAGACATCGCTCGACTCCCGCTCTGTATGGAAGCTTGTCAAGGACTATAAGAAAGATATGACACGTGCTATTTCTGGCCAAGCTATAAGATACTGGATCGGGGTGAAGCGACTGGGAACTGACCTAGAGAAAGTGGTTGACAACGGCTTTCCGTCTATATCTCTCCTTCTCAAGCCTACTTTCAGCGTTTCTAACATTGGCTCCTTCGATAATGCTCAGGTAGAGGACGATGAGAAGAGCACAGGGCTTTGGCGGATTGATGATATGCAATTCTCAGCTGGAGCAGTAAATGGCAACCAGGGTACACACGGTGCTATCTTCCATGTTTGTGGTGTTAAAGGGGGAGATACAGTTATTACTGCGACTTATGAAGATGGAATTGTTCTGCGGGAGATGGCCGATAAGATTCTGGAGCGTACCGTCACTAGAATCCTCGAAATAGTCTAATGTGATATACGTTCTTATGTTAGAATACCTTTCGACACCTCATGACTTGATCCGCATTTCCTTTGTCCTTGTCCAAGGGTTAATTGACTGGCCAACGCACTGACGCGCATCAAGCAGTCCCGTCGTTGCATTTACACCACGTGGTTCGATTGGGATATACGACGTTTATTCTGCCGGTTTTGTCGTTTAACGCAAGGCTGTTTGCATCTGTCTCTACTTGCAATCAACAGAAAGAGGATTAGTCGTCGCTTTAGAGTCACAAACGTCTTTACAGGTGAGGATCATGCGTAAGTTTGAGGAGTCCCAAAGGCGCATGCGCAGCTTTGAACTATTATAAGACAGTCTGGGGGCTAAGTTGCATCGGCGATAGGAGGTAGTTTGTGCTTCACAGCCCCTGCATGGAAGATAATCAGTAAGCTACGGGTGTGCTTACTAGCGATCAGGTCAGAGTTCAGGTAGCTCTTGGGGAAGCTTCAAACTTGTCGCCCTGTTCATATTCGCCGAGCAAGACATCAAAACCAACTGTTCTAAAGGTTTACTAAGATATACTAAACTTGCCTAAGTATTTTCGTCGCTTAGGATAAAGGTCCTAAGTTTTCTTGCCTCACCTAGCAATCTAGACCTCAACGCTTTATGCCCTATGTAAAAGAACTCCAATCATTCAAGGTTTCCCCCTTTGTCATTTACGTCTTACTCCACCTTCTTCACCTTTTATCTTCCGTCAACGCTGAAATTATCTCCCACGCCCTCATATCCTTTTGCTATCACCAGGGCAGCTATCGCGACCACAGCTTAAATGACATCAAATTCTGGGACAGCAACGGTTTTCTGACAGGTAGAGATGTCACTGATCAGAGCGCGAATCTTCACAAGTACCTCTGGGAAACATATAACGCAACTGAGTATCTCGAATCATTCCCCTTTCTTGTTATGGGATGCCAGGGCGGTCCATCAGACAACCCGCCATTTTCGGTAGCTGGGGTCATTGCCATATGGCGGGACGCCAAAGACTTTGGCTTCATGCCTCTTGTCGGAGACTTTACGCAAGGTGATGAGATCGAAGTCGATGACGATATCCTCGATCAGATAGTCCGTTGGAAATACCTTCAAAGGATGTGATCCTTTATCTTGCCAATCTCTGGCCTAAGTATCAGGAAAAGTTTCTTGTGGACAATGCTTGTGGTGGAGATGCCCCTTGTCGGCAAAGAGGAGCACTTAGAACGGCTGCAGAGTCTCCCTATCGCTGTCGGCTCTTGTGTTTTCACCCTGAGATTCAACAATGGCCTGTTACCAAACGCGGACAGGATACGCGCGCCAGAGGTCAAACCAGATCCCGAGAAGCCCTTCAGGGCCGCTGATCACAGAATTGGCGATCTGTTCCTTGTCGATTATGCCGCTGGAGTGACACAAACGGTATGCAACTTTGGGCGACGATCCACTTTGGGCTGGAAAGGGGATGCCCTTCACAATGTTGAGCCGAGAAACAGTCAAGGCGAAGGCTCAAGCAATGGCGTCAAGTACTTTGCCTTTGATCAAGCTGCCTTTGTGGCGAACGAGCGCGAGATCGCCTTGAGCTGCGCGTCTGTGCCTCTACCATGTCGCAACGAATCACTCAAAAGGCACCAACCTCAAAGGATGGCCGCGCAAGAATGCGGTATGCTGCATTTACCCAATCATCAATTAAGGAGCAGCAACCGAAATGAAAGGCTTATCCTGTATGCCGTCTCGTATGATCCCGAGTTTGAGGAACAAAGCTAAATGGACGGTGGTGGAAGTGATTATTCTTGGCTGTCAGTGATTTCTGGTCAGATGAGAAGCTGGAAAGCCTATCTCGTGCTGTGGTGCACGTGGTTGGTGCTGCCTAAAGTGTGTTTGAAGATATCTGATTTAGAGTTGTCGCGCTAAAATCCTATTATTCTATGGCGTTTAGCTGACAGCCTTTGACATCACCACATAAGCGGAGCCGGCACGTCTGGACTCAAGATTAAATGTGGCCCATAGTTTGCTCCCACTGCGCAGGTCATCTCGGGGACCAGCAAGTGTTTGATGAGCATTGGTGTTGTAGCTCGTGCGCCACACTTGGTATTATCCAATGATAAAACTTCATATTCTTTAAATTTGCATATCTTTGGTTCACAATATCGACATTATCCTTTATCTCCTCATGGGAGATGGTCCAGCCTCGTGAAACAACAACCCTTCGAGGTCAGGAAATCTAATGCTGAAGACGGGCATGTCTGTCCTGCAAGCCATTAGCGAATTGTTACCCAGATTGAATAAGAGAATGTAAAGACATATGCACCTACCTGAGACATTCAACGATTGGAAAGGATTTTATCAACACCTCGAGTGGCCCGAGTCAGTTTATATCTGCACACCACAGCAGAGTCTGTTGATGGAACGACTGGCTAGAGATGGCAATTAAAACTGAGAGCATATCCTCTTTAGATACTTGCTATTAGCTGAAATGTGATTTCAGTAAAGCCCTGTATGTACAATGGAAACCACGCTTTGTCTTGAATTGTCGATGAATTTGGTGGGGTTGGTTGGTTGTGAGCCTGGTCTGCCCGTGATATGATTGGGATCACCTGCTTTGACAACGGAGCTATGGATTAAAAACGCATCTACTGGCTCAGCAATACAGTCGTCTTCGTCAAAGTTACTTGATGAGGACAAGCTTTTGTAGGGCTAATACTTTCTCCCCGAGGCATTACAAAGACGCTACCACGTATCCGATCGACCATAAAACACGTATATACACACCATTCCACAACCGCATCACCTGTTCTCTGCTGATAGGAGCTCTTTGTGTAATTCTTTTGAAGTATTGAACTGTTATCTTGGTAGGGGCTGGTCTGGTATATCTGGCAGGAAGATGAACGTCGAGCGAGCTGGGTTGGTCTTTGACCTGAAGTGGTTGTCATTTCAAGATGAACCCTGCCCGCTATGCTCACTAACTTACAGGACTGAGCATACCTTATTCCCCAGGATGTGTCAATGGTACGGGATGCGGAAGATGCTTTGCAAGGCAGAGATTATTGCCACAACAAATTTAAGAGTTTCATTGAATGAGCAGGGGCAGGGAATTGTCATATGCGTGAATTGGACAGCAGCTAGTTCGGTTATCCTTCGCCCTGCGCCAAGTTTTCTTACTTAATTCTTTAACACGTAACAGCACCAAAATGCTATTATTAAGCTAAAAGACAGTTAAAAGGGCTTTAATTGCTTGTTCTAATAGAAATAAGTATATAATATATATTCTATAATTGTTATTATTATAAGTAACTCTTTTATTATAACAATAATTTAGGGTAAGGTTCTGCGTAATTGTTATTTCTAGCCTAGGTGCAATCCTTATCTGCGCTTATCTGCTTATCTGTTATCACCCCACTGATCCGACATCCTGAACTAAGGCCAAGAAAACACCAAAATCTAACATAGCATTATCAACGCATTAATTCAACCTACAATATCCAAGCAACATTGATCATCAAGCACCCTTTGTCGCTCGACGCGAATTTAATTCAAGGACTGCATCTCGAGATGAGCACTACAGTCCGCACGCAGAACAACCCCAGCCAGACGCGTCATCTGCATGGCCCCGTCGGTTTCGCGTCATCGTGCCATTTGTATCTCACCGCGTCTACTAGATCAATCAACTGCAGGCAGCCAACATAATTGCGTTATTGTCTGACCCTCAAAAGATTGGTTACCGCAATCAACCACCTGCTCTCATTCTCTTCCTCTCCATCATTACCCATCTGTGTTGCGCAACTCAACAACCGCGACCTGTCGACACCATGACGCGGAAGGAGAGTGGAACACCGAGGAGGGAATCGGCTGAGAAGGACCAAGGTGCCAGGAACCATCGAGACTCCTCGGTCGAGTCCTGTATCGTCCTGGCCATCTCAACAATCGTCGCTGCACCTCACGTGACACGATCAGCAGATTCCGAGGCATCCATGGGCAAGGAGAGTCCTGTGACGCCAGATGAGCAACCAATCAAATCCGAAGAAGAAGATCGTATCGGCATGCTGATGTCCTTGTCAATGGTTGAGCCCTCTGGCCAGTGCAAAGCAACAACTCCCGAACCACTGGATTTCTCTTGCCACGAACATCAGAAACAGAAGTGCGAGACTCTCCCAATTCTGGTGGATTACGGCATTCCAGAGCAAAGGTTCGAGGAGCCTACAACGGAGGAGAGGTCAGATATTCCTGTAATGAAAGACACACCAGACTCTATACCCGATTTGCTTTTAAGAAGGAATCCTCAGAAGGCAACAGTGACATATCTCGAGACAATCGCCGTTAAGAACAAGATTGCCAAAGAAGAGGAACTACAGAATAAGCTCCAGGACAAAATGGACTACAACTGCAATGTAATCCTCGATTGCGATGTCAGTATTGACGTTGAGCGTCGTGCAATCGAGAGTGCCAGACGCAGAGGGAGGCCATTTTGGATCCCATGGTCGATGGAACGTCAACGCTACCTTACGTCCAAACGCAAGAACCTTCAGAAGAAAAATGCTGAGATGGAGGGAGTAAGGAAGCGTCGCTGCAAGAAGCTTGATGGACTGATGTCTGAGAAACAAAAACTTGAGGAGGATGTTACTGCATATTGATATGTTGCAAGATAGTGTCAAGATGATAGGGGTTGAATTTGATTGAGGCAAGCTTTCGGATGAGTGATAGAAGGGAGAGTGGTTGTACTGGAGAAGATGATATGATGAATGAGGACGGGCCTGGCTTAGAAAATGCTATGATGATGAACGAGGAAGAGCCTGCTGAGGTTAAGAGCATGTCCCGAGCTACAATCGCCTTTACATGGACTAATGGATATCATAATCAGAAGCTTTGGTCGGGCACCGGTGATGCAATGCAGCGATGGCAAGACACTTAAAAATATCTGGTTGGCCGGACCACCGTGGGCAGTTCCACCGGGCCCAGACGGTACTACTATGAGCGAAGAGCCAGCTCGACAGGGTGACGCGGGGGGCGGTTGAGCGAGGTGCCGGAGGCTAAGGGACATCGCCGACACTTTGGTACGCGAATGAACGAGAAGTCATCTGCGACAAGCAACGAACTGACAGGACGAGTAGCTCAAGGCTGGTGCTGAAAGGCTAACCGGCCCCGTAGGCACAATGTTATGAAAGACACGTCGACGATGCGCTGGGAAAAGATATTTCGGCCATGATAGTTTCGGGAAAACATGGACCCGCTATCCTTTATCTCAGGAGGACATCTCGAGCAGAGTCTAGCGACAATAATGCAAAAGCATTACAATATTACACAACTACTAAAAGAAAACCCTTGATCTTTAACAGACACGTGTCAAAGGTCAAAGATCATAATGTTAGCAAGGGACCAACGGCTTGTAAGGTCGGAAGGCAGCGCGCGCGCTTGTTGGAAATCGCAGACGCTTATAAATCTTGGAGGTTCTACACTAGCACGGACTTACTGAAAAGTCCATACCGGATGGACTTAACAAACTATTCATATCTGAGATAGTCCGTCGCCAATTAATGAATCATATATAAACTAGGTCTTGTTGCCGTCACATCGTACCTCACATTCACCGCGACCAAATTCATCTCACCAACACAACTCTGCCAGCCACCCTGCCCTGTCGATCACAATGGCGTTGAAGCTTTACGGGCATCCACAATCGATTTGCACAAAGCGAGTCCGAACAGTCCTTGAAGAGAAGAAGCTTCAGTATGAGTTCATTGTAGTGGATTTCCTCAAGGGAGAACACTTGTCTGAGCCATATGGTGCCGAATTTCATCCCTTCAAGAAGATCCCCGTCCTGGTGGATGAGGAGTCAAATGTCAAGGTTTTCGGTAAGATAAAGGAGAAAGGTGCAGAGTGAGTGATGTCGAGAAACTAACAGTCCTTCTCAGAGAGCAGAGCTATAGCTCATTACATTGCCGCCAAATACCGGGGTTCTGGGCCCGATCTGAGCCCTTCTGAGGCTGACATCAAGGCGTACGCATCATTCCAGCAAGTATGAGGTCTCCACTCCCGCCAAAGCCAACTGTCAATTAACTCTCCCAGGGTCTATCCATCGAGCTATCCTATTTCGACACCAACGTCGGCGTCATCGCCTGGGAGGGAATCTTCAAGCCCATGCTCGGTCACGGTGCTGGCGACGAGGCGGCAATCAAGGCCAAACTCACTGCTCTCGATACTGCTCTCGCGGGATATGAACACATCCTCTCGAGGCAGAGCTATCTTGCGGGAGATGAAATCACATTGGCGGATATCTTCCACCTCCCTTATGGATCCTTGGTCGAACAGGCTGGGTTCGGCGAACTTTTGGCCAAGTACCCCTCTGTCCAGGCTTGGTGGAAGCGCCTTCAGGAAAGGGAGAGCTGGAAGAAGGTTAATGCGAGCGAGTAATAATCGCCGCAATGTATGATGCAATATTTCCTTGCTGTTGAGACGGAAATATTATTGCTCTATTATTGCCGAATATAGAGATATATATAGGGTTGGCTTGATAAAACTTTCTACGGCGAACTTTGGTACAAGCTGGTGTTATTTATTTTATCCTCGTAGCCACCCCAAGTCAAAAAACAACATAGGAATCAGTGAAGGCCCTATTGGTAACAGGGGACTAAAATCGAAATCGAAATCGAGCTTATGGAGAGCAAGCGTCTCATGCGGCCCCGCCCCCGAGCGATTCCGATTGACTCGGAGATGCCAACTCTACAACTACGGAAGGCTAACCCGATCAAGAACACTGACCCACACCATCAGCCAACCCTTTTCAAACATGAGCGGTCCAATGATATCGATCCCAGTCATCCTACGAATCCGTTTGCGCGGGCTTTTTGTATGGCGTTGAACCAAATATGCGCCATCTTGTTATACCCGTCATCGTTGGGATGGGTGCCATCCATCAAATCATCAAGATCAGGGCCTTTAGTACTGTACATATCTGCAAGAACTATCTTTTTTCGCTCGGCTTCCTTCAATACAACAAGCTCCCGGAGATAACTGTTGATGTCCAGAACTCGCGAGTTGACTTGCTTGTCCACGTTTACTAGCAGCGTTGACAAGATGACTGTAGAGAGGGGAGAGGTCTTCCATAGATGTTCAAGCAGGTTGTCCATTCGCTCCCGAAAAACGTCAAGTTGATAGTTTTGGATACAGTCGTTGGATCCGGCGTTGATTGTGAAGAGATTTGGCTTGACAGTCGCGACGGATCGTCTAGCTTTACTTTCGATCTGGTCGAGCCGATACCCACGCCATCCTTCGTTTTCGTTGTTATGCATGGACCCAGCCTTGCGTGAGCCGACCATGCTGACTTCGTAGCCATTGGCAAGAAGAAGATCTTGCAGGAACTTCCTGTATCCATTTCCATCCGAAGATCCAACGCCATATGTAACTGAGCCTCCTAGTGGCATCAGGCGTAACGCAACATTCGGTGGCGTTGCCTGTGTGCTGGAACGAATGGCCGATGCTTGGTCATCCTTGTTGCCAATTGTGGAGGTGACACAAATTCGAGAAGGGCATTGGCCCGTGATAACCATCCGGCGTGACCGAGATATCAATGGTCGTAGCAGCATCGTTCAGGTGGCAAGGGAAGCAGAGGAGGCGGGCCAAGTTTCTGGGTGTTGGGAGGGGTACCAAGCGCCAATTGAGTAAATGTGCTCTCGGCGCCGAATATCACCGCCGACTGGGTTCAGCTGACTGTCAACGTGCCAAGTAGTTGCCCATCAAATTGCTGCAATAACCAACACTCAACGAACCAGGATGCAGCCATAAACGAAGGCGAGAGTGAGGGCATATGGAAAGCGCAATTGACTCAAGACTGGTACAATTCTCCCTTGCCTCCCCCTTTACTTTGTCGATGATAGGTGATAAGCCATCTCCATCACAAGTTAGGGAAATGCTTGTTATTATTAAGCAGGGCCGGAGACTAGTCACGGCGCCGATGTCCAATTAAATTCGCTGGAACAGGGCTTGTCAACCCCACTTCTCTAAAGGTAGTCTTTTTTGAAACCAGCAGTGATTCAGGAAAGGCGTAGTACGGTAACTCAGTCTCGGCTGCCAGGGATGTCGCCGGGAAGTATAAACTCTTTCGACCGGACACGATAGTGACGATCCCCTGGACGGCCATATTGAACTTGGACTCAGACGGGGCACTGGTACGACTGATAAAGAACGCCTCATAAAATATTTGGAAGAATAGACATTCCAGATCCATTCAGACCTCAACGCATTCCATCTTATCATCTTCAGAAACCAAAATCACCATGCAAGTCACCACAGAATACAGCCATTTTCACAACAAGACACGTCTTGACCAAAACAAGGGAACAACCGCAGCCATTTGTGTTCAAAACCTCTCTAGATGGACTGAAGCAATTGAAGAAATCTGCACATGGCCTGAATACAAACCACAACCATTGCGCTCGCTGCCCCTTCAGGCGGAGCAACTTGGCATTGGAAAGCTGTTCTTCAAGGACGAGAGCAAGCGCTTCGGTGCCTCTCTCGGATCCTTCAAGGCACTCGGTGCTCCGTATGCTGTGTTCAAGATCCTGGCGGAGGAGGTCTTTTCGAAAGCTGGCGTCAGGCCAACGTCAGAGGATCTTCGAACGGGCAAGTTTAGGGACATCACGCAAAAGGTCACAGTTTGCGTTGCTACGGACGGAAATCAAGGTCGAGGTCTCGCCTATGGGGCCAAGACCTTTGGCTGTCGTTGTGTGGACTACATTCACAATCACGTCAGCCCCGGACGTGCTGAGATGATGAAGGACTTGGGCGCTATTGTTATTCGCGTAGCGGGTGAATACGAAGCCTCTGTTGAGAGAGCCAAGGCTGATGCGAGAATGAACGGATGGCATTTCGTAAGCAGCACCTCTTGGAGCAACTTTGACAACAATATCCCGCGAAACGTCATGAATGCTTACATGGTCATTGTGGAGGAGGCACTCCAGGCGATTCCTGTCGTGGAGAACATCACGCATGTTTTTGTTTGCGGCGGCGTCGGCAGTATCGCAGCGGCCGTATTCCTTGGCTTCTTCACTCGCCTCTCTCAGATCAAACAGTCAAACCAAGGCAGAGTCCTAATCCCTCCGAGGTTTATCGTGGTTGAGCCCAAGGAAGCGGATTGCTTATTCCAAAGCGCCAAGACAGGAGAGATATGTCTCTCCGAAGGAAGTCTCCGTACGCTGATGGCGGGCTTGGCTTGCCGCGGTCCATCACCAGCCGCATGGAAGATCTTGACATGGCTCGCCAGTGACTTTGTTGCTGTCCCAGATGACGTAGCGGTTGCGGGGATGAGGCAATTGGCGGGTGTAGTAAGTTGTCCTGATCATTTAACGCCTGTAGAGTAGCTGAAGAGCCTTGGACTGTCTCATTATTTGGTGCAGAGGTCGCTCTCGCCAAGAACGTCTGAATATCTTGTTTGATAGCTTCAAGGTGGCGACAAAACTCTGTGGCGGAGTAACTTCCGGAGTCCCGGAGGTTCTGTATCAGTTGGCTAGCAAACTCAAAGTTTTCTCCGTCCTCAGGGCTATCAGGCCCCTCAAGAAGACTAGATACAGCCAGGATTGTTGCTGACGAGAAGAGATATCGTGTGTTGAAGTAGTCAAAAGTCTTGAACGTTCCTTCAATCAAGGACTCGACGACAGTAGCGTATGAGTGTCGAGCGCATCTGACGCAGGCTTCTGCCAACGTCTTGACATTATTTGAGATCATTCTTTCGGCTGTGGCTGGAGTGTCTCCTTTTGCCTCCTTATGCATTCGCAGCATATACAATAAGACTGGTCGTGTTGCCAAGATCACGGACTGGAACAGTTAGTAGGTACTATTAAAGTTGACAGAGCAGTTACCTGGTTGAAAGGAAGGTGAAGGGATTGAACCGCTATTGGCTTTGACTGCAAAGACTCGGAATCCATCTGTATATCAGGTGGTAATCCTTGAAGCCATTGTTTTAGATCTTGCAACGCGTGCTGGACTCTCTGGAGGAACGGTTTTGTCTCCTGTGCTCTTCCATACACGGACTTGATTATTGACCTTGTGACTCTCGCTAATTGTATCCTCGCAACAAGCAGTTCTGTGTGCTGAAAATCGTCTTGCCGCGGCCCGATAACCCTTGTACTCGATGGAAGGTTGACGAATATGTCATCGTCTGATACAGAAGCAATCTGGCTGCTGATGGACGCAGTTATATGATCCATGATATATGCCGACCACCAGAGTCGATTGAGGTGTTCCTTCGTCTCCAGATCTTCTAGCTGAGAGTCCGGCAAGTTGAAGTGAAGTCCCATCACCAGGCAATGCCGCACGGCGGAGCTTGCCAAAAAGTACGCTGAGTGGCGCCTATTGATACTCAGGGCATACAAGCACTACAATGGTAAGTGAGTGTCAAGGGTTTTGAGTAGGCGTCTTACCAAGAGAAGGGATACTTCGACTGTATCGACAGACGGCCGCTCCTGGAGCAGGTCATGCATCTTGCTCGCGTGGCTGAAAAAGGCCAGTCCAGGGGTCGATGTACCTTGGGCCTGACAAAAACTGGAGTATAGCTCCCCCAAAGCCAACAAGGTCGTGATCTTACATCGAGATACTGCATTGAACGTATGCGGTGTTTGGAGGTGCTGTTCCAGCAACTCCGATATGCGGCTTTTCCTGACAATGTGGAAGGATCCGTCCAGGGTCTTGAGGGCTCCTCGAACGAGGAATCGAGCGTGAGTAGCATTCACAAAAGGACACTCAGCTTGTGCAAGTTCCGCTATCTGGCTGTTATCTGGGTAGCTGGTGCGTAGGGTATGGTTTAGTGCTTGATCCGTGAGTAGTTGGCGAAATCTCGTCGCGAACGCTGCGTCTGCTACTTCTCCTATGAGAATGGGAATCTCTGATGACCTGGTCGAAAGGAACCATGGCTTCTCGTCGAGCACCGGATTATGGCTTGGCTCGCTAGTAGAGGGTGAATCCAGCTGAGCCTCATTTTCTGCAGCATCATCTGTCGACTGTTGAGTTGCTGGCGCTTCTGTTCGATCTTGTCGACTGCGGCTTCTCAATTCCTGATTTTCGCGTACCAAGCTCTCGATATAGCTGCACCTTTTAATAAACATGAGATAGTTATTGAATAAGTTGGTTCAACTCACTTCTGGCTGATCTTGATCTGTCTATCGCGTTTTGGGTAAAGGCAGTCAGCTTGGCAGTTCATTTGCACGCAATTGCGGCATGGATGACCACCGGGTCATTTGACCTTTCGCACATGACACTTTCTGCACCTGAACCCATCTTTTAGCTTTGCATGCCAGAGCGAAATAGGTAAAACCAACGCGACTGGTTTAATTTTAGATAGGATTAATTGCGCTGTCGGGCTTGGACGACTTGTCAATGCGTCTTGCTCAGTCGACATATCCCTGGTTGGTCCTCAGCGCAGTCGAGGGAGAGTATAAACCAGAAAAATGGCGAGTATCCTGTCGAGCCCGAACGCCACTCGGAGGAATTAGCAGCTAATTTTACCCCTCTTATCTACGTAACAGTTTTAGTCAACCGGCCTTACCCTATAGTGTCGAAGCTGACATAAGTCAGGCGTCTTGGGCGGCCGCTTTGCGAAGCAAAATTGGCATTATGTCATACCGTCTTCTCAATTGGTTTCGGTCATCGGGATATTGCTAAAATATCTTAGCTATAATTACATTTACCTTGTAAGGAAATGGCCATTGCTGAAAGGAAACCAGCGTTTGCCTTGCCGATAGTGGATGTTTGAATTGAGAAATCAGCTGCTCCCTCCGGGACTGAAGCCAAGGTTCAAGCAAGAGAGGATTTTATTAGCAGGAGCATGTGATTTACCGTTAAGAGAAGGATCTATTGACGCCAAGGCGGGAGAGGAATCACTGATTTGCTTATAAGGAAAATTTTATTCTACGGAAGTTGGCAAGAGATAACAAAGCATAGCCAAGTTAGCCAAAAGGCCAAGTCGAAGACGTCGCCAGGCTCCAGAGCCATCTTTATCTACTCAACGCTGACTGGGTCCGAACTGCGTGACAGAGTGAAGTCTTTCCTCGGTATTAACAATTGCTGTACCGAAAGTGGCTATCTCGGCCACTATGAGAGGCGGCCGAAAGCGGGGCTGTCGGAAGAATGACACATCGCCGAACCCACCAGCTACGTCAGTACTTGCTGCCACAAGATTAAACTCTAGGCTGCAAACACAGGTGATAAGGAGGACCTACCAGCAATTCGCGTAGATTCTGGGATGGGCTGTTGTTAGGATGAATGATGGTAAGCATGATTCATTGCTGGATAGTAATATTGCATGATGATGTCTTAGGTATCGCATTGTATGGGATATGGCGAGGCTTCAAAAATGGCCACCATGCTTGCTATTGTTTTGGCATGGATACGACATACAAAGCTCCTCAGTAGTTCTCTCCATCCTCTCTTGTTCAACAATTTCCAACTAGATTCTCGTCACTGGTAGCTTTACAATCTAACCATCTTCCGCTGTAGATCAATTACCCCTGCTACACCGAATCAGTACAATTCCACCACGGCTGAGCATCTAATTCCGGCAGACATGGCCTGCTCCCAGAGTTCTCACCTTAACAATTTTGCCCGGCGCACCTGGTATCGATGCCATGCAAGGCGCCATGCAAAAATAAGACTGACCGAGAGGCAGACAAAGATAAGTCCAAAGAGTTGATAAAGAAAGCTCAGCATAGCGGCGCAAAGTGATAGTTGATTGCCATGGCTAGCGCGGCCAAGTCTCTGTTTTCGGGATACGCATCAACGCTGATAATATTGGGATACGTCGATGGAGACATTCTCGGCCAAAGTAGCTCAATGAGGGCGCGGTTGGCCTGCTTGGCATTTGAAATTACAGGGTTTAGACGCTGAGTCAGGAACCATGAGAGCAGAAACATTCTTGACTCTGGGGATGTCCGTTGCTTTTTCATCTTGGTCAACTGATCGACCACCATCTTCTTCTGGTCTTTTGTTCCGGCGTAGCTGTCGTACAGAGGGAATTGGGATCGGTTGAAAAATCCCTTGTCTGCAAATGCGGAAGTGTCGACTGGGACTTTGGTGTTATACTCTTCAGACCCTGCGGAGAATTTCTTATAGACTATGTCGTCTATAACAACAATAACAGCTGGACGGCCTGCGATGAATTCAGAGACCCGGAGATTCGTAATGTCATCTTCTTTGCCCCGGTCCTCAACGCGGTAGTTGATTCTCTCCAGCTTCATCATCACCTCTTCCCATTCTTTCTGGGTCATCTTTGCGTTTTTCTTGCCTTTAAAGGTGTCCGAGTTTAAACCGTGGTCAACATTTACAATGATGAGCTCCTTGTTTCTCTTGGTAAAATCGTTCAAGCTGTTAATAATGTCATCGAGATACTCGCCATTGCCGCCGTGCCAGTTGCCAAGATCAAACCCAAAGTGGCCAGTTGCCCACTTGCCACCAGTCTTGGACGGACGAATGTCCAACCAGCGAGCACCGTATTTGAGCTGCATTGATATGTTGAGCTCCTGGTTTTTAGTGTTCCAGGCTGAGCCAAAATATGATCCTCGATGGAAACGGGACATGCCTGAATTGTGTGTTCCAGGTATAGCCAGCATCCGGAGTGTGAGACATGCGATCCTGGGGTAGATGGAGTGCATCCAGTCCTCAGGGGGGTTGGTTGAAACAAGCCATGGCCATACTGAAGGATTGCGAGGATCCTCCTCAGAGCTGGCGATGATAAAGGGAAAGTTATTGTCCCAATGCCACTCCAACTTGTGAAACGAGCCGCGCTTGTTGTTGAGAGTCTTAAGTTTTGTAAACCGGATGCCAGCACCGGGGTACCCATTTTTTCCAAACTTGCCCGAGTATTTGAGTTCGAAATCGGGACGGCCGGGCAGGTCTTTGAACTTGTAGCTTGCTTCACCAGCATCGTCTCTGTGGCCTTTGCCCTGGATGTAGATTCTGTTAGACGTGCCTAGCGCCTAATCAGTTCTAACCAAACTAACGATAAAAAGAGGGTTTCTCACCTGGTCTAATGGTTTTGGGAAAATTGAATTGCCTCATCTGATAGCTCTTCTTCTTAGTCAAAGTCATGTTCCAAGGTGTTGCGTTGACAAGAAGGAAATAAGATCCAACCTTGAAACAACGACGCTCAAGTTGTTCCAACACATGATCCCCCAGAGGTCCAACATTTGAGCTCTGACTGTCGGAGCGAACCTCGACGGTATGGGTAACTAGCTCAGTAGGTGGTGCAGCAATGGTGAAGCTAATTAGAGCAGAGACACACAAGAAGAAGCGACACAGCATTCTGAAGTAAACGGAACGCTGGAACGCAAAGACAAAGAAGGTCTTGTTGGTAAATCAGAGTGAAAGCAAGGACGGTATATTTTTGAAATTAAAAAATGTAACTGGGAGAGAGGGGTATGACCCTCTTTGAAGGAACTCAATGTCATTTTAATAGTGTTTTCTCGTGCCCTGATTAGCTTCATCAGCACCCACATTTGGGGGATTAAGCTTCTTATACCGCAGGCTACAAGGTTAAACCTTACGCTGCCAGTATAGTGATGAGCACATGATGTACCTTTTCGCAATATAAGCTTCTACCCAAAAAGCTTACACAATGCACCCGGCGTCAATTTACCGCGCGGGTACAAAACGAGACTGCCGCACGATGTGGGGCTTGGACCATGTTGGCAAATCGAAAATCGGGACGGTTCAAGCCACAAACGATATAAATGCCAATTAATGCCGCGAGAATCTGGAGTAAACGTGTGAGGCCAGACCTACAGATTGGGCTCGTGGACTGCAATGTGGCGGAGGCGGACTCCGCGCGAACATGCAGGTCATAGTTTGGTGGGACTGTAATAAGGTTGAGGGGTTGAAAGAAGCCTCAGCGCTTGCACAAAGGCAAGGAACTCAAATTGACATGTATGAGTAATACACTCGGTGCCCTCATGGACATGTAAGATGCGGAAAAGTCAATCTCATAGAGCTCGGTGGCAATCCGAGATTATGTTTCCAGTCAAACAAAGCTTCTTTGAATGACCTCAGGAAAAAAGTATACAACCCTTGACGAGTTTGGCTTGCACCAAAATTCAATGGCAATCTACCAACTTGGAGGTTGTTTGTTGTTGTCCTCTCCAGAATGAATCACAAATGGCTTGAATATAATGATTTAATCTGGACCCTATATGCTCCTTATCGTCGTAAAATGTTGAGTGGTACCCGTGGCTATGGACGCCACGTGTGGCCTTTTGGTTTTGGTTCCTGACTCTGATTAAGAATCAAATTACGTGGCGAGCTTCGATGACGGTTCGTCACTTTTGATTAGGAACTCTCTCCGATTTCGTTTATCTTATGTACTCTCCCTTGCATATGCTGTTGAACCTACGCAGCAATATTAGCTTTTCGCAACTCCTGATCCTTAAGCTCCTTGCCAAACTCAGCCTGTCTTCTTTTCACCCAGACAAAGGGCAACCATTACACTGCATCAGTATAGAATGTGGAATAACTTTCATTCTTAAGCATCCTTGCGTGCCAATCCTAGCCATAAATCTCCTATACGCATCATCCTTTGGTTCCAAATGACCGCTTTAGCGCTCTTCAAAAAGTCGCAGATAGCTTAACTGCTATATTTTGTTGGCATAAAGTATTTAGTATATTATCTATATCTCTGCTATCTTATCTGCGGTTAGTATTAACATTTCTCCAGATTTCTGCGCGGCAAGTACCAGCCTTGTGATTACAATAAGTAAGTTAAGGTTACTCTGGTAGAATATCACCAATTCGAGCTGTAATACTTAATTCAGCATAGATCCCTGCAGAAATATGCAATTAATAGAGATCCTGTGTTTCAAGAGGCCGCTGTTGTTAGGCAGGCCCATTACTCTCGATGCAATGTAGATAGAGGTATCTACATCTCCTACGAGAGGGTCGGGGTTTCTTCAAAATCACTGCGGCCTCGTGTACTGCGATCTTGAATTATAAATAACCTTGGTTAATAAAATTTTAAAAAATATATATAACTTAAAAATGGTTTCTAAATATTTATTATATATAATAAGCTTAATATATATAAAATTAATAAAATATTTAATAGCTTATTAGTTTATTTTTGTCTTTTTTCAAGTTAACAGCTTTGACTGGCCATGCTATCCAACTTTCCCAATAAGAACCTAGCAAATTATTAACTACTTCTACAATATCATAGCCCCATCCTTCCATAAACCAACAATCATCAAGTGAGTACAGTAACCCTCCATAAAACGCATATAAGATCAAGGCTGGGGGCTGTCTCTGATGTAGCAGAGGAAAGTATTCCTTAGGGGCTAAACCAACAAACGCAAATGCTCCTTGCCAAGTTCTATCAAAATCCCCAGCATCTTTAGTAGCTTCATTAGAAAATTGTTCCATAAAGAACCGACATTGCCTGAGAGCCTGCAGAGTGTTTTCATAAATCGACGCATTATTATTATTTTCCCAGATACTCCTCAACTGACAGAACTGCTCATCTTCAGCATCAGTGGGTTCATCAGGGGGTTGTATTTCTTCAAGATTCCCAACCGACAGGATGTTTTGTAAAGGCGTGGAGCTTGGGGTCTGGAAAGACTCATATGATTCCAAGACCGTGACAATGCCTAAAATCATTGGTATGAATCCTACGCCAAGTATGCGGTCCCCTCGGGTACCCCAGTCCAAGTCGTCACATAGGCTTTCACCCAGTCTGCCAGAGACACCAAAGACATATAATAGATTCAGGGCCGACCAAACGAACAGGGATTCAGCTATTCTATCGTCGTTCTGGGCTATAGCTTCCCTAAACCCTTTTAGACCTTCGTTATGGTAATGAGCAGCGTTAGCTATATACCGAAGCCTCTTTTCAGGGTTCAGATACGCGATATGAGCGGCAGTTAGACTGAGGACAGCGTGCATCACAAATGGGTGTTGTAATGCTGATTGAGAAAATCCGACTTGGCAGATAGAGGATAAGCTCGAATTCTTATAGATATCGAGACTAGTGTGAAGAGTCCAATGTTGGAAAAGGGCCATCTCTTCGATGCTAAAGATGACAGGAGATTGTTCGCATAATGGCGCCGTGGTTATAGCAGGACACGAAAGTAGAGAGAGATTAGGGATTGGTGAGAAATGATGACATGGGCACTGGCACTGGCACTGGCACTGGATCAATGGCTGTCCGGGCGTTGAAGTTGAAGTTGAAGCTGAAGCAGGCGAGGCTTCATCAGCGTGTTGGCTAACTGGTGAACGGCGATATGTAGATGGCGGATATTGGCATTCGACTCCCCGCCGACGACAGGCACGGCACTCAGGTTTCTCTTCGCTGCACTGTTGTATCAACAAGAGTTAGCAAGACTTTCCGGAGCGACATCGCAACATGTCCACCATCAAAGCCACATGCAACGATGCACTTACCTTAACCCGGCGTCTTCTGCAATCAAGACACCCAGACCTTGATTTCGTGTGTGGCCGTCGCGGTATCGAGACGACGACCGTGGATTCGACATCACTAGTCTGCGTACTCATGGCGACGAAAGCATAATCAACGAACCAGCTGATACAACCTCAGGGGGCGTAAATAAAAGCGATGCAATCCGCGTAGTGAGAGGTTGGTACGGGGGTCAGATCAGCCAGCAGGGCTAGGCTAAAGATGAGATGAGATAGTTTCGTGTGTGTGCATGGTCAAAAGCGAAGAGAGAAGATTAGGAGCGAGGCGTTGTTGAAGTGGGTGACGAAGACATTAGATAGAAGATTATCCTAAGGCGCACTGAGAACGAGGCTGAGCGAGGTTGAGCGAGGTTGAGCGAGGTTGAGCGAGGTGGAGCGAGGTGGAGTGAGGTTATGACTTATGCGGGATAAACGATGTACCGAGCTTGGTCTGTGGTAAAGCTCCATAAAAGAAAGTCTTTTATCTTATTGTACTAAAGCAGATTACCATAGCGTAAACGTGTGGTGGCTTTTTTTATGCCGCTATACAGTGATTTGATTTGAATAAGAGGGAAGAAATTCTAATTTATCTGATGGCTCTTGGCATGATGCCTTATTGTATGTTGAAGAATTAGGATCTATTTTATTGGTGTCGTCTTAATCTTTTCCCATGAGGTATTGACAGGGGATGGAAGTACATAGATGGGGACGCTAGCGTACACAGTGTGACGCAGGAGCTAGAGCGATTGTCGAAAGAAAAAGCAAGGAAAAAGAGTGGGAACAAGAAAGAGGGAGAGGAACAGGTCCTTCCCATAATGCCGGGATTCGTCCTTTTTATGCCATATCCATCCAACCATGCGTCCTTCACCGCGGTTCAAGTTCCACGGTGTTAAGAGATGAGAAAACACCTCCCTCAGAGTCTGGCTTCAGTAATTCTGGTTGCAGGCTTTCGACATACCACACAACCAGAATAAGCATGACAACCGCCATAAGAACTGCATCGAAAATATATAAGAATATCTCGTGCGAGATCAGATATCCAGCATTGCCCTGGAGATATTCAACAACCCTAAAGATGCTACGGACAAGAATAAGAAAACTTGAACCGTAAAGAACGTATAAGTATCGCCTCCAGGGTGTAGTACCTTGCAATGATTCGGCAGTAGGGGATTGGTAAAGTCGATAATGGAATAGGATAGATGTGCAGACAAAGAAGCCAAAGATGGCTATCTGCACAAATAAACCAACAACAATCATCTTCTCGCCTATTCTAGACATGTCTAGAGTCCCCCCAGATTGAACGCCTCCGCCACCTGCTTGGAGAGTAAAGGCAATAACATCGCCGGTAACAAAAATGCGTGTAACCCATTGAACAGGCACTAATGACAGATGCACTGCATCAACGGCTCGAATTAATCGTCCAAGAATCATATAAATTGAGGCAGCAAAGAGGGCAGGAGCAACAAGAATTGGGATAGCTTGGATAACAAAACCAGCGATTGACTCCTTATCGTAGTGTCCCCATATTCTGCCGGCATACCCAACGACTTCGACTGTGATGGGTTAGCTCGGTCATGGCACACGGATGACTCCAAGAGCAATCATGACCTACAAATGCCTCCAATGGTGAACGCAGTAAAGTAATATGCGCGTGCTCGAAACAGTCGCCAAATATGAAGACCAGTAAGAATTGCAAAAACCGCCACGCTGATAACCGCGGCCGCAAGGGAAGGAGTGTAGCGGTAAAGCTTAAAGTCATACTCGTCGGCCATTTTCGGTAGCTTGTATTGTCTGGTCAAAGGTGGATGATCTGTGAGATGCAACAGGGCGCGAACCGCTTAAATAATAAGACTCTTGCAAATCTGATAATGTTATACTCTGTATTGTACTCTGTAGTGTTCATCGAATTTCCTTCCGAGCCATGCTGACGTAGGTCCAAGCCTCCTCCTGGCTCCTCAGCAACATACGTGAGCGAGGCTAAACGAGGTGCACGTTAACGCAAACGTGGCAAAGGTTGAAATTTCAACCTCCGGCCACTTTGACCCATATCGGAACTTCGACGGACAGGCTTTGCCCTCCGGTTCATCCGGCGCTAAACTAGGCCATAGGCCCGGCCAACCAATGTCCCCATTTCATGCATTCTGTGTTAGATACCAGGCTTGGATCTACCCCTGAGGTCAACGCGGAAAGGAGTGCTGAATTTTAGCCCCGGTGGAATGATTCTATCCTATCTCATCCTCTGATACTTGCCTATTCCTGGACGAGTCGATTCTTCAAAGTATATTCTTTTGTCGCCGTTTGTTGCATTTCTCTCATTATTCCATGCAGGTGACGTGCCACGCTCTCAGAGTTGGCACGCAATAAACGTGCCCGCTTCAATGCAGATAACAAGAGAATGATCATTGACTCTTTCCATTACGGAAATCTGCACCCCATTTCTACGATCCTACGGATGTGATACATCATGAAGGCTCGTCGTTGACAGACAGAAATGAGCTGAACGGTGGTGAAGTGGGCCTTCGCGCAAAGCCCACCGTTTGAATAGACCAAAGTTGGAAGGCAACCGATTTACCCGTATCCTGATTCTACTTGTCAAAGGGCCTATAGGCGTACTACCTACCCCTCATAACAAGCTCGGACCGCGTCTTTCTTGTCGGCCTCGAACCCAAGTTTTCGTACAGGAGGTGTTGCATCGTCTCATCTCGCCAAAGGCAGCACGCTCTGGTACTTGTAATTGGTCAGAGCGTGTGTCCGCAGGTAGTGCATGCAGAGTCGTATCCAATAGATATAACATGTACGACGCGGCCAAGATTATCTGATCAATCGGCTAAAAGACAACATGAGTAGACACCATCACCAAGGCAATCCACCAGACCCCCAGGCAGAAAGACCTGCGTACGTTCGGATCAGATCTCACGACTCGAGAAACTGCCAATTCAAAAACCTATTCCTAGCACAAGAATTGGTAGGCGGCACACAACCTAAACCGGGGTCCGCTGGATCAGCGCCTCAGACTGCGATTGGCAGCAAAATGTCAAGTGGTGGTACTGCTACCATCTGGACAGCCGATTTCAGCTTGGGGGGACGCTATCTAGCAGTTGCTGGCAAGGATCGATTCATCAGATTATTCAAGGTCCTCACTACGGACGACGAACGAATGGACCAGCAAATGCATGACAGCCAGCAAGTACCAGCGTCAAAAAGCTATCCAGCACCAGTATTTCTGTCAATTCCTATCAAAGAGTTTAAGGGCCATTCAGGGGAGATTTTAACCTTAAGTTGGAGCAAGAACGACTTTTTACTCTCCGGTTCAACAGACAAAACTGTTCGTCTATGGCATCCAAGCCAACTAAACTGTCTTCGAGTATTTCAGCATAACAAGACTGTAACCTCGGTTTCATTCCATCCCACCGATGACCGTTTCTTCCTTTCTGGATCTTTTGACGCTACGCTAAGACTTTGGAATATCCCAAGAACATCAATTATCCACTCGCTACCTGTGGCAGATATTATAACTGCTGTAGCTTTTGCACCGGACGGCAAAGTTGCGATATGCGGTACTTTCAACGGAACATGCGTGTTTCTCAACACTGAGGGCCTCACGGAACGAAATCGACTATCTATTAGGTTTTCAGAAACTAATAGTAGTGCATGCTTCAAGATTACAGGCCTACAAACGTCAAATCCTTCTGACAGTTTTGAAACACCTGGCCAAGCAAGATTGATGATTACAGCAAATGACTCACGGGTCCGCATCTATCGTCTTTCAGATTATGGTCTTGAAACCACACTCGAAGGAATCAAAAACCAATCGAGCCAAATACACGCTCGTTTCAACGATACTGGGGACTATGCATTATGTGGCAGCGAGGGCGATGAGGTTCACATCTGGCACCTGGGTTCTGGTGAGCGTAAAGTACCTTATGAGAGATTTCATACACACTCCGAGGTGGTCACAAACGCGATTATGGCTCCAATTGCTACTCGACAGCTTGTGGATCTCACAAAAGATCCCATCTATGAGCTTTGCGATTCTTGTGCCTCAGGGTCTGATGATTTATGTAAATCTACAAATCATGCAACACGCCTCTCGCAAACATCTTTTGGACCTTCAACGAAAGGGACGAAATCTGCCACTGATAGACATCCTCATGGTCACATAATTGTCACGACAGATACCATGGGAAAAATAAAGGTGTATCGTCAAGACTGCGCTTTTGTTAAGCGGTCTCACACTCATCATATCTATCAAGTCCTTTAATAACCTGCATGCCGAACTTTATCAACTCTTCAAGCGAGGCCTAGATTCATACGCAATTGTAGTATTACTACTAGGGTAGTTGTAAATATCAATAGGCTGAGTCTATCAACAACTAGTACGTGAAATTTCTTGCCTGATTTGCATGATCTGAATTATAAAGTATTTGTGAGCCTTACTGTAACGTTGCTACTTGGAGCGGATGAGTTACGATTGTCAAATACAGACTACTCGAATTGAATAAAAGATAAGTACGTCAGCATTGAACGAGATGCACACGCAGTTGACAGTTACACCAGAAGTGTAGCTTCAATATTGAGACCTAATACAATAGTCAATGCCCATATTTAAACCACACACAGCTCAGTCATTCGGTTCTGGTCAAGATACATGGGCTAATCTATGTCTCAAACGATGTCTGCTCCGTTACGTCTAGATAATCTTCTGGATGTGTCCTAGCTATTCAACTCTGGGCTAAGATTTCTCGCCCAGCGTAGTAGGGTAGGTCTCAATGGCGAACCCCTAAACACCGAGGGGCCTCGGCAAGATTCTGTGGATACCATCGTAGTCTAATTTAGATGCCAACATCATGTGCTTGATGATAAGTACGTGATACGTTGTCTCATATGAGCCTCAACGCAATACGCGCACAAATGAGTTTATGTTTTGGCTCATACTAAGAAAACGACGAGTCAATGTGGCCGGAAATAGAAACATATTAAGCCGCGCGCCTCAAGATCTAACAGCGGGTCTAAGTTTCAGGACTAAACCAACCGGCATTAGGTGCGCATAGAGTTTAACGTGACGGGAGAGCGAGCGAGTAAACGAGTTCCTTTAATCAGGCTCGTTTAACGAAGTTTGAGGCTGAGTAACGCTCGGGATTTTGACAAGGCAAACTGAGACAATCGATAGGCACACTCAACTTTCCCTGATCTTGTAGGAGAACTGCCTCTTCAAAACATGCTTTAACAAGTCTTCAATTCCTTTCAATCATTCTCAGCCATTCTCGATTACTTTTCTTTCTTTATTACGCTTACGTTCATTTCAGGCTCAACGATCTCTTGGACACATTACATTATCTTTACCTTTGGATCCTTACATTTTTCTCCCCTAGCCTTCCTTCAGTGGTTTTTTTTATCAGAGACCTCATTCTCTTTATTTCGATATTCGACCCTGCGCCGTTGCCTGATTCGTTGCCCATGATGTTTCTTGTTCATCGAGATGACGCGGGTGCTGATGATGGTTTCAGCCTTTACCATTACCACCCTTCGATAGCAGCCGCTGTCATCGTGGCCTTGGTTTTTATCGGCATTACTATACTGCACTTCTGGCAGCTTATTCAGAAAAGATGCTGGTTTATGATTCCTCTAGCGACTGGTGGTATCCGTAAGTCATGCTAAAAGTCCTGGGTTTAAGTTTCCATTGATTAATAGCGATGTTTCTATTGCAGTCGAAGTTATTGGGTATGCAGCCCGTGCCAAATCTGGCCAAGAAAGCCCTAACTGGACGCTTGGCCCGTATATCATCCAAGCTATCTTCCTACTGGTTGCTCCAGCCCTCTATGCCGCCTCGATTTACATGGAGCTTGGGCGGATCATTGTTATGGTGGAAGGTGAATCACGTAGTCTGATTCCGCTTAAGTGGCTTACAAAGATGTTTATCATTGGAGATCTTGTCTCATTTTTCCTTCAAGCAGGAGGTAAGTCGAGTATTATCCATTAATAGCTTCGTATTACGCAAACGATCACTGTACTGATTGCGTCTTCACAACAGGTGGGGGCTATCAATCATCAGGCACCCTGGAAGCTTTAGACAACGGTGCCAAAGTCATTATTGGTGGTCTATTTGTCCAACTTGTCTTCTTTGGCCTATTCATCGTTGTTGCTGTCGCATTTAATTGGTCCATTAACACATCTCCAACCGGACGCTCACATGTAGTTCCCTGGAAGAAGCATATGTATGTGCTCTATGCTGGCAGCGTGCTGATTATGGTTCGATCTATATTCAGAGCTGTTGAGTACCTACAAGGTTCTGATGGGTATATACTCAAGCATGAAGCATACCTCTATGTTTTTGACGCTATTCTCATGGTTCTTGTCATGGTTCTCTTCAGCTGGTACCATCCTGCTGAGATCTTGGCAATAATTCTACAGAGGGGCAACGATAACGGGATGAAGTTGGGTTTTGTTCCTGCTATGCATCACCGCTTGACTTCAGATGTGTAGTGTCAAGATAACATTGACTTACGAGTTATTCCTCGCTAACTCTGACGAGGCATAAATTGGGACTGTGTTGGTTAAGAGGGTGGTATAAGCCTGAGCTATTACCTAGTTATTTAAAAATGTTTATATCTGCTTAATAAAATATTAAATACCTTAATATATATATATGTAGTATTATAGTCTTAAGTATAAGAAGCGAATTAAAAGAATAAGGTAATATATTTCTGATAGCTTTAAATCTATTTTTTCTCTTTCAAGTTGAATCACAATGCCTGTCGCCACGTTGTCGTGTAGTCGCCAGCTTAAGAGTACTTCTGTAATTGATGTGCTTGCCTGTGGCAGCCGCTAATCGGCGTCGAAAGGGAAATGTGGAATCAGGTGCGTGGGGAAGGGTAATTCGAGTACCAGTCAGGATCCAGTCATCGAGGCTTGAACCCTCTTCTCGTTTAAGACTCCAATACGAAGTCTCGTTAATAAATAAACAGTCCAAACAAGGCTTAGCGACACCGGAAAGAACTTGAGCGAATCTAAACGATCTTTTGCTCGAACAGGAGGTGGTCAGTGCATCAAGCCCCTAACATTACTCGTTGAAGGTCATTAATCATGCCAATTTGACGCCGAGCCAGAAAGAAATCTCGGATTGTTCGCTTTTGATCTTCTTTCAATCCTTTTACGGTTATACGAGCCCTTACTCTAATCCATCTCTCAATGACACTCAATACGAGACCATTATTATCATGCCGGAAGGACCGGAAGTGCTACCAATAGCACGATCCGTACGCAGATCACGTCGAGATTGTCGGAAGCGCCATGTCAAAGTAAGCATGTCTTTTTCTCATAGCTCTTGTCTTACCTACCATCTTAAGTTTCGTATACAGTGCAGCAAGGAGCGTCCAAAATGCCGTCTTTGCGTGCACCGTAATATCTCCTGCGAGTGCCCAGGCCAGTTCTTTCAAGCATCTACAAACAGCCCATCTGCATCGAAAACCCACTTGGCAGACTCTCCTGGGCTATCTCGATAACCCTTACAACAATCTGAACCGACTCCCAACACCGCGCCGCTCCTATATTGCTATTCTCCCCCAACCAAGACGCGCAACCTACGTAATCTACGCCTACTTCACCGCTCAACTGTCTCGACCAGTCTCAAGATATCACAGTACCCCAAGGACTATTACATATAGCACATAGTACTTCCTCAAATCTGATTCTAGTACACATTTATGCTACACGCCATCTTAGGCCTCCCCGCCCTGCATATCACATACTATAACACTCCTATAACAAAATCACTACAGGTAGAGTAATCTAAATCTATAAACAGATTCTAGGAAAAGGGTACCTAAATTAGTAACCAAAATAGCAAAGCACTGTTCCTATAGTTTATAGATAATTATATTTATACTTTCCTTACATTAAATCCAATTCAATATGGCTTAGAAATAGATAACTCCTCTAGTAGATTTACTTAATATAATAAGTTACTTAAAACTAAATAAAATCCTATAATATATAGCACAACTGCTATCTTAAGACTGACTCATACCTTGTTCATTCAGATAACAGAGTTGACTTATTTATGCTATTATTTTAGGAACTATTACAAATTATAAGCTCAGAGAAGTCAATTAACCTAGCAAAGTCTGGATACATTAGATAAAGAACAACACAAACACCAAGCTGTGCTTCTCTTATTCGTCGGCTTCAATAAATTGAAGTGCTACTATGTCACGGCACCACCCAGTATATTGTGCCCAATAACTTCCTAAGATACTATCGACCGTTGTGACTATTGAGCGCGCCCAACCCTTGATGAACCAAGAACCCCCTAGCAAAGACAATGTCGCCCCAAAGAAAGACAAAATGATAAGGGCGGGCGGCTGTCGTTGATGGAGCCTCTCGATATACTCCTCCGAGAGATGGCAGAGAAAGTCTACAAGCGCATACCATCTGTCCATGTCGCAACGTGTTGTGTTATTTGCATGGCCACTTCGGGGTCCAGAAAGGTGACTATGACAGCGCCTCAATAGCAGAAGAGCCGAGTCATATACTTCTGCATCTGAGGCGTGGCTGAAGGTTTCGCGTATGCGAACGAAATAATCGTCTTCTGCAGCAAAGTCCATTGTATTGTCAATTTCGTTGAGAGACGTCGGATACTGGCACATGTCAACCTTTGGTGCAGTAGCCCGGACTTCATGTATCCATTGTGGGCCAATGGAGAGTTTGTCCGGGCTGGAATCGCCTGTGAGGCCTGCCAGCGGACCACAGGTAGCCAAGGTGTAGATAAGATTGAGGGTCGAGAAAGCTCGAAGTGCATCGCTAGAAGTGTCCATGCTCTCCCAGTCCAACTGCCGAACCTGTTCTATCCCGTGTTTATGGTGCATCTCAGCTGTTTCGAGATACTCTTTCGAATCAACAGGTTCGCGAGAGGCAAGGTGTAGGCTGGCGACACTCAAAATGCCATACATGACAAACAAATGATTGACGCCGAGCCGAAATATGTCAACACCACAAGGGCTCTCGGTAGACCAGCATTGACTGATAGATCGGCCTGTATGAACTGTCCAGTGGTGGGAGAGACTGAGATCCCGCATTTCGAAATCGCCGACTCCATGACGGTGTGGCGGTGTATTAGGTGTAAATACAACCGACGAAAGCCATGATGAAGGACTGGGTGGTGCTTGCTGTTCTCCCTTTGGAGACAAGCCTGGTTCATCGCCATGGAGTGAGCCCCCTCTGGTTCCAGATGACGATTTGAGGTGTGGGTAAAAACAATATATATGTCTTATAATACATGATCTACAGTCAGGCTTTTCTTCTCCGCACTAACATCTCATAGTATAAGTGTGAGGAGCAGACAAGAGACAAGGAGTGGTCAGAATTATGACAGAGAAGACGTTACCTTGATATGTCGTTTCTTACATTCAGTACAGCCGCCTCTAGATTTCGTATGAGGTTTGCGGCGGGGCCGTGTTTTCTGTGAAGACATCAAGATTATCGTGATAGAAGTAGGGGATAGTAAAGATTGTAACGATAAAAACCTATCCTATTATAAAAACTTAGGCAGAGGGATAATAAATTTATAACCAGGACGATTCCGAGTATTAATAAAGGTGGAGCGAGGTATAATTAATTTACTCTAAAAGGGAGCGAAGTTAAACGAGAAACGAGATATTAATGCCGAGGTATAAGTAGCTAATTTTCTAACTAGGTAATGAGCTGGGTGGTGTTGAACAGGTGCTGGGGTCTCACGTGCAGGCAGGGATACTTTAA